AATTTGTGACAAGAAATAGAACGAAATTAATACCAGTATTCAAGAAACTTGAAAATGTTGCTAAAATATTGATGGGTATTGTCGGAAGTTTAATTGAATATAACACTTTATAAAAGAAGAAACAATCAGGGTTAAAATGTTTCAAGTAAAACACTTAGTAACGATTGGTTGGAGAATACATTGAACTCAGTCTATAAGACAGAAAAGCTACTTTCGTCTTTGATCTCAATTGTAAATACAAAAGGCAGCTGAAATAATTATTCTTATTACTTATAACAGAATTAAATATGTTTTTTTTACTTGATAATCAAAAGTGTATGCCCTCTACATTAATTTCTTCCTGCATTATATAGAATATTAAAGATGTATCTTAAAAATGTTCTTTAATTCTTCAAAGAAGTAACAAATGTGCATATAACTGACAAAAAATATGGTTTGATACGTAAGGTCAATGTAAGTTTTTTTTTTATAATTTCATTGTCATTATATATTATTCATTGCTACAAATATGTCATGAAAAAATAAAACATTCAGTAGCATGTTAGTGTGCCTCTTGGCTAATCGCCTTCCTTATTGTATTTTAATCAGTCTGAAAAATAATAGGACATATGACACGACATAATTTGGAAACTCTTTGATTGTTTGTCTTTAAACCAAATCAATATTTGATTTATCAGATTAGTTTGATATGTATCAAATTACTTATAATTAGGTAATGATAAGCCTCAATTGATTTCACAGCTGATAAGCCATAGACAATGACAGGCGATCTTTCATTATTTCCTCGTACAAAGAAATGAAAGAATTGCCTGATTACTTTACATATTCTTTGAACTTAAATAATTCAGTCTCTATGCGTTTTCTACTGCTCATTAATTTACTAGAAACCTCTCCAAAAACGGGAAATCAGAGGAACAAAGATGTAATTATGATCTCTTTATTAGTCTTTTTATACCCATGTTTCTATCAAATGATTGTTTGTAATTATACAAATTTGCGGGTGCTTTTTTTATTGAATTTACCTTCAAATGGCAGCAACCTTTATATTGGTGTCTCCTGTAGTTCTCTATGATTTAGCTCAATGTTTACATGTACTTTTAAACATCCATTAATTATCTGGCACGAAGGATCATCCAAATAATGATGCTGATATACTCAGATAAGGAAAAAAATTATATACAGTCATTAAGTATTAGTGTACTTTTTGTACTTCATATTCAGATTGATACAACAATATATGTACTATCGAATGTTTCTTCATCTGAATGTGCAAATTAATTAAATTCTATGCTTATTTCTATGATAATAATTAGAAACGTATTAGCCCGTACAGAAAATAGAAAATCAAATGGTGCTTTGTGTCACATGGGATTCAAATTAAGAACCAGTCAGTCTTCATTAGCTAGAAAAAAGTTCTAATACAAGTATTTTGTGCCAGATGATGTTGCCGGAGTGCCAAACAAATATAGACTTATATACGGCTGGGAAAACTAGACTCCTTTTTCCCCAAATACAATTTCATTAGTTGGAAATTATTCTATAAATAATTTATGAGTGATATAATACTGTTTTAAATGACGATATTAGATTCGAAATTATTGTTTTTATAAAAATTCCAGATTATGAAGTCAAAATTAAAACGTAATGTGTTAATGATCTTGTCTTGAAAAGGTTTTGATGGCGCGGTGGCTACGGATTAAGTGTGGGTTCGAGTCTTGCTAACATCACGACCATGTTTCCGTCATATGACACAAAAACCTGTTAGTTCTAGTCAGTGGACTTAAAGAGTGATATTGATAAGCCACAATTTTGTTCACAGCTGAGATATAATATATGTTTTTATCAATACTGCATAACCTTATGTTCACATGTTATTACAAAATGAAAGTTTTGTGATCTATTTATACATTAAAAAAGATATATGTTTTGTTTTGTAAGAAGTCTTAGTTTACATTTTTTCTCAAGAAACACGTTTTGTCTATTTCCTGATATGAATAAAAATGAACAGAGATCTCAAGAATTTTTCAGGAAGTTTACTATACTAGTAAGCTCTGGCCCATTTACGGCATTTCCACAGGTTTTTTTGTATTTGAATTGTGAATCTAAATATATGATGCAAACTAAAGATTTATGATAGATGTCCCGGTCTTCATGTCACAAGAATGGTTTTATATCTCTATCTATTTAATTAATCACCTGATAATTTTTCCCAAAGGTGGAATTAATGCGGTGTAGTAGAATTAACGACAGGTTTAATTGTGACCGAAACAACTACCTTTGAAAACATTTCTACTTTTCAAACTGTAATTTACCATTCCTATTTTGTCTTAACAACGACCTTTGAAAACGTTTCTACCTTTCGAACTATAATTTACTATTCCTATTTAATAAGCAAGTTTTGGCAACCCTCTGATGTTAGCCGGACGACACTTTGTATGAGAGGTTATGGCTTTAAATGACAACTTTATGGCAAAAAAACATTTAAAATGGAAATATTGAAGGTCGCCCAAAAAGACAAAATGTCATAAATTTGACTTAGTGACAGCTCTTTTCCAATTTACATCTTTCTTCGATCTAATAGTATCAATTTAAAATGATGAAAAAATTTCCTCGACAGCTCTGGTCAAGGCAAGTTTAACTTTGATATTGCTCATTGTTTTATTACACATTGTTAGATTCACAAAGCAAAAATATGACAAGATGGATGGATAAGATTTTATAAAATATAAACTTCTTTATTATAATGTTGATGATGACAGCGCAGCTGAAATGGGGGTTTTAAAGTTCTGTCAAAGGAAACATTATATTGTAAGCTTCAGTTGTATCAGATTTTCCTGGGCATCCCAAACAATCACAGTGTCGTTTCATTTGGTTTCAGTAGATACTTTAAAGAAACAGATTTTTTATTTTCTCGATTCAATTCAGAAATATATCAAAATTGTTTCAATGCCTCAAGTTTTATTCCAATTTAATTTCTATTTCTATAAGTTGGTTAATTAAACTGAATCATTATTCATATTAGAATAAATTCATTTTTATGGTATATTTTGTATACTGTAATGTACTGGCGGACGTTTGTCCAGTTATTATCATCCGATTATTGTTGTCTATTATGGCTTTGCTAGCGTGTGGATTTTATAGCTTTAATAGCTAGCATTATAAGGTACGAATTAGGCAATAATCGTCCTGATTGAGTCTATTAAATGGTCATTTTATGGCCTGTTCAGCTGAAGTGAAGGTAACTTGATGGAGTGAGATAGCGATACTCGTAAATGAATAAATATAAAGATGGTAAACCCTTCTAAGACAAGTGTAAAGTTTCAAACGGGGGCATTAAGTAAACCCGAAAATAAAAGGATGTTTCCCGTTCAAGATCAAATATACGATGTCATTAATACAATTGTAAGACAGAAATCGTTTCATTGCGGTTTTGCTTGCTAGAGATTAGAAATTTGTAATTTTAATCTTTATAAGAGTTCATTGCAATTACTTGTCTTCTGGCGTGAACATTACTAGGATACTCTCTATGAAAAATCTATCTAAACCTTTTTGCTACCAACAGTTGTAAAAAATACATTGAAAGAACAAAAGATACGTCAGCTCTTGTAACTTCTATTTATAGAAAATATTACTTTCTACCTTTGATATAGGAAATGATCATATTCAGCCACCTTGTTTTCACTTCCGATATAAGAAACTGTATTCGGATACAATATGATTTATGATCCCCATATTGTAGTTATTGAAAGTACCATGCAGCGTTAGGAATAGGAGTATGTGAAGAAAATTAATATCTATGTAGCTATCAGATACGGGATATGCCATGTTTTTTGGCTAGAAAGCTAAAGCTTAGACTCATTATTGTCTATTATTGATTGCTTAATTACAAGGGTTATCACGTGTTTAAATTTTGAAGACACATTTTTATCTTTTATTTGTTTCTGAAACATTCATATTTCTCATCTATAAACTTTTATGTACTCCTTATTTCAAACTGAAGCATTCTTTTGTTGTTTTTTTTTTCCACATATTAACTTTGCAAAGAAATCTATTTGTTTGAATGTTGTTATGCATATTATTTAAGATTGATGAATTCTTGGATCGACATTTCATCTTTAGTCATTATATTTCTGTTGTTATATTTCGTTTAACGGATATTTTAATCACATTAAAATTGGCACAACATACACTTAAAAGAGGGCTTGGCGTTGTTTTGTTTGTTTTTTTTTTGTTTGTTTTTTTGGAGGGGGGTTCAATGTGCCAAGAATGAACCCGTCTTTAACAATAAATGTTGTTGTTTTTATTTGTTTTATATACGATCGATATTGGGAAAGAACTTGCTATTTTCTTCAAACAACAAATCAACAATAAACACTATGATATTTTATATTGGCACTTTTCAGGATATATCCCCCTTTCACTCAATTAATGTTTGACGATTCTACGTCAGGAAAATTGCTCCATTTCCGGGCAATTAAATACGGGATAGCTTTTATCTTTGTGGAAATTACCATACATTTTACAGTAATGTTACTGGGTAAATAGGGAATCCAATAGATTTTATTCATTGATAAATGATTGTGTGTTTGAAATAAATAGATGATCGGTATTGAATTAAATGTCATTGGAATAAATTGACACCTACGCCTTATATATATCTTTACTTCTGTGTCTAAAACTTTCCCCGTGTAATAGAAGTTTTACCATTAATTGTGTCAAATATAACCGCTTGTACCTAATTGCTTTGTAGGCTCGCTTTATAAAATATTCATCCATTTTGTCAAGGAAACGCTTCTTGTTATTTAAGAGGATCTAGATGTGTTTACTGTAAAACCCTATGTGTTCGTAAAACCGTACATGATAAAAGAAATCCTATGTGATCGTAATAACTATAAACCTCGTAATTTGAAAAGGTCTGTTTACACAACAATGTTTGTCTTGATTTGAATTTTACTGTAGAACATAATTAATGTTCATACTTTGTTCTTTATATTTTGTAGGTAAACGATGGAGTCATCGGCAATGCAGGCAGCTTTTATCTTCTTTCTGATTGGATGTTGCTATGGTAACGAGGGTGACGTCATATCTCATTTGATACTGCTGGACCAGGTTCCGCCATCAATCAGTGCCAATGCCACTCCAGAAATTGTCATCAGGACAAATTTCAGCGTAAGTCTGATATGATTTCCTGTAGAAATTAAGAGTTTTAGAGCCGTTAAATCTTGAATATTGCATTTCATTTAGAAAATGACCATACGTTACAGTGATTAATCTTTATAAAACGGTTCAAATTCTAATTTTGGTTTTGAAAACTCACAAGAAAAATCATAAGTATTCCCCCAAGGAGCTTAACTTTTAGGTTTAGTAGGCTTTGTATAATTAAATCCATTTATCAAATGCAAAGTATATTATTAAGTGAGAAAAAAACACGATTATTTTGATAGGTTTTTAAATTTGTTCACAAGTCTCGTATGGTAAACATTGCTAAATATGGGTTGCTTCATCAAAAAAAAATCAAAAGAAGAAAATGTGCGTAAATATTAAATCCGCCGGTCTGACCTTGACAATGAACGTTTTATCATAAACGACATTACAACTTTATGATAAAACGACATTACATCTTTATGATAAAACGACATTACAACTTTATGATAAAACGATATTACAACTGAAGACAACTCTTTAGATTTCTATGAGCCATATTTTTATCAAGAAATCTATTTATATCCATAATTTTTGCTATAAATAAACAACGTAACCTTGTCATGAATAGTTCTGTAACTATATTAGCGTAGCGTCACTAACGTATGAACACCTGTCTTCTGGGCCAAACTGTTGGGTATTTGTAAGAGATAACTGCTATAATATACACATCCTTCGATTTTTGGATACATCTATCCCGGGTAGACCCGATATTCACTCAGTGGGACACTTTTAAATCCCATTTAATCCCCAATTTGTGTAAAGTTCGAGATAACCACTATCATTTCAAGTCTTCAAAACGTAGAACAAATATTTACTGCTAATAATCTGCAAATGTTTTGAAGTAGAGGTTAGGGCTTACTACGATTTTCAGATTTTACTACAAACCACTTCATAAGTCCTTGAATAAACACCTCAAATAAGAGCAATATGGGTCACGCAGGGACACGCTATCTTTATGAAGCTACCGATATTTAGATTATGTGAATATAAGATATCTCAAACCAAGACAACATGGCAGGGCCATTTTTACACGCGTTATTGTTTTCCTTTTTAATTTGTTGTCCCTGCTTTTCTGGTTTAGTATAAAACTGTTTTATTTGATTAAAGTCAAATACTAACAATATCTGCCACTTCTTTTGGTAACATGAAAGTCAGGAAGACAACTATTAACATGAAATTCAGGAAGACAACTAGTAACATGAAATTCAGGAATACAACTACCTTCGTTTCACCGGGTTGATTATACACCTTTAGTTTTTTCTTGAAGAATATAAGGCCGCTATTCCATTAGTACGTGATCCGTGACCCGCGTCAGTGATCCGTGTCCGGGCATGTCCGTGGGTATTATTCCATAGGTACGTTATTTTCAATATATTTTTAATTGAAGTATAGCGAACAGAGGATAATTATTTGTAGAATAAGATATACATGTAATTTCATTCCTATACCAAAAACAGTTGTAACATCAAAGAATTAGGTAACAAACATTAAATATCAGTTAGGTTTTCAAATAACATCTCTTTAGCAACCGAAGACCAGATGTTGTTTTTTTTTTTAATCTGTCATTGCTGCATCATAAACTTATAGGTTCTCCCACACTATTTTGGTGAGCTCTTTGGTATTTTCTTTCGAAATCGATAAAGTTTTTAATTTCGTTCGAGGCATTTTGTAGGGATGAGACTTGTCAGTGACTGTCCGCGTCCGTAAAAAATCGCTCATCCTGCGAAACGTCGCGGATGCCGTCGCGGAAGCGGATAGTAAACGGACAAAAGGAATAGATTCAACGTATTCTTTGATTAGCGAATCGGTAGCGGATGCGGATGACGGACGCGGACCACTGATCACGTATAAATGGAATAACGGCCTAATACTTCCTTAAAACATCCGCGATATACCCAGTAATACGTCCGCGACATGTGAGCAATACATCCGTGATTAATAAGCAATACATCAGCGATACATTAGCAATACATCTGACATGCATTAGCAATATATCATCGATACATTAGCAATACATCCTCCATGCATGAGCAATATATCTTCGATACATTAGCAATTACCCGCGACCACTATTGATACAAATGCAATGCCATACAATTAAACATGTAGCGGAATGCTGTTACACCGTTGATAACTTAGATTTGTAAAATGATATAGTACCTTAAAGTAACATTTTCTGACTTTATTTGACACAATTTCCTAACGGCAACATTCCTAATTTCCTACAAGATATTATGAACTGTGAAAATAATTATACTCTCATTACAATATCCCCCCAGATTTTTTAATCATCTCTGTTGAAACTCCATAAATTGCATTAGGTCATTTAATATCTTTATCGTTTACATCATCTAAAGCTGCATTTAATCATTGCAACACTTAGTAATTAAGATGGTAATGTGCTTAGCTTTAAAATCATTAAATCTGATTAAATGGCATTTTTATTTTTAAAAATGCAATGCAAATACTTTAAGATATTTGTACTTGACCTTATAAGATATTCTCTTCATACTAAAGCTTTAAAAACGCGGGAAACGATCGGCTGTTTGGCAAACCACGGGAAAGTGAATTGATTTCAAAACGCAAAAATCTAAATAATACTATTTGTGTGGCCGCCTAAGGGCACGTGCTTAAAATTAACTTTGGAAGTCTTTATTTGTTTTTCACTATCAAAGATTCTATATCTTAACAACGAAAAAACGTTTCAAAAAAATTGTATTACATCATAAATTTTGAGAATTGAGTACTATCGGCTGGTAAATCTTTAAAGTACCTGCCGCGTACATAAGGATATAAGTGGATGGGTTTGAAAAGTTTATCTCTTTTGCCCAGGTGTTTATCTTTGATTTGATATTTATAAAACATTGCCGTGATAAAGTCTCTGTCATTTTACCGAAATGTTAACTATTGAAATAAATCGATAAGGTTATCAACAATTTTACGATAATTCATAGTAATAGTTAGATAATATTATACATTATATGAAATACATGTATTTAATAGAATTAGTAATCTATATTTTAGGTAACACATGAACTGAACATATAGTATGAATTATGAATCCCTTTAGATTGACAATTGCAATTTGGTAATGATGCAGAGCACACTTGGAATGGGAAAATGCAATCTTATAGTTTTTGATAAAATGATTGACTGTTTCCGTAATTTATTCTTTAAATATACCATGTTACATATATAATATTAGCAGGAGTCAAAGTAATGTTGTAAATAATGCTTATAATTACTGGTTTTACATCACTGCATGATTACATAATTACAAGTGTGTGTGAGTTTGCGATATTCTTGCCCGCAGTAGCTAACATGGCGCTAATCGTAAAGTGTTACAAACATCGTCCTTATAATTTGATTATGATTTTTTATAGATGATACTTTATTAACTTTTATAGAGATACAAACTGATAGTCAACTTATGACAGACACCCGGATATAGCATTGTACAATTTATAGTCCTATTTCAAACATATGTGACACATAGTTAAATTTACCCGAAACTCGGATTTACATTAACTGCGATCTCCTCCACGTAGGTTGTGGTTTGAACATCAAAACTTACTGTAATATTTGTTGGACATTGTGCAAACATCGGCGTTTATATATAAAAAAACACCGCCATTAAAATGTCTACATCTGAGTCACTTTCTAAAGGTGCATAGTCTGGCACTTTGCCAAATAGCCGGACTTTATCGTCTGCAAAACATCAAAGAAAGTGTCAAGTGCACAGTAAATTAAAGCTACATGACACACCCAAACATTAATCTTGAAATTGCTCGCCTTCCCCGTTTTACCAATCCAGTGATAAAAACTGACTTTTCTAAGTAAGTCAATTTTTTATTCAAATAATTGCTGAGATTGCATTGCTGGCCCTCTATTTATAGACTGATTATCTAAAAATAGCATTCCAAGATTGACAGAGACTTATCCGAGTTTGAATATGTTAATATCTGTCAATACTTACACAATTTGTTATCATAATAACTTTTAAAGAACAAAAAAGATTGCATTTCATTTTTTTATTTCGCTTGCGGAAAGTCACGTCCGCAACACGTGGCTTGTTTGTTTTATTTGTTTGTTGTTTTTTTGTTTGTTTGCGTTTCATATATGTTAGTGAAATGTTTTGGCTACAGAAAATGGTATGAGTCAGCTAAATGAACATTCCTCATTGATACAAAGTGTGCGTATTTTATCCTCGCATTGATAAAAACAGTTGACATTAATGTCCACCCAGTTTCCTAATCAACAAACAAATATAACACTTGTGGGTAGTCAGTTTACTTGATAACATCTAGTGTACACTTCCCGTAATCATTTGTGTGAGAAATATTTAAACATGTAGTTGTCATTATTTTACATACAAGTCTCTGAGAATATTCCGCGTAAGAATATTAAGTTTATCTTCTAATTACTAGTACTAATTAGACTTTTTTTTAATCTATTCTGCATATTTCAAAAATGCCTGACTCATGTGATAGTCGAAATTATTTGAATCACCATATTAAAGATATACTATGCTTAAATTTGATATTTGTAAATATTGATAATTGCTACACAGTCTCTTTGTAAATATAAAGATAAAAAACAAGTGTTGAATTCACATAAAGTAGATATGTTATGTTTAAAATCCTACACACTATCGGTGGTTAGAATATGAATATATAGTGTCATTAAAAAACGGGCAGTTTTTTAAGAAAAGATCAACTTTACTTACCGCAGCTTGACATATTCAGTAAGAATTTCTCATTTCTGTGAGCATAGTATAGTTTTAACAGAGTAGACCAATAGATGTTTTACTCATTGTTCACAGCATGGGTCACATGATAGAGTTATTTTAAATCCGTATGATTTCCGAGATGATTATGTATAGTGGGCGAGGTGTTCCTTAAGACAAGTTGTTACACTTAGCAAAGTACATGTATTGATAATACATGAAATTATTTTACTTTATTACCATTGTAGGAGGCTTGTCCTTGCGTAACTGTAAGAAGACATATAAAGATCAAAGTATATTTGGTCAGACAAAATAATATGTTTATAGTGGACAGATTCCTTGTTTTTCGGCAGTATCTCATTTCTTTTGTCTGCAAAAACATGACTAACGTTGTTGATTTGTGTGCAGGCAGACGACATCCGCGACGAAATAATCCCTTAATTCTGTTCGTTGGTATCTGTGACGTCATATCTACGTGCTGATGTAACAGCTTTCCTGACATTATCATATTTCAGTATTTTGCAGTATTAAAGTATTCATGACTAACAGAGTAACAAAACTAAAGTTATTTCGGTTACATATGTTTTACGTCGTAGTTTGAAATGCATGGCGTGGCATTTGCACGTAAACATGTTAGGTCACGTGATCATTATGATCTGATATAGCGTTTTCTGACCTTAATAACCTTTGTTATGAGAATAAAAAATCATGAACAATCATTTTCATGTAATATGAATATAGTTGATATCTTCACAAGGGGAGGGGGTAATCATGCATTTGAACATGCACACAACATGTGCATATCTGCCGTTCTAACTAACAATTACAAATAAAAAATAAGCAGGTATAAATACCCGCTCAACTTATCTCGAGACGCTAAGAAAGCCCACCGTCTTTGACAAATTATCGTATCTTGGTCGTAGATTAATTGCCCCACAATAGAACTTTTTGTCACAAAAGACAAATTACTTTATTGTAGCATTCTGAATGACCAGCGACGAAAGAAGGCGAATCGGTAGCGGCCTCTTAAATGTGTGTGTGATGCTTTAAAATCTAGCTGTAGACCTGCATAAAGTTTTCAAAGCCAAATGTAGGATAAGAATTAATCTGCATTTGTTAAATTATTTATTTAAAAGACCGGTTAGTGTTTAGTTTATGAAATCTATACGGCAGGAATAAGAAATTGACGTATGTGTATTAAATATAGATCATTCGAGCGTCATTTAGTTTAAAAATATTTATTTTCTAGCATAAACAATACATTTGCAAGAATGGTAGAGCATTGGAATCTTTGCAAAGAAGCAAACGCAAACTAATTTTGTCATATTGTCATATTTTTGTTAATACTAGTACTAACGTCTTAAAACATAAACAAAATTGTTGAATTTGCCGGGTATAATTTGAAATGCGTCATTCTTGCATACTTGCTTATGTTGTAAAATTTTATATTATTTACCTGCAATATCTGTACACAAATGTTGTATTGTATTGTAAGTAATAGTAATCAGTATACAAGCATTCGATTAATTCACCAAATAAAATTGATTTACGACTTCACAGTGGCACGATAAGTGCATTAACTCGATCGATCTAACGTGAAATAAAGTTTACTTCAACAGTGGTATAAACTCGGCTATCTGATACCCCCCCCCCCCGCCGCCTCCCCTTTACTTCACCAATATTTAATTTGCCATTATAGCAAAGATCACCTGTAGATTAACTTTAATCGTGTCTTTAAGATGTACGACCCCGTGCGAGTTGTCTCTATTTTACAGCTATTGACAAAGATAATTAAACCGATAGCTATACATTTAAAATCTATAATTACAGTCGAATAATGCATTAAGACGATTTTGAATAGAAGTTTTTTTTAAGAGTTTTTTTTCGCCATTACTTTGGACGATCATTAAACACGTAGTTTATTTTTTTTAAGGGTGCTCTTGCAATTCTGTCGTAAATTAATGAAGCTTTAATATCAAGATACGTCGTTGTAGGGACAGGAATTTTTAGGGTTTATTATGGCGCATATATGCTAATATCAGTTACAAACATTGGCATATTATAATAATCTACTTATTAGTTTATTATTATAATATTACAATCATAATAATACACTGTATATTAGTTTCAGAATATCTAATTTGTTTCCGTCATCATTTGAGCTTTAACGACGTCAATAAATGATCTCATACTTAACCAAACCAAACGTAAATAGCGTGCCTTTATTGAAATCAAATTGAAGTAATCAGACTGAATCAAAGGTCGATTTAAAATCAATTAAGTTCAAAAATTCAAATTAAGAATGAATTATTTTATACAAGGCTTGTTCAACAGTCTGTTATAGTCTGATGTGGAGACTGAACGACTTCGTAACAAAATGAATCAAACAAGAAAATGGGCAAATGAATAAAAACGCGTTCTAGTTCTCTCAAATAATGGAAAAATTGTCCCGTTTTGTTTCTTCCGGAAGAAAAGCAAAAACAACGGTTTTGTTAGCTCGTGTTCATTTACCATAGAAAATTTGTAGTTCTTATTTGAATTTCTTCTTTTCTGTTTTTACAGGGTCAGATAGAGTTTCTGGAAGCAGACAAGTTTAAAGTTTTGTTAAATATAACAGCCCCTTCAATACAAGATGCTTATGCTGTATCGTCAGAGCTCGTAGATAACAAAGGGAGACTACTGCTACAAGTTGTACGTATTGATATTTTATCAGTTATCTTTCCTAAAACCTTTGACTGTTAAAAGTACCTTTATTATACAGAAAATAGCAGGCAATTCACTCTTGAATATTATTACCAACTTTAAAGTCCCCCTTTTGCGGGGACGGGCACATGCTTAATATCCCCGCAAATGACAAAGCACGGCGAGTTTGACTATTTCCCCCTTTTTGGCACCAAAAATTAAACCATCCCCAGACAATATCAGCAGACGAAAGGTAAAATCTCTGCTTTTTTGCCACACGACCCCCTCCCCACCACCCCTCCCATTACCCAACACTATTCAGGAACGAGAGTTGCAAGGGTTACACTTGACTGGTGCCTGAACATTTTTGAATTCTCGTGAACCAAATTATAAGTTTTTGTGTTCCGGGTGCTCCGGCAATCTCTTCTGTGTGTGATATTTTTTCTAAATATCACTTATGTCGTTTCAGTATGAGAAGCCAGGTTCGAGCCCGGCCTTTAGTCTACAATGGATATTTCTGTTGGTGTCATGTCTGAGCGGGTTCGTGTTGTTCATGACGGTGCTATATGTCACGTGGTGGTATACGCAGAAGAAACATTTAGGAATATATGGCGCCCGAGGATATCTTACTAACAGACAAATGTACAGGTTAGTTTATGTTAAAAATAGAAATTATATTAGTAAAAAAGTTTAACGTAAAAGTTTCTGTTTTTTAACATATTTTAAAGTTATGGGGAAAAAATAAGTAAAGAACGTTGATAACATCCGATTTGTTTCAGCGAGGATTGATTTGGAAAAAAAATGGAATTGAAAGCATTTTTTTCTTCTCATTACAATTTAAAATAGGCTTTTTCATAGAATTTAATCCAGTTGGATTCAAACCAACAATGTTAAGGGTCAAGTGATTTGAAGACAGTAACTTTACCTATTCGGCAACGCTAGCCACTCCATGTGATTTATATTCCATAAACATATTTTAGATCTAGAAATAGTATGCAACTTGGAGCGGCCGCTGAGCTGATGGGAGAACAAGATGACGACGATATTGATGGAGAGGATGACGGTGAACGACGTAAAATGGTAACGTAGCTAACGTTACATAAATACGTTACTTCATGCTAGTTACCATGTAATTTCAACAGATGTATTATTAAGATTTTCTGTGCGTTAGGCCTATGATATTAATGATTGTTTTGTGAAAGACACTTATAGTTTATTTTATATTTAGAAGTAACTTTGTATCATTAAATGAAGTACATTAGACAATATACCGGTATATTGCATACGAATAGAATCGCTGTTGCTGCTTCTGCTATGCAAGTACTGGGTACCAGGTTATAAAAAAATCTCGAATCTCAAACCCAATTTGTAGGTATTTGATTTGTCAGAAACTGTACACTGACCAATGGATATCCTGAGATTTGAGACAGAACTCAAAAAAGAAAGTTTGAAAATGTCTTGGAATTTGCTGCTCTACAAAGAGGAGCATACTACATTATCCGCGTATTAATCTGATTTCAGAATGTGTGCAAAAAGAAAAATTATATCTATATTTGAAGAAATTTAAATTATCACTCGAATTCCTACAGAAAGCATAAAGATATATTTGAAAACTGATTCTGAATTTTGATTTTTTTATTGTTATTCAAGGAGAAATTTCGGGTTTCTATGAAGCCAGAGACAATTATTGAGGAGTCTGAGGACAGCTGTGATGATGACAGAACAAATCCGAAGCTGCGATTCCAGGTAAATTGAAACGCGTAAAAAACGGACCTATTATGTCACCACAAAGTGATATCTCTTCATTACTTAGGAGAGGTAACCCCAACGAGAAGTATTTCGGTTTGTGTAAATCCAATGAGCAAAGGAATTTAAGAAAAAAAATGTTAGAATGTTCTTGTTTTGTATAGAAATAATGAACTACATGATCGATTTGCGATTTTATGGTTAGTGTTATGGCGACAGCAATACTTTAAATCAACATCACTCATTCTATAAGTTATTCATTAGAAATAAGGATACATTTAACACTTGTGCTTATATGACTGAACAAAATTGCTTTTTACGGATGAATCATCATTTCAAAACATGAATGGTCAATAATCAGTTATTTGTAATATTCGCAGGTACCCATCAGTCATGATGCATTTCAAAGGAAACTGTCTCTTAGACTGGCACAAGGCGGTCATCTGTCCAATGAAAATATACGGGGGAGTGGCATATTAGACTATCCTGACCAATCAGGAGATGAGCTAGAAAATGACCTATCACCTGATCAGAAAGTAGCAGATGCTGACGGGAGTTACACGCCCTTGGGTGATATAGATGATATGTGGCACGACCATGCCGTCCAAAATTCACAAAGCACGGCAAAACTTGCTGATCCAAGAGGCAATCTGGACTTTAATATTCAAACAAGTAAATCCGACGGTGATTTATTAGGGGGAGAAAACAAGAAACTTTACTGCAAAAAGAAAAGTGTCTAGACACTCCCATAAAGTGGTTAAGACTTATCCCCAAAACAAAACGATTCAGTAAAGGAATTGCCGGGTACCAAAAGCGGGCCGAACCAACTATTTATCAAGAGGATGATTACTTAGACCTCAAGTAGAATGATTTGAGTTCTTCGTCCCACGCGCAGAGCTGATCAGTTGTGCCAGCGATGCACACCCCAGATCAGCACAAAGTACCATGAAATAGCCAGGCTTGGACAATTATAACGCATCTTAAAACTGCCTGCACCAGTTATCAACGTCACGGTGTTAAGTCGTGATCGAACGACGCTTATGAACTTTACACGTACAGCAGATATCCCATATGTCAACGTTTTAAACGTCCAATGCACGCAGTCTCTGTCAAAAGATTCTAAAATTTATAAAAACCCCTTAAAAAAAGCCAAACCTTTGTGTTCCATGTGGTTCGCCCTACCAAACTTTGATGTTCAACGATTGATCCAAAATGATATAGGTCAATCAATGAAGCCAATCCTCTCCTGGAGTTATTGTATTAAGTGAAGGTCCAGCAGTGACGATCTCTCTAATGATGACGACCAGGATGATACCGGCGACTTTCTTCGTTTGGAAGACTCTGACCTTGACCTTCCATCGCCGGATCACAATATGGACGGCGATCAGCTGTCTAACACAAGTCTGCCGTTACCTAGCCCTCCTCCAATGTCGAATGAATTTATGCCATACGATACTCATGGAAGAATTTCACAACTCTCACCGAGGCAGAGCCTTGTTACACCCTTAGATAGCAAGGATTACGGTAAATAGTTCCGATAAAACCTGTTTATTGTCCTTGTTGTTATTATTATAAACATACATGGTGTTCTTTATTATCTGGAGGTATTAATTTTAGTGCATTTTAAAGTGGCTTTTAATGTTCCACCACTTCTAAATTACCACTTTCAGTTTTAGACTACGCTTAATGATTGTTCTAAGGACACACGTAATTTTAAGCGTTCTCAAATTCAATAAGTATAATTATAGTGAATCATATATACATAGTTTATGATTTTTAATGTAAACAGAAGTTATTCACTTTTAAATTCGAAACTGGAATATTTGTTCTACTTCCAATTGATTGTTGAAAAGATGTAATTATTAGCTACTGTCTGATGACTTGATATTGACAAAAGTATTTTTCTTATATGAAATTTAGTTAAATTAGAAATGAACACAAGTTTATGTCATTGTATTTCAACTTAGAAGTACATGTACAATGTTTGGCAAATCACGTCTTATTTAAATATATTTGTATATGGATAGCAACTATAAAAGCAGTATCAAATGTTGTTTACCTTATTATATATGTACTTAACAGGAACTATGATTGCATTAACTGGGTCACCTTCGCCTGGTGGGCCATACTCGAAGCACACTGTAGATCGATTTGTTTTTCCTCCCGTTCCGGCTATGAATAATCCCCAGCAACAACCCTCGTCTTCTACCTACAATCCTCCGCAACACGCAGCATGGGCCAAACGAGAACTTAATTTTCCAAGGTATATTTTACTTCTTGAATAATTTTGATGTCATAACAACTTAACATTGTATAAATATTAAGTGATTGTCTAGATGATTAAGGAAACTACACTATATTTTAACTTTTATGAAGCCCTCTCCAATTTAAATCACTGTACATTCGTGACAGTGAGCGGCGGCGGTTTTATTTAAAAACAATTAAAAAAATTATAAAACCTTTTTTTGGTATGATCTTTTGAACAGTTTTAAACAGTCCCATCGTACAAGCAGATATGGAACGTTCAAATGTTTTTGACAAACTTGAATCATGATTCTGTATATATACTTTCGTAACATAAAGATTTAGCAAACGGTCTTCGGAAGAAATGAGAAGAGAATAAAGCAATAATGAGAAAACTAGAGAAGTGCTTGAATAGGTCATTTTTCAGGACTAATTTAACATAATAACTTCTTTTCATTGTATGTACGGTTTTTGTCACAAATTTCGTTCGTATATCAAATATATATCAATGACTTTTTCCAGTAACAGAGCGGAAGGGGGAGGAGAGTATGTTGGTCTACCGATGAATTTAACTGCTCCACCTCCGGGAGCACAGGGAAATATGCAAGCGCCTGAAGGACTACCACCTCCACCGCCTCCTTACGAATACGTCTTGGAGATGGCGAAAGGGCGAGAACGCAAGTTAAGTCAAGGTAAAAGAGAACGCAAAAGCAGTGAAAGAGAACGTACAGTGAGCGGAGGAGAACGGGGTCAAATTCAGAGCGGAGCTGAAAGAGAACGTAGACAAAGCGGACAAGAACGGGAAAGAAGACAAAGTGGTTCGGATAAAGAAAGAAAATCTGGCGGTGGCTCTGGCAGGAAAGGAAAAGCACCGAAGCAGTAAGGAGTTTATTCATAGAATATTAAAGCCAGGAAATATCTTTATGACTCTTATAAGTTTGGGGATGAACGTGGGCACGGCTACAAATGCAGTTGTGGTGTAACATTTTTGTTTGTTTGTTTGGTCTGACGGTGCACTAACACTGTTTAGGTCATATGGCGCCGAAACAGGAAAGACGGTTTTGGCTTACCTCGGGACTTCCAAAACCACCTCACCTTCAGGATCATATAGATGCATAGGCTTCAGTAGTTCGAACCTATTTAGTTGCCTCTTTCGATCACGCATGGTTAAACAGTTGCTGAAATTCTGATGCTGCAACCCCTAAAGGCAACCCTTCCATCACGAGAGGTCTTTACAATTCAAACACCATTTTAATACATTATATTGTTTGCCACTTATTAATTTCAATAATTGATGTATTGTTTTACAAAAGTAATCCACCATTTTGTGTTTGATTTCTCTTTCCTAAATGATGTTAATTAATTTCATTTTTCAGCCTACATCTGATGATGTTGACAACATTTTGTGTACTCAGTGTAATATCAGGTGTCTACTCTGCTGTCACATCTGATAAAACTAAAGTGAACATTGTAGTTTACGTGCCGGCTTCTTTCCCCTTTAAAAATTCTACTATCTACACGGCTCCTGGGAAAATCGTGAAAGTACAAGATTCCAAAGGAATGAAATGGTTTGGTAAGGAACATATAACGCACATATGCACACATAACGGGAAAAGATTTTTTGTGTATTTTAAGATATGATTTACTATAGTACCTAGAAGTAAGCCACAAATTCAAAGATATTTATAACATGTCCGCAAAAGTACACAAAACAAGCTGGAATCAGTCTTCTTTACATAATTATGACGAAGAATCGAAATGGTTGAATGCTTTTAATACGCAATATTCTGTTCATTGTCTATAAGTTTTGCACTAGATATAATCAGATCACAGCTAGCCTACTTATAATGATATTTTCGAGTTTCAATGTTCATGTGTTAAATTTCAAAACAATAACTGTAATTTTACAAATGTAATGTTTTCGAGGAATAAATGTACCTAAATTACTAGAAATAGATATTTCCATTCGATTATCAATTATTCCCACGGAGGATTGTTAATATAAGTTTCATGATTATAAACTGACTTCCGGTCTGTATTTTTCAGTATCTCCTAACCCTATACTTCTCGAGCCAAACGGAACATCAAAATGTACCGGTGTTCTATGTGAACATACATGTGATGAAAATACAGGAAATTGTATCTGTCGCCATGGTTACAATATGGAATATGGTATATGTAAAGGTATGTGATACACTGTTTCTAATATGTGCCGTAGATGTCAAACAAGCCAAATGGTAGCGCAGATCATGTGGCCGAGGTATCTACCACACATCCCAACCGAACTTTGAGAATGGTTTGCGAGGCTGAAATTAACTACTTGCCACTTAAACCTGTTATGTAATTGACAAAGATGTTATTTATAATAACATTTCATTAACAAGAACCAAATTGGCCTCTCCAAGAACCACTATATTTGATACATTTCTTTTCGTTAAAGCTTTATATGAATGGTTTAGCAAACAAACGGTTTTATCCATGACATAAATGAAGGTATTGAGATGTGTATCTTTGATATTATTTCAAATATTTATAAATGCTTTCTGATCTCCTCGGCTATTATTTCGAAATGCACCTCTGACGTAATAAGGCGACATATTGGAACTACTTTCAGCCACATGGTAAAATGGCGGCCTCCATGTTCAACCTTTGTGCCAAAAGTGATAGAAATATGTTCAGAAATTTCGGAGTTGATTTATTTTGGCGATCGAACACTGCCTTATAACAAGGGCTAATCGCGTTGGTGTACTCTTGTTCTACGAACGTGGTCTCTTAGCCGCATTATACGGAAAGACCCGATGTTTTACGATTGTTATATGTGCTATAGACATTTTGTAATATAATTTTTATATATATTTCAGATATAAATGAGTGTCAAACAGGCATGATTCAATGTTCACACTCACAGGCTGGATGTGTTAATGTAGATGGCGCCTATGAGTGTTTATGTATGACCAGCAGTAACTTGTATGAATTTGGAGACCGTTGCCTAGGTAACTGTTATACTTGCTTTGAAATGCAAAGAAGGATAATGAATAAAAAATATTTGTATGATATTGTATACATGTTTAATTTTTATAATCTGTTTGAGCGACTTATAACGTTTGGTCTTTGTCACAAGTTATTAGATAAAAAGTTTTACATATTTACATATATGTTTTGCAAAGCTATATTTGCTTTCAGTCTGCAATTTGATTTCAAACATGTTCATTCATTGATTAATATGGGTTAGAAAGATAAGTCATTTACCAGCAAATGGCTGCCGTGTCATGCTTATATTTTGTCCTTGATTTTTATTTCAACACATTCCGTATCTTAATTATTGGTAACATCGATTTGGCCAACAGAGAACATTAATTTGCTGGTCCATTGATTTTGAACAAATGATTGCTGGTCGGATGGCTTCAAACCCTGACAGGGATAAGTCGTTGTATCATTGAGCAAGAAACTGTATTGGTTGGCTCCATAAATATATCCGATAATATGCCTATAAAATAAGATCTGTACAAACTGGCATCTGAATTGAAATATGTAAAAATGAAATCTCTACATATTTTGAAATATCACTAATTTTTTATTTTATCTTTAATGGTATTTCTAATCAAATAAATTACTCATTCGTGATTTCAAAAAGTAAGTACAGTTTCATCTTGCTTCTCTTTAACCATTATTCATGATTCTTTTACTGATTGCGTTTCCGTCACTATAATTACGTAGGAAAATCTAATTTACGTAATTGTCTGTGAGCGATAATCACATCTGCAGATAATGTTATTGGCGGCAATGACATGATAGAAAATGTCTTTGAACTTTGTAAGACATAAAAGTACTTAATAAAGAAAACTGATAGGCTACATCTCTTTTATCCTTTGATCTAATAATCAAACGCCAAATATGACATAATAAACAATCAATACTTCACGTCACATAATATAATGTCAAGCAATATTCTTGACTTTTTTTAGATTTTTCTATCGAACAAGACTCGACCCTTTTTTTCAGAAAGTTGAAAAAATAGTGTTAAAGCAGCATGCCGCCAAATTCGCGGTAATATTCATGAAAATTATGAAAGTTTATTTTATAAGACAGATATTGTAAAGTGCACAAACTTTGCAAATGCCATTTACAATCCACGTTCAAATATGCAAACATAGCCTTTTATGCGTTAATTACGCAGTAGAAATACGGTGATTAATACTCAGTAATCGCACATAACATGTAAATAAAATATCTAATCTTGTATATTTTTACCTTTCTTAAAATCTTGGTAAATCTTTCTCAAGTTTGACTTTCTATTAATTTCTAGTAATATGTTGGCTCATCTTGACGCATGCTTCGTGTGACTGGTATATACATGTAGGTGAATACTGAATGATTATATTTTATATAAACATTATTATTGTGATTGTTTTAGATTGTAGAGATCCTTGCCCAGCTGGTAAATATGAGATTCAACCTTGCAGAGGAGAAAGCAAGAAAATATGTAAAGGTAAAATACTAAGTTATATAAATAGGCGATATTGAAGAGGGTTTTTTGTTGTCATTTTTACTTGAATTTTCTGTTTATTACATACATTTATCTCTTTTTTGACATTACAATTTGAAATACTTAGCCTTGAAGAATTTAGAAGAAAATAGTCCTAGAAAACACCAGTGAAAATACGAAAAATATGTTTCACTGTTGTGAAAAATTTCTCAAAATTTTACTTATAACTACATGTGTGTATATAATAAAATAATGAAATTGCAAGCTTGTTTTTGTCCTTTGTTTACTCATATGGTAATGTTTTATCAATGCTATTTATTGGTCACTGGGGGTTTACATTGACGTAAATGTTTGTACTACAGTCACATTCTCAAATATTAATGTCTCACTCGTAGACGTTCCGTCTATTTGACAAGTCTACGCTTTTCAAGTTCCTTGCTTTTGAGAAAGTACTATGTAGGAAAAAATCATTCTATATTCTATGTCATCTTCTTTTCAGAATGTACAAAGTCGTGTGGTGAAAATTTCTACATGAAGGAGCAATGTACGGAGGATAATAATGCCGTCTGCCTTAGTGAGTGTTAATATGTGTTAACATTTGAGCCGCGTCATGACAAAACCAACATAGTGGGTTTGAGACCAGCGTGGATCCAGATCAGCCTGCGCCTCCGCGCAGTCTGATCAGGATCCATGATGTTCGCTATCAGTATCTCTACTTGTAATAGAGTTGGTAAGCGAACAGCATGGATCCTGATCAGACTGCGCGGATTCTAGAAATATCCTGTCACCAAAAACTGTGACACTTCATTGCTAAATTATGTTCAATTTATCAATACTGTTGTCTACGAATGTTAAACCATTTTCTGAAGATTTGATTTAACGATGCTAACAACGTGTCCTTTATGGCACAATAATGAAGAAAAGAAATGTTCTAAATATAACCTAGTCTCAAAATAATTCTAAGACTACATGTTATTTTTGCGAACAAATGTCTTTGAACTCTTGTACAATAGCTCTAATTTTAAGAGTACACCTTCGATCAAATTTACAGAATCTTGATCCATATTCGCAATTTTCAAGAAAAAGCTATGTTAAATAAATTGTGTTATATCTTTTAGCATTTAATGTAAAATTTACCCCAAAAAATGTCTCTTTTCAGAATGTCAACCAAAATGCAATGCCAATTTAGAGTTCGAGTTTAGTCAATGCAGCGCAACACAGAATCGAGAATGCAAAGGTAAACTATCCTTATACTGAGAATCGTTGTTACACATCTATATAAAATCTATATAACACATGTATATAAAATCTATATAACACATTTATACAAGAGGGCCATGATGGCCCTGAGTCGCTCAGTTTCAGAGAAGACGATTGTTGACGCATGACGACGGACGCCGGATACATAATAGCTCACCCTGAACCTTCGGTTCTGGTGAGCTAATAAAATCTTTATTAAACCGTTAAACACAGAATCGAAAATACACTGAAAATCTAGATAACACATTTATATAAAATCTATATAAAACCGTTAAACACAGAATCGACAATGCAAAAGTATCAAGTTATGCTGCAATAATGCACACCTAAGAATCAGCTTAAGAAATAGATACATAACTATATCGACAAATCGGGAGTTATTGTACGTTTTGATGCCACTTCCGATTCAAATTTAAATACTCTATTTTAATTTTATTTGTGAAATTTAATTCAATACAACTTTTGAATTGCTCTTCATCTTTAATATGCGTGATATTTTTCAATATAGACAAATGAGATTATGGCATTGTTGAAAGAAAGTATATTACTAAAATTATATTAATTACTAGTGCGCCTTGTGGACTTATTCATTCCAGAGAAAATTCGTCTGCCTAAGCCTCAGATGTCGGCCAATATGATTTTAGATGACCTGGCACCACCAAACGATGAGTTTAAGACAATACCATACCAACCCCGGGGCTACCCTGGTTTTCTGCTAGATCGAGGACTTAATGGTTTGTAAAACATAAAAAGAATAATATTTTAATATCACAAATTGTTGTAATAATTTGACATAGATTACGGTATTTAAACTTTTTTAAACATGTCGTAAAAATTTATGCGGATTTTTTGTGGACTACATGTTTAGTTTTGTTAAGATACACTGTCATTCTTATTTTTAATTATATTACATAAGTATGTAAGCATATGGCAGCTAAAATAAGTTCAAATAAAATAAAATAAGCTAGAATAAGCACGTTATATCATTAAACTAACTATTCCATTCATATTTTTTCAGGTCTAGGGTCAGAGTTTCAGATTCAGGCCAAGGTTAAAGAATTTCAGGCCGTTGTCCTGTTCCGGTCCATCAACCACTCGGCAGCTGTATCAGCTAAAGATTTCACCGGAAACAAGGAAATTATTGAGAGATACTGTCCCTATCCAGTACCTTATATGTATCAACTGAAATATGTGAAACATAATGTAAGTAAAAATGATTTAGATTTTCTTTTTTGGAATCATAATGTATTCACTGATACAAAATTATTGTATAATATGGATAAATTGTATAAAGCTTCAAAGATTTCTTATTTTAATTAAAATGATTGTATAAAATAAATATGGTAATAAATTGCCTTAAAATTGAATGACGCATACACAGATAAAACCTTATACAAAAAATGCCGAATAATATTTTGTTCCAGAGCATTTTCTTCGGTTTACGTAAATTATGGATGTGTATTAAATAAACGAGACATCTTATGTTAGAACTCTTTCGAGAATCGAACCTACGAATATGGAAGCAATATAAGATTTTCTTGTTAATATCTTTATAAAAAATATTTCATAAGATATAGCTTTATACCAGTTAATATGTTTATTACAATATGTGAAGTCTGAGCTATATGCTTTTTGAATAATGTTAATATCCAGAACTTTTAAGTTTGATAGTATTACATATAACTGCACACGGTTTAGATATTCACTTAGAAAAAGATTCTGGTTTGTCACGTACCACGACTAACATAATATTTTGCTTAAAGATGTTAAAATACCCATAAACAAAGATATTATTAAACTATTGTTTTCTTTTAACCTTATATATGTACTCTGTTGTTGTTACATTATTTATTTATTGTGAATTTATCATAAAAAGTTTGGTCAACTTTGAGGAAGGTATGGAAAAAAAAGAATTTTTTTTTCTTAGTATTCAGTTGGGAAAAATGTAAATCATCTTTGCATATGACTTCGCATTGATCGACTGATCTGGGTTGTTGAGGCGGGAACATACTCATAATTTATGTCTGTCTGTTTTCCTCTAAAGTGGGGGATTTTAGCATTGGCCATAACAGCATCATTCTATAAGCCAAAGAAACGTCAAACTCGGTCTTATCAAACGTTTGAACGGGATTTTAAGATGAACTTGAATATGAAGATTGACCCCTGAATGACCATGACCTTCAGGGATAGATACATGAACTATTTCATCTAATGTGAACAGTGATAGTTTGTTTTAAGAATACATTTTGATAACACTTTTTATTATTACAGAATGTTTACTATAAAGAAGACTCTAACGACGGTATCTTAGAACCGTGTGATACTGAGAGGGACAGTTTCCCTGGTAACGCAAACTCGGAAGATGATTTCATTCTATGCTCACAACCAGGGGTCTTCGCGGACGTATTTCAAAATATCAAACCAACAGACTTCAACATTTCTGAAACTGTGTGGGAAGAACGTGATACATAGTAATCAATCTTTAAAACAACAAAATAATTAAATATTAGCATCACGTACTGTAGAACTGTTAAATTAATTATTTAATTAAATATGGATAAATATAGCATGAAATTACTGCAGTATATTTGATATGTATGTTGTATCGCTTGACTAAATTTTATAAAGTTATATTCCTATAAATCCTAAGGTACAACTTTATGTAGAAAATAATCTTAACTTTTATGTCATTTTTCAATATCTTCATATAGAGATAAGAAGGTCGAAGCAGTTTAGATACTTTTAAAATTGCTGTAGGAACCCTATTCTTACTAAAATTATCACCCGATATGACAATGAGAATTTTAAAACAACGTTATTGTATAGATTTTAATTTTGTACTTATATTTCACTTGTAATAGTTTTACTATACCTTTATATATAAGCTTTGTTTATGCAGAATTTATTTTTGTTCGATTGTGTTTCGAATCCGTTTCCGGAACCAACCAATACTGAGCAAGGAGTGTAAAGTTTCTTGTTCAAGAAAACAACTACTTGTACCTGACGAGGTTTGAACCCATGCAGCTAGCGATCAGTAGATTACTAGCCAGACGTGTTGTCCACTCGGCCATGGTGCCACTTACATAAACTTATAAAAGTCATACTTATCTGTAAATAATACAAGAAGTTGTCATGTTGTAGTTGTAGAGAACAACATGAACGCTGTGAGAATTGTTCACGTAGCTGTATCATACAAATGAACGCTGGAGGAGCTAGAAACTGTGACATCTCTGCTGCAGACGACACTGGAAAATCGCCGAGGATTCCGACTTGCGTCGCGTGCTGTACACGTGATAACTGTAGTAGTCAGTGTAGAAGTTATCATAAAGGACGCTGCCAAATGGTCAAGTAAGTTTTATCCCCTTTATCTGAAGTCCATTGTTTTTGTTGTCAATGGTCTAGTTTTCAAGTAGAATTATAATGTTGGTCTTTTTAAAAATGTTCCCCTTTATATCATCACATGACTTACTGAATGAATTGGAACACTACGTTTTCAAGATACCGATTGAACATTTTAAGGCTTATATGTTATCCATTCAAGGTGTCAGAAAGGGCCGTTACTCAAGCTGGAACTGAATCCTATTTACCCAGCAGACGACACGTTTTATTGTCACGTGGAGCCAATTCTTGGTCAGAGAATATTAGTCATAGAGTATGAAGTCAAGCTAAATAAACACTCGGATTTGACGTTCTTCAAGGGCAAGCTTTCATTGTATACAGATGAAAATTGGCAGAAAACGGGGAAAATGCAGGGGACGTAAGTATATCGTATTTATACATGTACATATACTATGATTCTTATGAATGTATGTTAAGAATAACTTTTTTTCAATTATTTTTGTAACAATATGAAACCGAAATATTATCTAAAGCTTCACTGTTAGCGATTTTTATAACAAAATATTGAAACCTAGCAGCCAATGAGATCTTGGCAAGACTGTTCAGATATGAAGGCTGGCTGGTTTGAATCTTCACTAATTGCAATGATCTCTTTTAATTGCGGCGAACACTCGTCGGGTTAAAATGTTACATATGCAATAAGATACAACTGAAAACTTGGCTTTATAAAATTGCAATATCTCATTTATAAAAAGTAAATATTTTACATTATTATCCAATGTTAATTTCATATTGGCCAACGGGACTTATTCTTATTGTTAATTCAAGTGGACTTTGTGACTAAAAAAATGTACTGTTACAAAGGTGACAGTACTTTTTTCACAGTAAAAAACTGAAAAATAAAAACATATAGAAACAGTGTCCTAATGAAGTACAGTGTATTTGTTCGGGGTAATAACATAAATAACACATAAGTTTGTGAGTAAGAGCAATAACATCATCCCTCGTAAAATTACTGTTACCCGAGGCTAACAGTATTTTCATCGCGGATGATATTTTTACTGTTACTCACAAACCCATGTGTTATTTTTTTACTAACATGGTTAACAAATTCATAGATAAATATACATTGCAATTACAGTGGTTATTTTGTTTTGCAGTGACAGTATAATTCACGCTGAAATAGACTCTCGCCTTGGTGAGATACCGAACTTTATAAAGGGGAAAGTTGGAGATATACAGGTCGGGGTTGGTAAATACACCGTGGAAGGTGAAAGCAGTTTCCTGTCAACTGTTACATCTAACAATAACATCTCCATACAACCTGGTAGACCTTTTGGTATTAATCCAAAACAATTTGGTAAGTTATTATCATAGATTTAAGTAAACTTATTAAACAAAATTATTGATAACAAAATATTGAAAACATATTGATTTCTTAGGCATAACCAGCCTTTAAACGAAGAGTGTACAAAGATCATATCAAGCCATAATCAGGATATATAATTCATGTCAACTTGTGTATATATATATTACAGAAGTATTTAATTAGTACATGCAGTATATAGTTTATTCACCAAAAAAATAATAGCATAGTATATAAATATAAACTTCATGACATTTTTACGTTCTTTAACATGATTTTATTTACCATTAGGAAAGGAAAAGTGTAGTGACAGTACGGTGACTTGGGAAGATGTTGTTACTGGAAGAAGTAATGATATATACAATACATCCACCGATTATATCGCCATGTTTCATCAACAATACACCTATCTGGTGAACGATAGGTCAAAGGCCGCTATATTGAGAATAAAGCTGAACGAGAAAATGTCCCTGTTAAAGGCTGTACGTAAACCGACAAAGGTTTTCTACGAGTCCCTGTCAGCTAATATGACTATGAATGGAACTCATTGGATAATTATAATGACTGGAAAAGTTGAAGATTGTCCTGGTTAGTAGTTAAATTTCACCAAGCATCAATTTTTATATATATCCAAATATTATCAAATTATATTTTCATATAACATCGGTTTTTATATATATTAATTATGGATACTTTACTATATCATTTTAAAATATTATAGCAAAAACATATATATGTTCATTTAACATTTTGGCGGTACAATGCATGATTGTTACTCATACTTTCCGAATATGAAATATGATATTATTTCATTTTGAAGTGGGATATTCTATATTTTCCAAAGCGCAAAATGCGAGTGAAAAAAGGTAAAAACATCTCACTTTGAATGAGATACATTTAATATTTCCTCTAAATTAACAAATTTTATTTTCATCAAGCATCGATTTTATATAGATCCTCTATATCTAATTATAACTCAAAATTATAAAAATATCTTTTATCTTACATCGATTTTTACAAACATGTATATCCATTATCTTTCTGTTTATAGAACCAAATGAGTATAGTTCTGTCAGTTTTTAACTGTGTGATATTTTTTTATATCTAACTGATATATAAATTTCCTCATACAGAAGAATATTATGATAAATTTAATATATTTTGCTTATTTTAAGATATTTACTCAAATATGTTTCTACTCTGTATAAAATAAAAGGTTTGATTTCATAGACCTGAAATACCAGGTTATAATAATACTTGTTTCACTCAAACATGCTGTACAGTCATTTTTCATTCATCAAACTTTATTAAACCTTTATCATATTGCAGGTGTTTTCAGTTTGAATCTGTCGGACCCGTACTACATTGACACACCTCTGTATCATTTTGACGTGGGTATAGAGTGCCCGACAGACTTTAGACTAGTTTTCACCGTTCCCACGGGTGATTCACGTGCAATGTCCAAGGACATGCAGATCCAAGTCAAGGACACATTAGGCACGTTTATTCTTAGGATACATACGGTTGGAAAACCAGATATCTACGCTTTTAAAACTGGTAAGTTTTGCATATGTAACTGTATTATTTGTAAGCGAAATCATTTTTCATTGCACTAAAATTGAAATACCCACTTTTAGGTACGATCGCATTAAAATATAAGGACTTCAAATTAGATTTACACTGAATTACTTTTCCTGAAACCATGCATTAATACTAAACTAGTGAATTGAATTTCATATGCTTGTACTATCATGGACACTCTTTGGACTTTTCTGATAAACTTTCTTTGAAAACAACATTACTGTTTAGCTTTTTTAATCACACCAGAGTCTATCTTTTATAGTATTAGTGTGTTTTTATAAAAAAAGAAATTATTGCTTTTGTTCCAAAAAGGCCTTAGCAAAACAATTAACATGAAACTGTTTGGGACATAAACAGACTTTGATATAGATCATATATTGTTTTCAGCGCCAGATACAGAATCCCCGACTGCACGTGAAGTGGTGACGTCAGACGAGTCCACCTACACAGCACCGATACATTTCTCCATACTCTTTGTGGCTGTGGTGTTTGGGGCAATATTCCTTCTTGTGCTTTTACTCATTTTTGGAGTCGCTTGGAAACAAGGTAAAAGAAGACAATGTTTCAAGTTATAAAATTTATTATAGTTACTTAATTTTGGGTTTCTTTTATAAATGTATGTCTCTGATTATGAATATTTGCATAAATTACATGCATTGTCTTCATATTCATTATACCTTTTTAACAGACTCAATCAAACGACTCTGCAATTTTCACGTATTTATTTTGCTTTCGTTGCTGCTATTGAAAGCTCCTTTTCTACAACAACTGAGACTGTAATAGTCATACTTAAACTTATATATGTTATACATTGTAATAATACAATATGGTAGACAACTCCAGAACCATATTGGACTATACGCCAGACCAATATTTGGCCTATCTCACCACAAATATGTGACTTATCTCGCCAGCATATTGTTATAACTACTTACATATAATTATACAGTAAATAATATTTAATATACTGTACAACATTATTTCTAATTTGTATATCATATCCACGTGTTTCAGGTATACCGGAAGGAGATATTCAGCGGTTCCGGATTCGCCATCTTGTAATGCTGGTAGTTTATATAACGTTCCAGTTTATATATGCTCTCTTCGTCTCAATGTCAGTGTTTGTGATGATAATAATAGCTGTCAATGGGTAGGTTTGGTTTTATAAATAAAATAACTCCTAAATATTTAATTGCGCTTCTTGTGTAATGATAAGCAGCGTTTATTGTACTAGGTATTTTCTCAATTTTCTCTCTTATAAATCTCCTAAGTATCTATACTTCTTAATATGGGGGTGTCAGAATCATTCTTGCCACTAAGTCCGATCCTTATTTCAGTCGGACAAAAACATGTCATATTGCAGAACTATCACTCTTGCTGGGCTGCAAAAAATCAGGGAAGAAAAATCGACCTTTTCCCTCTGTGAAAAGTCTTAACATTAAAAGACAATCTTTATTTAGGACTTCGTGACATTTCGTTTTCACATAAAAGAAGTTCTGTAAAGCATTGAGAAAATTAAGAAATCGGCCTGTAAGTGTTGAATATATCTCTTCACGCAAAGTCGTTATTTTACTAAAGTTATATATTTTTGTACCTTAAATTGAACTAGCACGTAAGCGTGTTCAGTTTATTACTGTGGTATGTTACGGCCGTATATAGCGCTCTCTCTTTTTCTTGCATACCAGTTTCATAAATGTCGGCTGTTGCTAATTCTAATTGCATTAGCTGTGACAAACGCAGAAACAATATTGCTTCTTTAAGTCTTTTTGGACATGTTGGTGAAAATTGTATACTTTTTAAAACAAACAAACTAATGTACATTTATATATACAGGGAAACAAGTAAATTCTTGAAACAGTACAATCAGCAGAGGTCAGTAACAACTGCATTAAGCCAGTTAGAACTGGATTCGATGGAACTTCATTTAAGATCAGAAATACAACGCCAAAATAACGAGGCTTCAACACGGAAACAGCTCTGTCACGCTACAATACAGTCTGTTATAACAGACGTGGAAAGGGTAATTACCTCTCATGACATTAAGATATACAAATTTAAAAGAACACTTTGTATGGCGACTTTCCAGCTTTAGTGGAGGAGGAAGACCTTAGGTGCTCCTCTATGCATCATTTCAGTCACGAGCGGGCAAACCAAGTGACACAAGACAAGTTGGCTTTAACAAACGTCTGGTTGTTTTAAAATAAATTATGTTTTTTATTATAGCATTTATTTAGAAAACTAATGTACTACAGACAACTATCTGCAATTATTATTACACGAGTGACATGTACTTGAATATTCAAAATGGCTCGTTCGTTGACAGTGGTGATCACTTTGTCGTACTTTTCTGTTTTCGCCTTGCGCCACTCGGAGAAAATATATGACATGGCACAAATCATCAACCATACTTCAGTGCTTATTTTGAGCAAAGGATGAACTTTGATTGCAGTATGGCTTCTTGTTTAAAAGTACATTGATGTTGACAGTGGTCGAGGGTTGTTAATGCTATATAAAGGGGGAATCTTCAATCGTGAATAGCCACGCAGTTTCAAAATTAAGTAATTATGTTATTTTTAAACAACCCTCGTACATGACTTCTGCATCAAACTGAAAATATTTTCTGACTTCTTGTGTAGTTATAATGAAATTTTAAATTATCGTATATCTGTGTAGCTTCTATAATACTTATAATTTACATGTGTCCATTTTTCATTGCTTATTTCAGTTACAGAAATCAATTGAGACAAAAGCTATTAATAAAGTACAGAGACAAAGCATAAAGAAACTTGTAATGGAGCACACTGAAGCAACATTTGATGTTTTCTCTAGAGATATACAAAAGTTCAGGTATGGCTCTCGTGATCTTTAATTATTTTATGGTATTAATAGTAATGTTGATATCTTTCTTGCTGAACATATATTTCTAATAGATCTTGTATTCTTGTTTGCTTGAAGTTTTATGCGCTTGCATTGAATAAAAATATCGCAGAACTATTCTATGTTTGCTTTTCCTTTTAGAGATTGGAAATATTTTTTACAGTTATGCTAAGGAACATTAATTTATTTTTGGACAATTTATCTCGTTTATTATAGGGACAGGTACAGAAAGTATGAGCAGTATGTTTTGGACAAACTTAGGTCCGAGACAGAGACTACATTACAGAGTATACAAAAGTCAAAATGGCTGCGTGGAGCACAGTACCTGTATCAGATTGTAGCTATAAACAAGAAACTGATGAGCCCAGGAGCCGATATGGTGTCATTTATGACTTGGGTGAATATGGACACGGACATGAAACATCTTTTACAAGGTTACATTCATCATATTTATTATTTATATTGAAAAGAAATATCACTCTACATAATATTGAAAAGAAATATATGTATATAGGTATTACTGGAATATATCAAGTTCTTTTGGAATTATATTTTGATCTTTTCGCTACTTGAAATTTTCATCAGTATTAAGGTATCTTTTTATTTCGCTGTTGTTGACGGTTAAATTCTTCATAATAAGTATTTACGGATCTAAAAATGAAACCTATATTAGAAAAAATGCAAACAATGGTAATAAGAATAAACTGTAAAATACTGATCATAGTAATGTTTATCATGTTTGCAGAAAAACTTCAAAATATAAGTTTACTTCATGGTTAAATTTAAAAATGGTTATATGCTCCATATGATTTGTTAAAAGAATAACCACACAGAAATGAATTTATAGACACGTTTACAATTTATAACTGCTGAGCTCTATGAATATATGCCTTTACTGTATTTGGTTTCAGGTTTAACACTGTCATTACCAGATTTACCAGACTTGAGAAATAGTCAGTTTGCCAACAATATGGATGTCAATAAAAAGGAGGCGGTCCTCTCACATACTACACCCCTTTCATCACAAACAATAAACAAATGGTTTGTGCAACCTGATGTTTATAGTAACAAAGTGAATACAACAAAGGCTAACACTGAAGGTACATTGCATCATAAGATTAAAACAAACTGAGTTCAGATTTTATAGCTACAAAGTTTACTAGTTTTATTTAACATCTCAATCCTTTAGGTCTTCATATACTAGTAGATAAATTCTAAATATCTGGAAAAAAGTGATCCCTCGGAAGCATCAAAAACAGCAAAATTACATGAAAATTGCAGACTCGGTTTGATTGAGTCTGTACATGAGGGATAATAAAAAAGTGAAACATCCCTCATGCCCCCTAGCACCGATTTGAGTGATACTCAATTCTCAGCACTTAAAAGTGCAGGACTCAATGTTTCGAGGAAAAACAACATGTATTAGTAGTGCTTGTTAAAAAACTATATTTTGATTTTGAACAAATACACTTATGTTACAAACAAAATATGTTGATATATCTTTTATATATAGTTTCTAAACTTCATAGTTGAAAGTGAATAGGGCTATTAAATTTCTTATTACTTTTGATTTTTAAAACATATATTTCTTTAGTATAAAGAAATTGGGTAAGAGTACGATTTGAAAAAGACAATAATATAAAAATGTTTAAGCTTTTAAAAGGGAAAGAACGGAAAAAATGTACGATTTCGAAAAGCAAACAAAAACATTGCAGACTTTTATGAACAATTGCAGAAGTAAAGTATTATGTCATAAATCGCTTGAACATACCTTTAATTTTCTTTATTTAAGGTTTGTATTCGCAAAATAGGACATTATTTTAGTTCGATTTATAAATAATACATCATAATAAACAAAACAAATATTTTGTAATTTACATTGCAGAAGCAACGAAGAAAGTGTCGACTTTAGATCCCGGAAGTTACGTCATTTTCATGGTGTTCATGGTGATCATTGATATATTCTGGATGTTACACCGTATGATTAAAGCTTGTGGGATAGGACAACTTCTGTTATACGGTTATCCGGTATATGTGGACGTGAGAGAAAAGAAAGGTTAATATAACAACATTATTCTTTGTCATATTTTAACATACAGTTAAGGATAGAAAACTCATGTTTTCAACGTTTTCCATCTCATTTCTTCAAGGCATTTCCATTGCACGACTGTACTTCAGTCAAATGTAACGAAAAGTATTCATGAACAGTATTCATGAACACATTAGTATGGGTTTTAGCTCTTAATTAGGATATGTGTCATATTTTAATGAGGTCATATTTATGTGGATATCATCAAGCATTTAACGGCAATGACTTAAAACTAGAGTTAAGTATTTAAATAACTACAAAGGAATATAACTGAAAATAATTTAGATCTAAAATCATTTATTCCATAATGAAAATTAGAGAATTAGAAAATTTCAATTGTAATGTTAGAAATCGTCAAGTTATAAAATAGTTAACCCCATGGGATTAAAATCAAGACGTCCCATTGGATATTCCATGGGGAAAAAATCCCATAGGAAAAAACTCCCATTTACAAATAACTCCTGGAAACATTCTGTGTCAATTGATTTTTAAAACCAAAGTCGTTAAATGAGAAAGGACATGTCCAGTTAAAGTACTGTTGCGGCTATTAAAATGTATATAACAAAAGACACAAATTGTTGAATTAAAGATGTATAACAAAGTTTAAAATCTATGAAATGTTAACAAAATACTTAATTATTATTATTGTGATTAACTGACAGGTATATCCAATGGTATGTATGAAATGGGATGTTTTGGTCTAGTATAGAATTATAGGGCATTAAAAAATTACAGTATGTTTTAGTTCAATAGACACATTATAACTTAAAAAGTGATGGATATTTTGATTTGATTTTAACAAAATAGAAACCGCTCATTTCTTGTCATTGTGTTTTGCATTTGAGTTGTTAGTATATTCAGTTTTAGTTTATGTTGCGTTTAAAAACCATGGCATTTTTGTTCATAAGAAAAATATGAAATGTAAGCATGACTTTTGGTATATTTTCCTTATTTGGTTACACTTTATTTATAAGTTTATTTTCGTAAAAATTACCACAGAGGAGTCTGAGAGAGATGACTATTTTCTACGTCGCTACAGAGCCAACAGTAAATAGTTTAAACGTTATGATTTCCCCCGTCACTCCATCAATACCTTAATTTTATTCATATTTGCACTTCTTGCTTCGATTAAACCATTAAAGTAAAACATTTTTGTAATACAGGCGTTGAGTTAATAAAACTTCTGTCTAGGTTCTGTCTCAAAAATCAAGTTTTTCATTGGTCAGTGTACAATTTGTGACAGTTTCTGAGTATGTCTTTATAACCTGGGAACCAGGTATTTTAATTCTATATTAATTTATATTAGTGTTCAGCGAACGTGAGACAATATGTATGAAATTTAATGAAATCATACTAATAATAAATAACAAAAATAAAAATGCGATTGCCTTCCAATAAAAAACAAACTTCAAAGATGTACCTGCTTTTCTTTAATCGTACCTGAACCTTTGCTCGCTCGTGAGACTTTGTGAACATTTTCACTTCTCATTGAGATAAACATGTATATAAAGCAATCAAAACAGCATAATTTTATTAAAAAAACTGTCAAATATTCTTTATTATGTAACAAATCTATATATTATTAATGCTTATAAAATTTTATCAGTGCTTCACTTTCTATATTATATTCATTCACATGTCTACCAAATCCACTTCTTTATCTAAGCTATCAAATTGCCTTGTCTTTCTAATAGATTAATTATGTCATTTTTATAAGAACTGAAAGCGGGTAAATAATACTGATATTAAAGGCGCATTATGCCTAAGAAACCAGTAATATTTTCCTTCTTTAGAAATGGCAAAAATAAAGTTTATAGCGATTAAATAATGATTTTATAGCATTTTAGCAGCTGATCACATGAATGTAGGACGTAATTATAATTTGAAATTATTTGTTTAAAAAGTAGGAAAATGTAAACAAAGAAGTATTTTGACTTCCATACAAAATACTTAATCACTATAAATGGACTTATTGCCAAAAAGGCAATATAAGCAAAATATGGTTTAGGTAATTGGCCAAAAAGGAAAATTTTGGAATATTTAACTGATCATTAGAAATAAAGATGCTTTCGAGAAATAAAAATAAAAGAATTTTGAGGCATAATGGGCCTTTAATAAAAGAGATAAGTATTTGAAAAATCTATTTTATTGTAACGAAAAAGCAAGTAACTTAACATATATTGAGTAAAGGGGACTTGCAGAAAATTACAAAACCAAACAAGTGTTTTGTTTCTATTTGTATAATGTAGAATTGTTACAGAGACTGAGCGAATGTTTTAGTCTTTACAACTGAATTGTTCTAGCAATATGCTAATCTAGGTTTTAAAGGCACACCACTGAGATTTTTTTGACATGATGGGACTGAAAAAATTACTTTTCGAGATAAATGTTCCATTTAACGTGTGTGAAAAATTTCAGATCATTCGCTTCCTCTATTTTTTCCAGAATAATAATTCTTTTCGTGAAAAGTGAACCAAAATCTCAAAGCGTTGCAACGCTTTTCACTCAGATCGACTAAGAATAGCACAAAAATACGATTTTCAATTTAGATTAAATTTCTTCTCTTTTTTTTGCATTTAAACCTTTTCGGTTTAAGTGCTTCCGTTGATTGATGGTTAGAAATTTTAATTTACGTTTTTGGACCTCAGTGGAGTTCTTTTAACCTACATTTTAAAAATACGAAGATTATTATAACATTTATTCATTATTGTTACAGAGGGCAATGAAGAAGTGAAAAAGATCAACAAAAAGCCAATGTCAAGTAAATTCAAAACTATCCTCAACAAGGTAATTTATCTATATCCTTTATAGAACTATAGAGTTACACGCCTCCAGATGAGTCAAAATAGTTCAAGATAATCAAACTTGATGTTCTTGATCAAACTAAATGTACTATAATTTTAAGGAAAGAAAAATAGTTCATGATTCAAGTAATGTCCATGTTATATGTAGTTTATAACCGATTTTGCAGTATTTTTCCTTATTTGATCTTATTTTGGTAACTTACATTGGTTCAAGGTGCCGTTGGCGTATGTGTAAATTATTTTCTTTGTTCATTTCATAATAATTCACTTTTTGATACATTTTTATTTTTTTATGAAAATAAGCAGGAATCTGGAAGCTTGCTGCTTTAAAGTTAAAAAAATATATGCGCGTTGAGAAAAATCACAAAATTGCATAACATATCAGTCTTATTAGTGAATCATACTATATAATCATCCCATATTTTCATGGTATTGGTATGAAACAAAATAATCTTTAATAGATATGTTTACCTATCTTCGTCTTGTATGTGGGGAACATAATTATTACCAGTTAATTGTTTAACTATTTTCTCTACAGTGAGTTTTAAAATATAAAAATTTGGGGCAGCTATTAACTTGCGGTCTGATGGCGTTCACAGATTCTACCCGGCATGAGCAGAGCAGACCAAAGATCTGTCGGCACATCCATGCCGTCTGATCATGGTCTAAACTGTTTCCCATTTGGTCAATGCATATTTTGGAACATTCCCGAAATTTCCACAGAAAAGACGATTACTCTTGTCCTATTGAAAGTTGGACAAGTCCACTATAGATGATAAGCGTGGGAAGGTTTTGTCATGTTTTATAACAATTATATTGATAATATATTCTACTTTATTCTACATATTTGTATATAATATTTCTATACTATTTTCAAAAAAAAAAAAAAAAAAAAAAAAAAAAAAAAAAAAAAATTTAATAGCAGCATAACAGGTAGTTCTTTTGATTTACACAATGATGTTAATTGTACTACGCGTAATGTAATTTACCTCATTACATGTAAAGGCTGTAAAAAGCAATACGTAGGTCAGACTAATCAAAATGTATCATGCAGAATGAATAAACATAGATTTGATATAAGAAATTGTGACGTTAATCCAGTTTCACATGTTGCGATCCATTTCGGATCAAACGATAATAAGTGTTCATTGTCAGATTTTTCATTTTTACCTATAGAAATTATAGACAACAACATGGACCGGTTATGTAAAGAATCTTTTTGGATTCATAAATTAAATACTATGATTCCAAATGGACTAAATAATAAAGTATTGTTTGATTTATAATAGGTTACATGAATATTAATATGTTTGTCTATTATCTTATTTTTATTAACACTGTCTAATAGACATCTGTATCACTGTTGATCCATTTTAATTCATGTACCAGCTTTATTTATAGCATAAATATTTGTTTCTACATGTTATCATAGTTTTGCCGCTAAACGCCATAACGTTTTTCGCGCGTTTAACGCGTGTTACGTTATGACGTCGCTTCCGGTAATTTTATTATGTTTTGCACTGATGAAGGCATATAGCCGAAACGTTTGCAATTAAATTAAATTACTAAATGTTCGTGTTTGTGTGGCTTGTCTGATTATACTATTTTCAGGTATTATCTACGTTATTTATACCAAAGTTGATAGGAACGCTGTTCGTTTGTCTCATGGTATATTTTGTGTCATTGTGTGCGTACAAGTTCATCAACAGAGAGACCTTCAGTTATCTTGGTTATCATAACGACATGGTGAGTATAATCAGCAAGCTAAAATAATCTCTAAAAATGATGATTTTACTGGACAGCTAGCGTGAATGTACGAATGTAGTGTATTTAAAAAAAGGCACTCGTGCCTTTTAGCTATTGCTCTCCATTGCACATTCTTATTTAATGATTGCGGCGTGTTCTGTTGGATGCAAGATTACGGGCATTGGTTGGAATCTTAATTGTAAGATTTTAAACTTTAGATACTTCCATTGTAAAGTTTGAACACTCCTTTTGACCCTTTAATATTACGTTCATGCTTTACATCCAATTTCTTCAAACGTTTGGCGTAGGAAGAGATCATTTTATTTTATGACTTAAAAATAAAAAAACCTGTTATCTCCTTTTCCGGATCAAATGTAGAAATCACTAGTATTGTGGCACTTCCTACTTTCAGGAGGACATTATGCGAATAAACGAAGATGTTATGAACCGCCGCTTGAGGGCGCATGCTGAGCGTATAAATGGTCTGGAATACAGAATGTATGAAAATGCGATGAATATTAACATACAGAATCATCAATACGTGTTAAACTTGGTAGAAACTCAATGGAGGGCTATAGAACAATCTCATACACGTGCATATTGCACGTATTTGAAGAGGATAAATGTAACAGCGAGTTGTAATAGTGACGTAGGTGACGGAACGCTGTCGGAAGTTAGACCAGATAGGTGTTCTTTCCCGCCGGTCACGCCCGTACTTTATAAAAGGTAAATATATTCACCTGAATTGTAAAAGGAGATGGCTAAACTAAATGTTACATTCGTGTGATGTTTAAAAAATTATCGGTATAATATAGGGGAAACATGACCCCGGACCCACTGAGCACTTAGTTTGTACACTATAAGGAACTTCGCAGTGAGGTGAGGAGTTTTTTGTGCTTATACGAGTAAACCAGTATTAAAGCAGCAAGTCTCCAGACTCGTGATTACTTTGATAAAAATAGTACTTATAAGCAAAATATTGTTATGAATAAAGCATACAATCCACGCAATTTACCACACAAAAAGATGTCAAAAATATAGAAAAATACCCCTTACTGTGTTAGTTACGCAATAGAAATATAGTGATAAATACAGTAAAATCAGTCATTAATCGCTCATAACATGTTAAGTCTTATTACAATGTACTTGAATAATGAATCTTTTACTTTTCTTAAAATCTTATTACATTTTTCTCAAGTTTGATTTATTGAAATATTTTGGCTCATCTGGGCGCGTATTCAATATACATCTTAAGATGATCTTATCCTTAAATATGACCTTATAAATAAGAACATCTTAAAATCAGCAGTTTTTTTAAGAAAAATTGTAAGATGTATATTGAGTATGGGCCTTGGAGGCATGCAACTTAAAGAAAAACGGATACTTTGAGATTTGTAATGTAGGGAAGAAATGCAGTATTTTGTTATATTTTATTTTGTAGAAATGAGACATCATCATCAAAGATAGCTGGCATGCAGTTAGATGGATTTCTAACAAATATTCGTAAACTAGTGAACGACACGTGTTACATCATTGTCATCTACCTATCTGCCATTGTTATAAAAGAACTGCTCGGGACAGTGCTATGGATATATGTAAAACGGTAGGTATCAAAATTATATTATTTGAGATTTCAGGTGTTTTTTTTCTCTCCAATTTTTTGAGAAAATGTATAATGTTGTGGAATATAATAATATTGAAATTAATTTCATACGCGGATTTTGTGTAGGATAATGGATACCCTGTTAGAACTGCATTTCATAAATAAACCATCAAATATTTGTTGTTGCTTTGTTGTTTCATTAATAATTAATTAAATATTTTAATGTATCACTTCAGATCTGGTTTTGTGAGTTTAAGAATAATCTACGAGACAGATGAATCGCCAGGTTCTGCCGACAGTTCAACTACTAACAAATGAAAAATGCCATAGTTCAGATTGTGATTCATTTAAACAACACTGTTGTAAAATCTTTACTCTGGTGTAAGAGATTTAATTCTGAAGAGTGAGGAATAAGGACTTGGGTAGTACCGTCCGGAACAATCTGCTATAAATATATAGCTAGATACATTATGCAAACTAGGGATTTTTACCATTGAAGTGACGAATAAAGACTCAGTGTACTATGGTCTGTAACAGCACTGTTTTTTAATGTATAAATGAATATAATTAACTGGATATTTGAATCTTGCAGTGAGGAATAAAGACTTGTTTACTGTGGGTCATAACAGCACTGTTGTTTCAATATATAATTAGATATACGTTGTATTATAAATTGGATATTTAACTCTTGGAGTGAGAAATAGAAGACTTGGTTGCCACGTTTCATAACAGCACTGTTGATGGATATATTGTAAACTGGATATTTATCTTAATATTTAGTAATTCATGAACAAACATTGTTGAATACTCAGAAATATTTGTTGGAGAGGGGGAGACAAGCTAATTAAATGCAGTGGAGCATAATATTCACTTCAAACGTTTTGAAGATTTTGTGAAAACAAACTCAAATGACTGTCGAATTGTTAACATTTTAAATTATCATGGATTTTGATAAGTTTTATGAATATATCTATGTTTTGAAAGACGCTGATTAGATAATGCATTGAGTGCCAATGAAATATTTTTTTGCCTTACGCAGATTGCGCATGCGCAAAACATTGCAACTGACCTATTTGCATTGTGAAAAATATGAATTAACCGATATTTTATAATTATATTCTACGGTAATGCAATAATAGTGCGAAATAAGGCAGATAAAGGCGCATAGACAACTTATGCTGAGATTCTAAAAATAGTAACAAAGTACCAATTAATTATGTTTTTTTTTTACTTTTGTTAAGAAGATCGTATTATAATTTTTTTAATTTATGAAAATATAAGCATTGATCCTATAACCATGCAATGTGTGACAGCGAGTTTTAGATATCTTGAAATTATGTGTACAGTATATTGTAAAGACAAATTTTCTATACTGAGGAATAGCAGAGCGGTAGAAATCTAAACTATGTACCTATAAAATACATTGTTATAGTAACAGGCATTGCTTGATATATTATGTATGTTTATTGACTAAAACTTTTTTTCTAATAAACTGCCAATTTTGGTCAATTGTTTTAAAACATTGAAGATGTTTTCCTTTGTGAAACGGTGAAATGCATGTACCTTTATTGCACAGTACAGTCGTGTATATGTATGATTATGTAAATGACTGGCAATGTGGTTATTATTCTATACTTGAAGTTTTAAACATTGTTTTGGCAACAAGATTATTATGTTTATTGTGTTTCTTTCGAATTATAAAATTGGTGCATTTTTATTAATAATATTTATTGTAATAGTATTTCGTCATCTCATATGCAATAATGGGCTAACTCCTATTGAAAATAAGAAGAGTTAACATGTTACTGCACTAAGGTCACGATTTAATTAATTTAAGTATGTCATGTTATTCTTTCTATGTATTATTTGAATAATACAATTTATTGTGGTAATTGAATAATGCAATTTGTTGTATAAATTGAATTATGCATGCAGTTTGTTGTATTATTTGAATAATGCAATGTATTGTATTTTTTGAATAATGCAATTTGTTGTATTGTTTGAATAATTCAATTTGTTGTATTAATTGAATAATTCAATTTGTTGTATTATTTGAATAATGCAATTTGTTGTATTATTTAGTATTATTTGAATAATGCAATTTGTTGTATTATTTACATCATACAATTTGTATTCTTTAATTATTTTCATTGAATGTGTATTATTTTACATTGTATAAGTGTTTTATTTTAGCAATTGTAAGAAAAATTCAATACACATGTAGCCTGTCTATGCTAACGTTACACTGATTTTGTATTGATATGCATGTACATGTAAAATTGTCAATTCAGAGTAACTGATACCTGAGTAACAGTTATAATGTATTTATAATGTGTAAATATATGTACATACTTCATTATTACATTGATCGATATTGTTGTGAACAAAAATTAAATAAAAATCTGATACAAACAATTGTTTTATTTTCTTGAATGACATTATTATTACTCCAATTTGAAATTCCAGGAATTTCAAAGGGATACTGCCCCAACTTAATTTCTTGACTTGTATAACATTCAATTAAAATTCTGTTCTTGCATCATCCTCGCCGTATTTAACTGTCTCGTTTCTTTCATTCTGATTTACTATAAAATAGACGAGGGGCATGTATTAGTGGCAACGGTGGAGTGTTTTTAATAAAGAAGTCATACCTGTGAAAAATGATTAGTTGAGTCCTTCAAAATATTCACCATGGACCTCTTCACACTTTTCCAGCCTCAGAATCCATTCCGAAAAAGCATTGTTCAACTGTTCTTGGGGTATACTGTTCATACACTATTAGAGAGCGTTTCCGACGGCACTACGGGCTTCGAACCAGCGACCGCGAATGTAAAATCCGACGATACATGCGCCGCTCGAACCAAAAGTGGTGAAAGGCAATTGGTTTGAAGTCAACGACCTTAATCACTCCGCCACATCTCAATGTTATATTTTGTTGAAGTACCTGAACGATTAAAATACTTCTTATTTTAAAGTGACTTATAGACCCGTTGGGTCCAGTGTTTACAATTAATTATTTACATTATTGTTATTACATGTACACATGTCACTATAATAAAAAATTTACTTACTTATTTACTATACTCTGTTAAAACTAATTAAGGTAAATTGTCAATTTTCGAAATAACATCCTAAAACCCATAACAACAACAACAACAACAACAATAAAAACAACATTTATGATACCACTTACAGTTTTATTTCAAATTCACCAAAGGAAGACATAACAACAATATTTCTACAAATGTAATGACCAAACTCCAGCGTCATAATTGTATGAAATGAGATAAAATTCAAGACTATTAAAGGTACATGCCCAAAGATTCATGTTATTTCTTTTTTACAAAAAAAAATCGTTCTTACCCTTAAAACTGTTGACAAGTATACAATTTAAATGATTTAACCTAAACTTAGGCAATTATTATCCATCAAAAATGAAACATTTGAAAATATACATATATAACTGTTACTCTGTTAATGCCAAGGGCAGAAATAAGGTAAAGAAAATAATAATTAAATTAGGTTACATTTTGCATATAAAAGTGGCAAGGATTGAGAATATTTCATCATCTGTTAAAATATGTACAGTCAAACATGTGAACAAAAGCCAGGGTCTTTACAGACAAGTGGGCTTTAGTTGGAGGTTACTTTGTTCTTATTAATTAATGATTGCCAGTGTTTTTTTACAGATGTTCTTAATTTAGAGATGGTCTTTAACACCTGTTTGACTGTATTATTGTATATTTTTCTGTTTGGTTGTTTTCAAAATAAATGTGTTCATTCATCTTGGGGGCCTGCACCTTTAACATTCCATATATTAAATTTAAAAAAATCAAAATCTGAGAAACAAAAATTGAGAATAATTACAAAACCTTGCATTTTTTTCTTATAAAAAAGAAACAAATTCTAATTTTAACCCTTAACCTGTTGGAAACAAAAGTGACCAGCCTGTGTCACCAGTATTATAAGACAGCCAGTATAGCTGGCAAATCTGTAGTCTGACTCTATATAGTCTGGCTCTATATAGCTGGTAGCTCTATATTTTATATTTAAACTAATTAAACGTGAAAGCAGTTCCAAATATAAAGATGAGGCCAAATCCATTACATAAATTCACCAGATTAAAGGGTTCAAAAAGTATTAACCAGCGACTGAAACATAATGTAATCAAATATAAAATGTTCTTTTGGACAAAATTTATACAAAATGAATATATTATAAAAGTTTTTTTCTTATGGCATATGTAGCCCTGAAAACAAACATAAATGAGAATTTTGTAGCAAAGATAAATTAGATTAGATTTATTTCCAAATACATGTGGGTATTATACCCATGAGATAATAATGAGATAAGAATATTAATTATAAGATACAGTATATCAAATAATGATATAATATTAAAAAAATAGAAAAATAATGAATTGTTAATTAAATTAAGTGACCAAAAAAAATCAAAAAAAAAAATCAATAAATATAAAAAAATCATGCACTAAAAATACATGTACCTTAATAAATTATACAAAACTATTGGGAGTTTGAATTTGAACGTGTATAATTATTATTGGAGTTTAATCCTCACAATATTTTGGCTACAAATTTCTATGTCATATAATATTAAATACAGAAAATTAATGAGTAAATTGTTTAATTTACTGTAGTTACGAAAAAATCAATAAATTTACAGAAACTTAATGAGTATATTTTTAAATTTAGTTACCAAAAAAATAAATAAATATACAGAAAATTAATGAGAAAATTGTTAAATTAGTTACCAAAAAAAAAAAAGAAAAAAAGAAATCAATAAATATACATACAATTAATGAGATAATTGTTAAATTTAGTTACCCCCCCCCCCCCCTCAAAAAAAAATCAAAAAAAATCAATAAATATCAAAAAATCATGTAGATGTACTATATATATACAAATATACATGTATCTTGTAATTGAATTTTAATAAAGTACACAAAAGTACTGGGAGCATGAATTTGAACATGTATGATTAATATATGAGTATAATTTTCACAATCACTTGGCATTATAGTGTACATTTTTGTATGTATAATAAAATTTCTGTATATAACAACAAATAAACATGTATATATAAATTAACAACTTAAACAGAATATATATTTTCATTAATAAAATAGAATGACTATACAATAAAGAAAATGTAGAAAAACACTACAAACTACAAGAAATAGATCTACTATTCTCAGATGGTATACTGTAATGGAAATTATGTCATGATGTCATACTGAATTGGAAACCCTTTAATATTCAAAGAAGTAGACGGTTTTCTAAACTACAATTATATTAGTGTAACATGAAAATATTGTAATACACAATTCTGTAAAATACAGTTTGTTGTGAAACCCTCTTCTTTGCGTGTGTAAGACTATGGTATTATACATGTATCTAATTAAAGGAACAAAATTATTAAAGGAACAAAATTAGTACAATGGCAAGAATCAAGGGTCACACATGTTCCTTATTATACAACGAAATCTATGCAGCTGAGGCAGTTAAACTTGTTTTTTTTTTATTGTAGTAAATTGTCTTTTATTATATTTTATCAATATTTTAACAAATTATGGAAAATAAAATGTATATAATGTATTATAAACTGCTATCAAAATATTATATCCTATATATAAATATAAATACAGAAAACAATCTTTCTATATAAAATGTGTGAAGGTGGAATGTAGTGTCATAAAAGGTCATTCTTAAAAAATATAATTTCTATGACATTTTATTCTATATATATATCTACAAATATTTACATTATTTTTGCACCAAACCCCTTGACACACTTATCATTAACATTCTAAAATCTATACTAAATCAGATCTTTATAAATTTTTCTATATTTTTTAATCTAAGCACTAGACAATACTAAACTAAATGTAAGTACTCCAACTTAACTTTCATTTATATTCCAATTTGTATTGTATTTAAAAGATCTCCATTTAGGTCAATACAAAAATACTAAAGATCAACTGGTATCCTTAAAAATGAAAATATGAAAAGAGTAGTAAAGAAATATACTCAGAAATAATTTGAAAAATTGATGTTTAATGTGATTCTTAACCTGATTTCAGTTACATGTAAAAGCTTTTTTTTTAATCTGGGCGCTTTTCACTTTTAAGTCATTGCACAATAAAAAACACGTATTCTGTACAAACAAATGATCTGAAATTATGCACACAAGTGCTTGATATAGACCATAATCAATTGGTATAAAAATTTTGAAAAATATTTCCAGACCCATCAAGTTGAAATAACCTCAGTGCAGTCCCTTTATCTAATCGAAGTAAGTTAATATGATAATTTGGTATAAAATCTTATAAAATTTGTAAGCAATGCTAATAATGAATATTTATCAAAATTATTCATGCAGATGACAAATTGAGTAAATACACATATTCATTATCAATCGATCTAGCATAAATTTTAGAGAAAAAAGAAATTCTACCTACGATTTTGAAATTGGAGTACATACAATGTATTGCTTAGTTTAGTATTATATATATGTCAAATAACTATGTTCAACATATACAGTAAAATAACAAAACTTAACAAATTTCAACAAAGACTTTTCCTATTATCTAAATGAGCATAATTTTCTTGTTTGTGACTTTGTTATTTACTAACAACTAACATGTAACTAACAATATCCCATCTCACCTCCTAGTTAACATGTACATTACTTGTGTTATACACTTAGATATACATGAAATAACAATGAAATATAATCTATATACTACTGATGAAAATACATGTATAATTATGCTGGTACAAATTTATCAATATTATATAATTATGTTGTAACAAAGACATGATTTTTGTACCAATGTCTATATGTAAATATTGCTGGTACCTATCTCAAATTTTCACATACCATTGCTGGTACCTTTCTCAAATTTTCACATATCATTGCTGGTACCTGTCTCAAATTTTCACATAACACTGCTGGTACCTATCTAAAAAATTTATATAACATTACTGGTAGCTATCTCAAATTTTCACACATCATTGCTGGTACATATCATATAATGCAATCAATGAAATCGCAGACATTTACAACAACACAACACTCATTGGAGTACTGGTACCTATTTCAAATTTCCACACATCATTGCTGGTACCCATCATATTATGTCAATGAAATAGCACATTTATAACAACACAACACCCATTTGAGTATTAGAGTAAAATAATTAAAACCTAACAGATATGTTACCATAAAATTTACTTGTGAATCTACACTTTCTGTTATTCAGATTTATATTATTTTTCATTTCTATTTTGATTTCTATTTTAATGACAATTTTAATAAAACTTCACTGACAAATTCAAAATTAACAATTTCATGCTTCAATGAATGTATTTTTCAAAAACCAAAATTTTGACTGAACATAAATGTGAATCTGAATTTCTAAAAAATTCTCAACCTGTGCTGGTCGATGACGTTTTTAGTGTTCACTGGTGTAAAAATAATATGAATGGATCTGCCATATTTTTCTTTTGAACATTATTTTATTTCTAACATTTCAGTAGTTACCACAATTTCTCTATTTCAAGAATAAATTTTCAAGTGTGTAAATAATTTATACAGTATATGCACAGACCAACATTTGTGCCATCTGACCATGGTCTGCACTATTATTCAGTCAATATTTTTTTGAACTTTTTCCAAAAAAAAAAACAATGACAGGTTTTCTACAAACCGACAAGTCCATTCAAAATATTTATCATGGCAAGGATTAAACACTGCTGTATTATGCACCAACACATTCAAAATCAAAATCTTTTCCTTAATTTTTTAGTACTATCACAAAAATTGACGATAAAATGCATACAATATATTAAGGCACTGTAGTTGGAACGTTTTGAGCAATTTTATTGTTGACCAAAGTTTGAGACATTGTCTCAATTAAAGATGACACGGTTGAATTGTAGAGAATATTTTGCGTAGAATTATTCACGACAGCTGTGATGTTTTTAGCGATGCCGGTGATCCCCTGGGTGATGACCTTGCCCTGTGACGACCCCGTCTGCTCTATAACAATGTCTCGTATAGTGTTGTAGATGTCGTAACCCACGGCGAAACCAAAATATACAGGTATTAGGTACACTAGGTAATACATAAATGGGGGCATTGGTAACGGAATCTTTAGATTTCTGAAAAATAAGGCAGGAAAAAATTCTACAAATTTGAAAAATGAAGCGGAAAAACAATTAATAACAAGTTGGCAAACATCAAATCATTTAGGCATTGAAAAGTGAAACAATTCTCCATGTTAATGTTTTATGAAAATCCCTCCAGTAATTAATTCCAAGAATTTGGCAAAGGACACTCCTCAAGTAATTAATTCCAACAATTTGATTTGGCAAAGTACACTAAATCTAAATTTTTTTTCTAAATTCACAAAAAATAAACAATAGATAGCATTACAATGTGACAGACTGACATGGCCAAATCTTTATCACTCTCCTTCTAAAAAATTGGCAGATAAAAATATGTACATATTTACCTATTCTCCTTATTGTGTGACTTCATCAACATAAGAAATATGAAGAGAGCCACCTCCAGGTTAATTGTAAGTGATGCAAATTTCTCCAGCATGTCCAGAAACCCCTGGGGGTCCATCATTGCTATGAAGAACACAATACCAAACACCAGGAATGATAGCAATGTATTACACATGCTGAAATATAAAATGAATATAAAATCATACATTTTTGTAGTACATGTGATTTACACAAAACTTACTTTTCTCATTACAAGGACTTTAAGACCATTGTCTTTAATAATCAAAAATAAAATACATGCGTTATTTTGTAACTATGTATATAAAAGTTTCATGGTTATGAGCAAAGTGTATATTGTTTTCAATTTTCCTGTGATAATTTCTCAATGAATTTATTTCACTTGAAACAATCAAATTACCTTTGTAAAGACCTTTGTGAACAATGACCTTTGATAAGATCAGCAATGACCTGTGACAAGGTCAACATGACCTGTGATTAGGTCAACAATGACCTGTGACAAGTCAGCAATGACCTCTGACAGGGTCAGCAATGACCTCTGACAGGGTCAGCAATGACCTCTGACAAGGTCAACAATGACCTCTGACAAGGTCAGCAATGACCACTGACAGGGTCAGCAATGATCTCTTAAAGGTCAACAATGATCTCTGACAAGGGTAAGCAAAAACCTCTGTCAAGGTCAACAATGACCTCTGAAAATGTCAACAATGACCTCTGACAATGTCAACAATGATCTCTAATCTAACAAAGTCAACAATGTTCTCTAACAAGTTCAGCAATGATGTCTGACAAAGACCTCTAACAAAGTTAACAATGACCTTTGACAAGGTCAACAATGACCTTAGATAGGGCCATCAAACAAATATCTATTCAGCCAATTTATTTTTTACTGTTTATACAAAAATATTATCTTTAAATAATTATGTTGAAATTTAGTCTTCTTATTCTGTCAAAGTATACATACCACTGTGAAGTGCAACATGAACACTTTTTGGGAGATTTCAGTTTATCTCTATATGTTGCCATGGAATCCTTGGTCCAGAAAGAATTTACCCAACCATTTACTGAAATATTAAATAACATGCGTAATTATTTCTACTTTTATAAGAAAGAGATAAAATCTCTAGAATTCTTAAACATTTTCTGACAACAAATTTCTAGAATTCTTAAAAAAATTTATAGTCACTCATGACAGTTACTTTTCATGTATATCAAAACAACTCTGTCAGAGTTATAACTATTGCGAAGTCTTCTTTTGGAAAAAAAACAAACTTTTGTTGCTCTATGGATGGCCTTACTACAGAGGTTGCACTGTAGTTGTTTCATATTTTCCTCATGAAATTATTGGTATAAAAACTTGCCACTAACTGGAAACATGTTGTGAACTCAAAATCATGCAATATTATACAAAAATACACTCAAAATAAAATCTACATCATAAATAAACAACAAATTTAAACTGTAAGGCAACTTACACGTATGGTGGAGCACTGCTCCTATTGTAAGATACGAGACTGTAATACTGACTACTATAAATAACTCCACCAACATGGCGACCCATTTAAACGTTGGGTAATGCTGATTTATCACCTGAAAATAATAATAAAGAAAATACATGTATACAGATTCAATCAAACCACATCATTCTTTGGTTATGTTCATTTGACCATACTATTTTACTATTTAAAATTGTTTCTAAGCTTTTATAAAAATGAACATTGAATCTGAGCGTGTGTTGCTTTAAACACAATAGAAATATTTTTATATCACACAAGCAATATATCAGCAATAGAATATATCACATAAAAATATATATGTTTGTTTTGCATGTAAGGTCAAAATATATTTCACAGGGTTAAAACCAGATACAATATTTTCACGCGAGGTGAACCCACAATTGAAAATAAAACAATTTTTATGCACAAATGATATATTTTTCGATCTGAAATTCAAAACAAACATAATTTCTATTTAATCATTGTTGTTTTTCGTGATTTAATTCATTTTGACTATTTGTTTTGCAGCAAAACTTGTGCTCTTCTCTATGATGTTATCATATCATGATGTAACAATGTTCAGGTTGGAAGATAATTCAGAAAGTTTCATAAAACTTCGTAATATATTTTTATTATGATATGTGCATATAGTTATGTGCTTCTCGTGTCAAACACATTTAACTTACAACAAAGTGTATTACTCATAATTTTTCCATTTATTTACCTGGAGCGTGACAAAATGCCAGTATTTGGTCTTTCAATCCTTTGTCATAGACCCTATTTATAATATTTTCTTTTCATCCACTTTTAAATTTAGTCTGACTACTGTGAAAATTATATTTCACTCTAAAGTTATCGATATACAATTTCACTGTACAGTGAAAAGCATGTAATAAAAGGCAGTATATAAATATACACTTACAGTAGTTAGAGGTATTGTTGAGATTTCACCTTTTAATGCTGCACTGAAAAATACAATACACTGATATTAGGAAACTAGAACCATTACTGAGAGTAATTAATCATAATGTATTAGTCATAAGTAAAGTAACAAATTACAGTAATCTTTATAAATTCTGTGCAAAAAATTTAAAAATCAAAGGGAGATAACTCATAAAATGACAAGAGTTATTTCTTCAACACTGTCATTAAGACACTAAAAAACAAATACCTGAGACTATTCCACATTAAATTACATCATCAAACATTTCAAAAATTCAACACTATCAAAGATTCTATACATTTTTGGCAGGGTAACAATTTTGTTTGTTTGGATCAAAGACTTACAACACTTCATGGCCTTTCCAGTTATGATTCAAGCTTATACTTGAATGAACTTTCAGACATGCTTAAACAAGAAACATTGCAATGCCACGAAACCAGGTTTTCAATTATCACCATTGTAGATAAATATGTTGTAGTTGAAATACAAATACAAGCAACAAACAATGTAACTATGTGCAATGTAAATCATGAATAATGTAGGAGGAATTGCCCACAGAAGAAATTGTTCACTTTATATTCTATACAAGGAAAAAAAAACAAAGGGCCATAATTATGCCAACTTTTATCCAATTAAAAAAACCTGACAATATGCGCCTGGGCACTTGATGACAAAGCTTCCGTGAAAGTTTGGTCAAAATCCTTAGAGAAATGTAGGAGGAGTTGCGCACAGAAGGAATTGTTCACTATATATTCTGTATAAGGAAAAAAACTTAGGGCCATAATTAGGTAAAAATTATCCAATTACAAAACCCCGACAATATGCGCCAGGGCACTTGATGACAAAGCTTCTGTGAAAGTTTGGTCAAAATCCGTTGAGAAATGTAGGAGGAGTTGCTCACAGAAGAAATTGTTCACTACATATTCTATATAAGGAAAAAAACAAAGGGCCATAATTATGTCAAATATTATGCAATTAAAAAAAAAAACGACAATATGCGCCAGGGCACTTGATGACAAAGCTTCTGTGAAAGTTTGGTCAAAATCCGTTGAGAAATGTAGGAGGAGTTGCGCACAGAAGGAATTGTTTACTTTATATTCTGTGTAAGAAAACAAGAGGGCCATGATGGCCCTAGATCGCTCACCTGAATTATCAAACTCATCCAAACAATTACCTAGACAAGCATTCTGACCAAGTCTCATGACAGGTGAGTCAAAAATGTGACCTACTAGTGTTAACAAGGATTATCCATATTTGAGCAGTGCGACCTAGTTTTTTTACCCAGGTGACACCATATTCAAACTTGACCTAGAAATCATCAAAAAACAAAACTTTCAGACCAATTTCCAGGATACTTGGATCAAAACAGTAGCAACTAGAGTGTTAACAAGATTTTTCTATTTTTAGCTCCGGTGACCTAGTTTCACATGCGATTTCGAACTCATCCAAGCAATTACCTAGACAAGCATTCTGACCAAGTTTGATGATAATGGAGTCGAAAATGTGACCACTAGAATGTTAACAAGGTTTTTTCCATATTTGGGCGGTGTGACCTAGTTTTTCATCCAAGATGACCCATGTTCGATCTTGACTTAGAATCATCAAAAAACAAACTTTCAGACCAATTAACAGAATATTTGGATCACAACAGTAGCCACTAGAGTGTTAACAAGATTTTTTCTATTTTTAGCTCCTGTGACCTAGTTTTTCATCCGAGATGTCCCATGTTCGATTTATTCCCAGCAATGACCTAGACAAGTTTCCTGACCAAGTTTGATGACAATTGAGTCAAAATTGTGACCACTAGAGTGTTAACAAGGTTTTTTCTATTTTTAGCTCCTGTGACCTAGTTTTTCATCCGAGATGACCCATGTTCGAAACTCATCGGAGTTATTACCTAGACAAGCATCTTGATCAAGTTTGAATGATGATTGATGCAAAAATGTGACCGCTAAAGTGTTAACAAGGTTTTTTCTATTTTTAGCTCCGGTGACCTAGTTTTTCATCCGAGATGACCCATGTTCGAACTCATCCAAGCTATCAACTAAGATAAGCATCCTGACCAAGTTTGATGATGATTGATGCAAAAATGTGACCGCTAGAGTGTTAACAAGGTTTTTCTATTTATAGCTCCGGTGACCTAGTTTTTCATCCGAGATGACCCCATATTCGAACTCATCCGAGCTATTATCTAAACAAGCATCCTGACAAAGTTTGATGATGATTGGGTCAAAAATGTGACCACTAGAGTGGTCACAAGGTTTTTCTATTTTTAGCTCCTGTGACCTAGTTTTTTCATCAGAGATGACCCATGTTCGAACTCATCCAAGCAATTGACTAGACAAGCATTCTGACCAAGTTTGATGATGATTGGTTCAAAAATGTGACCACTAGAGTGTTCACAAGGTTTTTCTATTTATAGCTCCTGTGACCTACTTTTTCATCCGAGATGACCCATGTTCGAACTCATCCGAGCTATCACCTAGACAAACATCCTGACCAAGTTTGATGATGATTGGGTCAAAAATGTGACCTCTAGAGTGTTCACAAGGTTTTTCTATTTTTAGCTCTTGTGACCTAGTTTTTCATCTGAGATGACCCATATTCGAACTCATCCGAGCTTTCAACTAGATAAGCATCCTGACCAAGTTTGATGATGATTGAGGCAAAAATGCGACCGCTAGAGTGTTCACAAGCAATTGTGGACGGCCGGACGGACGACGGACGACGGACGACGGACGACGGACATTCATCGATCCTAAAAGCTCACCCTGAGCAAGCTCAGGTGAGCTAAAAAAACAAAGGGCCATAATTAGGTCAGAAATTATCCAATCACAAAACCCCAACAATATGCGCCAGGACACTTCATGACAAAGCTTCTGTGAAAGTTTGGTCAAATTCAGTTCAGAAATATATGAGGAATTGCGCACAGAAGAAATTGTTCACTATATATTCTATATAAGGAAAAAAAACAAAGGGCCATAATTAGGTCAAATATTATCCAATCACAAAACCCCGACAATATGCGCCAGGGCACTTGATGACAAAGCTTCTGTGAAAGTTTGGTCAAAATCCGTTGAGAAATGTAGGAGGAGTTGCTCACAGAAGAAATTGTTCACTACATATTCTATATAAGGAAAAAAACAAAGGGCCATAATTATGTCAAATATTATGCAATTAAAAAAAAAAACGACAATATGCGCCAGGGCACTTGATGACAAAGCTTCTGTGAAAGTTTGGTCAAAATCCGTTGAGAAATGTAGGAGGAGTTGCGCACAGAAGGAATTGTTTACTTTATATTCTGTGTAAGAAAAAAAAACAAAGGGCCATAATTAGGTCAGAAATTATCCAATCACAAAACCCCAACAATATGCGCCAGGACACTTCATGACAAAGCTTCTGTGAAAGTTTGGTCAAATTCAGTTCAGAAATATATGAGGAATTGCGCACAGAAGAAATTGTTCACTATATATTCTATATAAGGAAAAAAAACAAAGGGCCATAATTAGGTCAAATATTATCCAATCACAAAACCCCGACAATATGCGCCAGGGCACTTGATGACAAAGCTTCTGTGAAAGTTTGGTCAAAATCCGTTGAGAAATGTAGGAGGAGTTGCGCACAGAAGAAATTGTTTACGCCCGCCCGCACGCCCGCCCATCCGCCGACATACCTCAATGTAATAACCAGTTTTTTCCTTCGGAAAACCTGGTTAAAAATATTAAAGTTGAGCATAATTATTATTTCTATGGTTATTCCCTGAAGAATCTACAATCATGTATTACTTGTAGAAAATGTTAAACAGGAATGAAATATCAATACATTATGCTCTAGTAATGATTTCTTACACTAGCTAGACAAAGCAGTTTTATGTCTGGCGCAGATTCTGGGATATTATTGCTTCTAGTCAGTGTCAGCCTCACTTAAACAAGAGGCAGAGATATTGCCCATACCTATAGTATCTAGACTTGATTACAATTAGTTTGACTATTTCCCCAAAATATTTTATAAAAAGAATAATTAATTCTCAGTCAAATTACCTTTCTAAGGAGATATCATTATGACAAACATCAGTCCGGTTGTCATGGTTACACTTGTAGTTCTGTAACTGTGGAACAATGTCCAGCACTGCCCAACTCCTGAAATATGTATAATAATAAAACACAGTCAATTACAGCAACTAAATAAGTGTTTACTTTACTTGTATGTCATATATAATTACAGTAAACTCCACTTTTAAGGACATTTAGGGGATCTCTGAATTTATATTATTATATCCGGATATCATTATATCAAAGAAGCAACCAAATTATAAACAAGAGTCAGGACCTCAGGCAACAGCAATGTTATAAGCTGTATATTGCTATATATGATAGCATTATAAGTGGAGACAGCATTAATGGTGATGGTATGAGAGTAATGTGTGTATCTGCGTTTATTTATTCTTGCCACCCGTTGCCGATATGGGTGAGTCCTCCAGAAGAGTATTAGTCATTTTAGATTTTTTGAGGATTGTGCAATTACAGATACAGAAAGATGCTTCAATTCAAAAAGCTTCCCCTGGTTATTTAGCTTGCCAAGTGTTTATGCACCCAGACACCGGACCTCGATTTAAAGTCTCATCCGAAAGACTGATTAGTAATTTTAGTTGGCCAGCCCGTGAATCGGACCCACAATGTCGAGATTACAAGTCTCGCACTCTAACGGATCGAGCTATGCGGGCTGGATATTATGAGAGTAAACTCATTACATCACTATAATAATATTATATAATCTAACCATTATAAGTTTTTGTAGTTGAATTACTTTAACCCTACCATTGTTGGCAGCTCAATTTTTTATTTTGCACCTGAAAACACTTGAACTTGAATGGACTGTTCCAAATTTAAAGCTTGGCAAATCCATTACAAAAATTTAGCAGGTTAAGAGTCAAACAAATAAGGACCCTCTTAGCATGACAGTGCTTCCATCCTTTTTACTATATACCGGTAATTAATGTTTTTAACTGGGTGAATATAACATCTTTTTTTCAATATGAGTAGGAAATTCGAGTCAAAACACAGTCTTTAAGATGTTTAGGACCTAAAAAGGTGTGTAACTCAGATGGTTAATCTTGGGGTGTGCATATTAAACAATTCTTCTGAGAAATTTTAGTGGCATTAAGTTTTTTTTTTTAAGAAGGAGACTTTGCCTTCAATACACAATATTAACTCACTTCCACTTTCACTTTGATTTTTAAAGACATTGTACAATGTAGCCTACAATAATGAATGTAATAATAATTAGAATAACAAAACATTTTTTTTCTTAATATAATCAAAATAATACAATATCATTGAAGACATAAAATACATTTAAAAATACAATACAATATAAATAGATCATTGAAATAAATATTCATTTTTCTTCAATCCAAAGCAATCATTTGATTATAATGAACAACAAATAAAGTTTTCTTTTCAATAGAATGTATGCAAACTATCAAAAATTTGTCAAACAATTTGAGTACCTACTCAAGTTTTCACTTTCATCCATCAATTATGTCAATCAATTATTGGATTATCATAATAACCGGATAATTGGACATGAAAGAAATGTGCAGATGGGATTAGCAGATTACCCTGGTCAAACAATCACTCAGGTGTGAACTTCTGATTGAACTCAATGGCTTGAGAAGGGCTGGGTCTTCATGAAAAAATTGAAGGCGGGATTTAATTGCTAGCTCAGCCAATGAACAGCCTTGTTTCATAACAGTGTCTATTTCATGTATTTTGTGACATATGGGACTCAAGGTTATGTACAGAAATTTTGTGATTCTTATGATCATAGTGTAAAAAAGTTTTGTGTTGATCAAATGAGCAAAATTGGAGTAATAAATGAGTTTTAAGTGTGTACTGGAGTAAAATATTATTACTCTATAATTAATTCTTAGATATTTTGATTGACTTTTTCATAACTCAATTAAATATAAGTCAAAGGAAATAAATGGCAGGAAAATCCTTGAATTTTGAGCTTGATGATGGGGACAGTGTTACAATGACGTTAAGAAATTCTGCCAGGATATCATTGACAGATATCACCGTGGCAACCATTGGTAACCTCTCGGAAGATTCTCAATGGGAAGATAACTCTGTGACTGATACAGAGGCAGCTGTTTTAAGGCCATGGGAAGATAACTCTAACTCCGATAAATCTGACATGATAACCCCAATTGTGGTAAGTCATTTTTGGTTATCATTTTAATTTGACAACAACAGCTATATAATGTAGTTATAACATTAATTTTATGCTTATAAATAGATGTTTACACTTAAACAACGGCTTGCCCCTGACAAGGTTTGAGCCCACGCAGCCAGCAATCCTTAGATTTCTAGTCTGATAGTCTGATGTGTTATACCACTCAGCCACACTGCCATTACTTGTCTGAACTTTATGCAGACCAGGCTCTTTTAAATGCTATATAAGAGTGCCAGCATGTTAAAATTGAAAAAAAAAAGACTCGCCCATATGGGCAACTGGTGGTCGGAGTATAAATAAACTCAAATACACATACAAAATTATATATTACGCAAAAACTACAGTAGAATGTTTAATACAACCCTTAGCCTGCTGGCCACAATAGACTCTACCTTTGCAATAATTGCCGACGCAGACCATGGTGGGATTGTTTTGTCAAGCATGAAAGATGGAAGTGAAGTCAATTTAAGATATTTACCATAATACTGTTAACAGTCAATTCTTAGATGTGCAATGTATCTATTTAAGTGGAAGACCTTTTAATTTAATGTAACAATGTCTAGGACATCTTATGCAAATGCAACATTACGGGGGAAAAAGCATATTGAATTTTTTAAATCTAACAAATTATGCACTTCAAAGCTGCATTGATCCAGATGAGCCAAAACATTTCAAGAAAATCAAACTTAAGAAAAATGTACAAAAATTTAAAAGAAAAATTAAAAAAATTCAAATTCCATAAAGTTCCAAGTACTCATTTACATGTTATGTGCTATTACTGACTGAATTGGCATCTTTGCCTACTTTGACCTGTATACATGGATTGTTAGTGCCATTTGCACATGTGTAAATTACTTACTTTTTTCACTTCATAATTATTTTACTTTTAAAAATTAGCTTAGAATCTGGACACACGCTGCTTTAAATGAATATGCTTGCTTTGCTTTAAGATAAAATTATATATATGTAATTTGCTATTATTCACTTAACCTGCTGAATTCGTGTAATGATTTTGATAATTAAAATTGATTATTTAACCCATTCTCATGCAATAACTATAGAATACTACATACAATCAAACAGAAAATTTAATTATTTTTATTTAAATTATGATATTCCTGTTATCTCTCATTAAAGTGATATCTTTTATATTTTCACTCCTATTGCACAAAATACTTAAAACTTATCACTCCTTTTTTTAAACATATTTATTTAAGCTCGATTGCGAAACAAGTTCTTGCAACTTATATTTATTAAATCACCTTCTAATCAGCTTCCTGGAACCAACCAGTACTGGTGTCATATAAAGAAATATGGTTGTGACCCAAGTTAGGACTCAAACCCATGATCCCTGGGTTGGGCGGCAGACACCCCTTAACCGCTACGACATCTTAACCAATAGGCCACTCTCACTCCTTTGTGAGATATATCATAATATTTTCATAAAACAAACAAATATTTAACATATCCTTTCCATTCATTTGCACATATGTATTCGTTTTGTCCCCAACACAAAAAATTGTGTTAATCTCTATTTATTTAGTCTATTTAAAGCTTAAATTTGTCAAGAAACTTCTGCTTGTTTCACATTGCATTCTTCTTTTACAGGTCTATGAAAACAGACAACCACCATCGTATAAAGAGCACCTAAAGAGACGTTTAGATAGTGAAGAAAATGAAGATGCACAAGCTGTTACGAAACGGATCAAAATCCAGTCTTCTGACAACGTAAAAGATGTCGCTACTTTCCAAGATGCCTTGGTAGCAACTAAAGATTCTTCTCTGTATAATCTATATGATACGTCACATGTGACAAACATTCAAGCTCCTGGGTATAATACACCACACACTGTCGTACCTACCCAGAATTACCCACGGGACTTTATTACCCAGCATCCTCAGCAAGACGTCAATTCACAGAGTAACATGCTCGGCAGATCTTTGTACAGCTCACTGATAGACATATCTAGCAAGAATTCCATGCCAACTTTATCTACCCAGAATTCAATGCCGACTTTATCTACCCAGAGTGCATTGCCAACTTTATCTACCCAGAATTCATTACCAACTTTATCTACCCAGACTTCAACACAAAGACAACCTACTACAAGTTCAATGCCAAGCCTATCTTCCAGGACATCAGTGCAAAGTTCATCTTGGCAGGATATGTTGCCAAGTTTATCTAATCAATATGCAATGCAAAGTGTACCTACCCAGAATACACTGCCAAGTTTACCCACCCTGATTCCAGTGCAAAGTCTATCTACCCAGAATTCATTGCAAAGTTCAGCTACCCAGAATTCAATGCTAAGTCTACCTTCCTTAATTTCAATGCAAAGTCTACCATCCCAGAATACAATGCAAAGTTCATCTTTGCAGGATTCATTGCCAAATATATCTACCAAAAATTCAAAAATAAACTCAATGAACAATAATCAAATTCCAAGTTCAACCGTACAGAATTCTCAACAAAGTGTTTCAAATAAGGATTTGATGCTGAATAATCAACAAATTAACTCTGTCAGCCAAGCTTCAAATATAAATTATCTCCCTTGGAAAAATACTCTTCCTTTGAAAGAGAACAAAAGCTTTGAAAATGTTAAAGCAGACGACAGAATAAGACAGCAGACGACAGTAGATTCAAGCAACTTCATTCCTCATGATAGTGTCACAAGTTTAAATACAATACAATATCCTTTCAAACCAGAATCTCGCCAAATGTTGCCAACACAAAGTTATTACGCATCATCCTTACAAGCAACGCCAGACTACTGGCCGACGTCAAGCTCGTCTTCTCAACAAAGGACAAAACCGCAAACATCTGGAACGGAAATGATTCCGCCTCAACAAGCTAATGGCAACACACAACATCTACAAGCACCTGTACCATTGTATCTACAACTGTCTGATATTCTACAAACTAAGATAGACACATCCCAGGAATACACGCCTATGGAGTCGTCATGGCAACAAACACTTTCATCACTCCAAACAAATGACTCACATCCTAACCAGAATTCAAATGTAAAACAAGAGCCTGCTACCCCAATTGGAAAAGGTCAAATGGTAAATCCTAGCTATGACAGTCCTGGGTTCGACTCCCGATTTACAGAGTCACTAAGTAACCTTCTTGGCTCCCCACCACCGGACAGCCCCTTGTCAAAGAACCCCATTTTGGGGGACCTTCAAGCTTTACTTAACCGAGAATGCAAGCGTGAAATAGTGCCTCAATCGCTGTTTAGTATACAGAATACAAACAAAATCAGCACCGAGAAAAAACCTCTGAATGTCTTTGAAAGAGAGAGATACCTACAAGAACGATTCACCAAACTGCAGTGCAGTCACAGTGAGGATATCCGTCAACTTTCCAGCATGTTCCGATACCAGTCGGCACTCATTGAGACCGAAAGGTTCCGCACCTTGCATGAATGTCAGTATCCTGGCAGTTATAAAGAATCGGTAAATCATCACTATGACAACCAATTACACAAAGTGATGGATCGTGTAGAACGAAGTGTAGAACTCCTAGAAAATTCAAATAAGGAGAACAAAGCCAACAAAGTCCCGAAAATGCGACCGCACTTGAACAAGGAGGCTATACGTTTGATGGAACACTGGTACAGACAAAATCTCGATCACCCATACCCGACCAGCTCATCGATAGAAATGCTGGCACACGCGGGTAACATTGGGATTGAACAAGTGAAAAAATGGTTCGCTAATAAACGTAACAGAAACTCTAACACAAGGTCACTTACGGAGATTGCAATGCAGAAACGAAAGCTTGGACAACTGTCAGGACAATCTTAATTAACAAACTTCACATTTACTAAACAAATTCAAAACAGTAGTATATAAAATAGTAAAACTGTTGAACAATACTATTGCATACAAGAATTATGATTTAATAGATTATTTTGTGTTTTTAGTTTATAAAGAAAAAAGTTACAAATCTTAATTATAATACATACATACTGATAAAAAAGACTTGTGAGAAGGCCAAAATTAACTTTGTTGAAAGAAAAAAAATAATTTTGCAGAATATTTTTCTATGTTACTGATGTGCTATTTGTAAATAGTTTTGTTTCTTTACATATTTTACATATTTGTTTAAAAATGCATTAAATTTGTTGATCTTTATACATGTATTTTCACAATTTCTTTTTTAATAATCCTTTAAGGTACATTTTTCCTTTATTGATACTTCATATATTTTCAGCTTCATTGTAATAAAAGCTTTAAAGCTACATGCCTGCAGATAAGCCAAAATATTTCAAGATAAAAGAAATAAGGTTTTAAGAAAAGTAAAAAGATTCAAGTAGTAATTTACATGCTATGTGCAACTAATAACTGACTTTGCAGTATTTATCACCATATTTCTACTGCATGACTAACACAGTAAGGGCTAATATTCTGTGCATATTTGACCAAACTTTGCTAAATTATGTGGATTTAGTCACAAAATAAGGGCTATTTTGCATATTTCACCAACTTTTGGTAATTAAATTATGTGGATTGTAAGAGCCATTAATTTTGCTATGTGTAAATTACTTTCTTTGTTCCCTTCAAACTGTTTAACTTTTCAAAATTTTCATGAAAATTTGCATGAATCTGGAGGCATGCTGCTTTAAGCTTTTAACTACTGGTAGCTAAGTTAATTCCAGTACTGGTATCTTATTAAAGAAACCATGATTGTCATCCTAGCATAATCAAACCAATGATACTAGTCCCTCAACCAGCAGATTATCAATCCCCATTGGTCTGCTTTGGTTTATAGAAGAATCAGGAACATGTGTAAATCTATTTTACTATATGTTATTAGTGATTTATGAAGTATTTTATTTTCAATTAAAGCAAGTTTGCTGTTTCATGAATTAGTTACACGTTTTATGGTCCTATATAAACAGTTGTTTGCATGAATATATTGCAAATAATGGTTTACATACAGTCATATAACCTATCAAGAATCTTTACACCTAATTTATTATACAGCCAAATTCCTTTATTTGTGTAAATTATGAAATACATCACAATTTGACAGCAGGCTTGTATATCGTTTGTATAAACTACCCCATTATCCAATGAAAAGAGACATAACATAACACGCAGTATTATAAATTACAATATGAAAGTATACTATAATAATGTCAAACTACCCCTTCACTTATAAATTATATTCTTCAATTTTTTATTCTTCAATTTTAATTTCACTTTATTAGTAGAGGAAGAATGCAGCTTCCAATCCCCCCCACACTGTTATCTTCTCTTATAAGAGATACTTACTGATATAGGCCTTACCCAAAATAACCCTCTACAAAAATTGTCTTCAAATTAAAATAGTTTCCTTCTTCACCAAACACAAAGATAACTTTTGAAGTCTGATGGAATATAACAATATATTTGGTACCGAAGTTAATCTACTCACCAGCCAATGTTTAAAGCTGTACAAGTAAACAGTCCTAGTAAAATAGCAAACCGGAAGTTTTGTATCTGAAATAACAAAAGTAACAAAATAAAACATACACATGTAATGTACAAAAATATTATACAGAAATTAACTTACAAACATTTATGTTCTAAAATAATTCGTACCATAAAGATGTAAATGCATGACTAAAAATCCTGCTTTTTTTGGGATTCAAACTCGTGCCCTTGTGTATACAAATGCAAACATAAATAATGCTCCAGACCCATGAGCTATAGAATGGAATCTCTGAAGTCTTTGTAGTCATCAGACCATGTGTTTATTGTAATCACGGCATGCACTACATTAGCTTAAAGAGGGTCAGTGATTCAACTCTCATGCCTGTTCATGCCTGCTGAAATGAAGCAAAGAAGGGTGACTCTGGTCTTATATATTCAATTATAATTGAAGCCAATAGAGCGGGAAAGGCGCCATATGGCATTAACGGTGTCATATTGAGTTTAAACGCAGCAAAATCTATTATTTACCTGATGTTTATATGGACTAATTTTACTATATAACATTGGCATGACATTCACCACACCTCCTGTAACGAAGAAATAAGATTGACATTTTAAGTGTTTTCATCAGATAATTACGCATGATTTACTTTGCTATATTTGATACAACAAATACATATTTCTTAAAATAACACATTTACGTATAAGTAAGCATTTCTAACATATAAAATTATGGCATCACCAATCTTATGTAAAGTCGAAGTGCGACATTGATCAGCAAGATTGTCCCAAACATGCTAAAACTGGTCACTGACTTGCCTTCCTTCACTCATTTTATATAAAACTTAGTCCATCTGAAATAACAACTAGTGCAAGGTAAGATCCTTTATGTATTTCATTATTCCTTTTGATCTTTAAGAATACAACAACACATAAACACATAAAATGTTTGTATATGTATATGACTTATCAAGAAAAACATCTTATATATAGGAGTCCCTCTATTTGTTAAATGCACAAATTAAAATTAAATCTACAGACAGAAAATGCTGTTTCCAAGTTTTCTTGAAATCTGTCTTAATCTACTGAATGCTCGTAACCAGAATATCTACACTAATAAACCTGTAAACTGCTGGAATCGAAAAGTATTTGCCTGTGCCACCAGTATAGAGCCAGGCCAGCCTGCACATACTTGCAAACCGACCAGGCTATAGAAGTCTGACAGACCAATTTATAATTTTCATCTTGATATTCCCCAAAATTGATAATGGACAGTTTAAAAAATAAAAACTGGAAAAGTCCATTTACAAATTTCAGCAAGGAAAGGTTATGTAGTACACAGTAATTAGGGACAGGTCAGGTTGGACCTCTTTGCCAAATCTTTCACATTATCACGCAACAGGTCAATTTACAAATTCAAAGTAGGGGTACACATAAGTTCATTACACACATTGTCCATGGTAAAGGTTCAATTCCTTACATTTCATATCTGTGACAATGTGATAAAATCTCATACCTAATGCAACAGTTCCCATAAGGAAGGGAGCACCGAAATATGAAAAGTCATCGTGTATTTCTCTATGTATTGAAGCTCCGACATAAAATGTTACTATCACCTGTAAAAACATGCAAAAACAAAGAAAATAACATGAAAATATGTTATTTTTGTGTAAGAATACAGTGTTGTAAACAGGTAAATGTAAGTATTAATGCCGATAGTGCTATAATCATATTAATTGTCACATGACCTTTATTCAAAGGTAAAAAAACCAACAACAAAAAAGTAACAAAATCTTTACAAATAATTATTGATAGTGAGAAAAATTCAAGATTTAAAAATATATGTGGTGTCTGTATTCAGATGCCCTTCATCACTGGTTTGTCTGCAGTTAACAAAATGTAAATGTCATTAAGATCAACATTGAGATCTTCATTGTATATGCTGGTATCAAAACATTTAAAGTAGCCTTCAGCTTTTATTTTTTTGTTGGAAAAACAATTGAGCCGTGTCATGACAAAACCAACATAGTGCGTTTGCGACCAGCATGGATCCAGACCAGCCTGCGCAACCGCGCAGTCTGATCAGGATCCATGCTGTAAGCTTACAAACCCTATAGCAAGTAAAGAAATTGATGGCGAACAGCATGGATCCTAATCAGACTGCGCGGATGCACAGGCTGGTCTGGATCCATGCTGGTCGCAAACGCACTATGTTGGTTTTGTCATGACACGGCTCAAGTTACATATAGAGAGTGGACTGGCAGATTACTGGTATGATGGTATCTGGGGATTTCCTTATTGTTTATGTATTTTATCCACAGGAAATTTCATAATCCACCTTAACTCTTTTGATTTGACAATTATATGAAACAATTATCTCAAAATAACACATTTAACCTTTAGAAAGCTGACAGCCACTTTTATGACCATAAAAAAGGTATTCATTAAGACATTTTAGTATTGGAGGTTAAAGGGTTTGTGCAGTAGATAATTATTATTTAGTATTTATAAAAAGATTTTTAAAGTCACTTCAGGCAATTCTAGAGTTTGCTATAAAAGATACACACTTATATTTTCATTTAAGATAATTGTATTTCCTATAGAAGAATACTCACAGTTCCTAAAAGTAAGCTCCCCTTAAAGAATGTCAGAATGGAGACGACAGGTTGTATCAGTTGTAAGGCAAATATTATAGAAAATGTCAGCACCCATACAAACACTGGTATAATATACCTATAGCTGAAATATAAAAACAAAAAATATACATTTATAGTACTACATATTTGATGTAGAGATAGGTAGTAAACATCACCCACTCAGTCATGGATGACTGTATGTATTTAAGTACTGTAAAAGTACACAAGTATTTCATTACAAAGAACTAGTAACAGTGTGAACCTGTAATTTGTAGACATGGAATCTGGACAAAACCATCACTTGAAGGGAAAATTTCAAAATATATGCTTTCCTGAATTGCTGAAAGTTTTAACTAAATAGTGTAAACCATGACCAGACAGCAAAGATTTGCTGGCTTATCTTGGTCTGCAAAGGTCACTTAGGTAGATTCTGTGGCCCCAAGCAGGACAAAAGTCATTTAGTAATTACTTATTAAGCATATAAACAATTAAAGAACTTACTCTATACCAATCAGAGAGCCGTATGCTTCACTACCAGCTAAGGCATAGCTCACTAATAACGCCATACTGAAATATATTATACATGTACAATATTTCATTTCATCATTCAAAAAGTAATTTATGGTAAAACTGTATACATGTATTTCAGAGATATTCTGTTACCAATCATGCTGCTAAATTCTTACAATAGAATTTTCCTCCAATGAAATTGTTAATTAAATGATTAAACTTTGAATCTGACATTCATTTCAGAAACAATGGACTCCTTTGTAAGACTTGAAGGATGGCAAAATTTCTGACTACTGTGGATTTTATTTTCAAAAATATTTGCCAAACTATTATAAATAAACAGTAAAAAAAAACACTAGCAAAAATTTCACTACAGGCTTCAAACAAATTTTCACAAGTTACTTTTATTTACTTTTATATTGATACAGAAAAAAATTCAGGAATACTCTTTATGTAAATGCCTACCAAGACATATTGAGATGAAATTCCATCAAATGACTTTTCTTTGTTTATTTTTCTGGTTTTTATGTAATTTTAACATATTTGTGGGTCATATCTCAGAAGTCAATCAGACCAACCGGGTTTCCTGGATAACTAACCAGTAATTACCAATTTCCCTGCAAATCAACAACTACTAATCTCACATTATTTCTGAATCAGCAGTAAGAGACAAATGACCATTTTACTCAATGTCAAAGGTCAAATATCATGCAGAAGTTACACCTGACTCAAGGATCAAACCAGCAACCTCGGGATTACTTATGAGCAATCCACTGCCTTCCTTATTTAGCTATGCAGGCAGAACATTTTTAATCAATTATCTAATAAATCAATTAAACTTTTGGGAAAAATAAAATCAACATACAATTGTAAGACTAGAATAATGTCGAAGAACTGTCGCACGCCACACCCCAGAAACAGGTTCCCCAATAAATGCAAATTAGGTGGCTGTATTGTGACATCTTTTGGTATAATCACATGACCTGCTAAAACTGGACCTGAAATATTGATATACATTATACTATTAATATATACAGGTGTCTTTCTAGTGATTTTTTTTTATGCTTTGTGCATATAAGAGTTCAATACCTAAAATACACAAAATTATTACATGTTTTGCAGTAGATTACTGAATTATAACGGTTAATTATATTCTGATAATTTCACAGTAATGATTACCAAATATAATTTCACAGTAGCCGAACTATATTTGACGTAAAAATAAAATATTTATCATTAATGAATGTTTTTTTCAGCGGAAATGTAGTCAATCATAAGAACAAATGTACGTGATAACTGTAGTTCGTAAATATTTACGAACGTTGTGCTGAAAAACATCTAAAATCTAAAAATAATCATGGAATTATATTTTGCTTCAACATTGTGACGTCATTATTTGATGACGTCATGAAGATAAGAGCATGACGTTACGCGGCAAAAATCAGTAAAATGGTGTAAAAATCGTTAAAAAATCATGAAATAAACAGAAAATTTGTTTGTTTTACAAATAATATTTCACTCGTGAACCCCAGCTATTATATTTTCACTCGTGGCTACGCCACTCGTGGAAAATATTGCATCTGGTGTTCACTCAGTGAAATATTTTTCGATCTTACACTGAAACAAACAAATATCCTCTATATGTTTTAGCAAAAAAAAAAAAATTTTGTACAAAGTTTAAGGAACTGACAAAAATCTTTTGAACAAAATTTATTTATCATCCCGCACAACTTCTTTCTTTATTCAAAATAAAAATTTAACTAGAAAATCACAATTGTACACACACAAATTTGTATTGCGCTTAAAATGCTTCGTTTCGTTATGACCTCAATTCAGGTTATTCCATTTATGTTATGCACTAATGAAGGATTCTAGCTAACATTTGCAGTTAACGTTTAAAATTAAATAACTACTACGTGTTCATGCTAGTCCAGTGTGTTTATTTAGTACAAATGTACAAAGAAATTCTATGTTACAAATATGCAATATTCTAAAAATAGTTTGAACATAGCAATTGTCCAATGAAAATGGACGTTACAAACTAGCAGTAACATCAGGGCTTCCACTAGGATTTTTTTTTAGGAAGTCAGGACTTCCTTTCAAGGAATTTTGGAAGTCATGAGGTAAATTTCTGGAAGTCAGTTGTTCTTATGCGTATAATTTTCATGTTTCAATGTTTGATTTATAGTATGGGATGATACAAGTAAAAGCAATTATTTTAATCAAAAGATTCTGAAAATGTCATTCCTTTTATTGTTTTAAGTTCAAAGTATCTTTACATGATTGTTGGGTAAATATTTTCAATAGAAGTAAGAACGTTACCCTGAAAAAGGACTGTATTGTTGTTATTTCAAGGACACCGACAGTGGTAACCGTGTAGAACCCTTCAGTGATAACATTCAAATAATTGCTCATTGGTATAACAAAAAAAATAATATTTCCAGAAAACTTTTTAAATTCTTTAATCAATCATGGTACAAGTAGATTCTGAAATGTGTATGATGGGTTCTTCTTTTTCTACCTCTGGATCAGTACCATACAGTTGTCTCATGTGATCAAGCCTGCACAGCATTTTTGTGGATTTCATTGTGTTTTAAAAGGGTGGATCTCTGTAGATTTCCTGAAATAAAAAAAAACATGACATCCTTTAGCATTGTTATTTTTCTTATTTGTAAAATAAAAAATGTTGTTTAAATATCTCTTGTGTTTAAAATTATTTACTACAGTATTCATAACACATTAACAACCCAAAATGATTAAATTTAATCAGGCTTGTAAATTGAAAGTTTTATGAAAATAATTTCGAACACCGTTTTTGACCAAATTAATTTTTTTAATTACGTTTTTGAGATACGCCAAATTGCAGAAGTGAGCATTGAGACATTTTGAGAGTGTGTAGGGAATAAGATTTTTAAATGTTACTTTGCTTCTCATAATTAGCGAGTGAAAAAAAATAAAATCAAATCAACATCTATAGAATGTGTAAAAATAAAACGTCTTTAACTTCAAAAAGGAAAAAAAAATCAAAAGACAAAAACACGCTTCGCCGACTAAGCAAATTTCGGATACATTCAAACTTACCGATGCACACAATAATTAATAAATCATTTTATCTAATTAAAGTAAAAACAGATACCTACCACAGTTTATGTCAATTAACTATCCATTATCCGTACAAAACAAACAATTAATCCAATCACTTTGTTTTCACGCTTATCAAGGTCATAAATCAACACTCGCTAATTCGTCACGCGCCAGGTGCATTCGCATAATTTCACCCATCGATGTCATGTCAACCATTCAATTCAGGAGGCGGAGTTAAATAAATAATCCAATCGTACGCCAGGAAAGTGAGAAAAGGTCGGAAAATGGTCGTGGCGTACGTCGCGGCTTACGATTTTCGCCGTATTCCTAAATTTTTGGAAGTCAGCGGTACGTCATTGATCTTAATTTTCGGCGTACATATACGATTTTCGGGCGTAATTTACGGCCGTACGCCCGTTAACGGAAGCCCTGGTAACATGTTAAATGATTGGATCATACCACTAGATTCATCAGCAGTATCATCCCAGTCATCATCCATCAGAAACTCTGTCTCCTCATTTAATGGATGAACATCTTCCTGTCAATGAAAATAAAACTATGAAATAAAATCAAACATTATTTCTGTCATAATCACTTTATAAACACTTTATCAATATTTTATTTAAGATATTTAGCACTGTAAGTGTTAAGCAGATAAAAGTATAAAGTCTGGTTAAGCTGCACCTATGTATTCATGTTCAGCAAAATATTATCACAGCATTTAAAGAGTTACACCATGTACAGTAAATATCTTACCCCATGTGACTTTACTTGTATTGCATGAGCCCTCTGCAACAGATCTGTGAAAAAATATATCAGCAAGCCCTGAAAATAACATAAAAAAAGCCTATTTTTTCTAGTATTAATTAAAGCATGTATAATTATGTGAAAGCTGTATCAATGATGTTTTCGAAAGGTCTAAAGGTTTAAATATATTCATATATTGTCTCAGTATATTAATTTCATTAAGTCAACTTCATGCTGAGGATAAAAAATTTCTAGCTCTTTTACATTAATAAGAATTTAGTTTCTACTAATTTATTTAAGTTCAATTTTGTTAGAAGCTACAGTTGTATAACCGTCATGAAACACTCTTGAATCTGTTCCTGGAACCCACCAGTACTAAGCAATGAGTGTAAAGTTTCTTGTACATAGAAACAACAGCTTGCTACTGATGGGGTTTGAACCCATTCCGCCAGCAATCCTTAAATTACTAGTCCAAAGTGTTCACCACTTAGGCCATCCTTAAAAAAATGTTTGTTTGCAGTAACCTGACCCAGAATTTTCAAGGTGGGTAGGTAGGTCGATTTTTTTATTTTTTTTTATTGAACTGTACTCCCAAATAAACATGGAATTTCAAAATACTGGACAATATATGCTTTGATAATCTGGTAGCAATTAATAAATTGATAACTGAATTCTAATTTAAATAAGACCTACATTTTATTTCTTCTATTAAACTTTAACAGAATGAAAACAAAGCACTTGTAAGGCATAATTTTCTGATTCAAAATTTTTTTTTTATCCAGATTATGAAAAAAAATTTTGAGTAGGGGCAAATTTTGTGAGTCGGTCGGGTTACTGCAAACAAACATTTTTTAAGGATGGCCTTAGCGACACTGCAACTCTTTCTCTTGCTCCTTCCTTTATTCTTTTTATCCTTTTATAAAGGTCAAGCATGCAAGAAGTGATGAACTAACCTGTACAAGGGCTCCCAAAATAAATGAAATAAGAAACGGATATAGTCCGGAATGTGTCAGAGTAACAGGTAGTCCTGAAAACAAAAAAAAACAATCTCCTTTATAACCTTTTCTGAACAATAATATAAGATAATCTGATGTTTAAGTTTCAATGAACAGTTACAACAATTATCTTAATGTTTTGTAAGTTCCCATGTTTCAATGTTTTTACATAAAATATATCTGAATTATATTAAATTTTTTATATGAATTTATCAATTTATTCAGTCGACTCATGGACTTTCTTAAATGGGAGCATATTCTCAGGATTCATCATAATAATCACTCAAGTTCAGGTCTTATGTTTTCTCCGGGACCTTAACTAAAAGGCATATTTTAGATCCAAGGTTCTGTACACTGTATTATAACTAAAAGAATGGCATTATTTAGGAGCTGACTTTAATCAGAATGAATCACTTTCATTTGAATAAATGGACTACCTTGATAGAATGAAATATTGCATGAAAAATAATTAGTTTGTCATATAATTAGAGCTTTGGATCCCATTCCCACTGTGTGGCAGGTGATAAATTCCATTTGGCAGCAGAAAAGCTGTTCACTTCAGTGTTATATTTTTCTGGTCCTTCAAGATCATTGATTCCAGCACATTAAGTATTAAAAATTGAGTACCACTCAAGTCGCTGCTAGGGGGCGTTAGGAATGTTGCACCTTTTATTATCCCTCATGTACAAACTAAATCAAACTGAGTCGGCAATTCTCATGTTATTTTGCTGTGATTAATGCTTCTGAGGCTGTTACAAGGAATAGAGGGGTGCACGGACACCACACCCTTTTTAATCTTTACCACGCTCACCCATCAGGGATCACACTATCTAGATTTTTTTCTGGTTCTTTGAGATCATTGATTCCAATACATTACTGGTAAGTGTAAATGCCTTAATTAATACCTTCTTGTGCTTCAGAATGTGAGAGATGCTGCACTCTCAATTAATCTCTCATGAACAGATTCAATCAAACCAAAAGTTAGTAAAGGATGGTTAAAAAAAATAAAGGTAGGGCAACAATGGCATGTTCTGTTTTTTTGTCTGATTAGGTTTAACATTACACCAACACAGTATGGGTCATATGCCGAGGTTCCAGCTTTACTGGTGGAGGAAGTTACCAAAGACCTCAGGTGCCCTTCTGTGCATTATTTCAGGCATGAACGGAAAGGGCACCCCAAACAGAAACACCGACATTCTGTTAGCTTTAACTGGATAGCTTCCTCACATAAAAGAAGCCAAAGTCTTTGTCAGGATTCGAACCCACAGCAGTTCTGGACAAGTGGTATGAAATCAAAGACCTTAACCACCCAGTAACAGACGCCCCACAATGGCATATTGTAAATAATGGTAAAAACCAAATAACTAAATAGGGACATAGTTTTTGTTCAATTCATTTATTGTAGATCTATATTTTTAAAAGAAATATCATAAACAAAATTACCTAGGATTCCTGTCCCTAGAATTGTAGCAATCGTGACAAAATCTGAAGAAGAAAAAAAGAAATAATTTACATTATGACAGCCTACAATGCGGATTGCCTATCAGTAAACCTGAAAATTTAGCTGACAAGCTCTGGAAAATTGTAACCTTAAGTTTGTTTATCATATAGCACTGCTTGATCATGAACTAGGAGTAACTGAATCATCTTACCACAAAACACTTGAATTACATAGTATATTGGTGGAATTCCTCATTTAATTGCTATGCTATGAAAAAAGATCATAATAAATTATAACACTATATAATTTGATCACATCTTGTCACGTTTATCCATTTATTCTGTATGGAAATGTAAATGTTGTCAGGTCTAGAAAAGTCTCAATTTTATACTAGGATATACATTTGTACCTGCTTCCCAGCCCCACTCACTATCTTCAATAATTGAAAAATAATTGCTTGGGACAGGGCTTTTTTCACAGGTTGGGGTAGCAGCCCAGCCCTTAATTTAGGGGAAAAATTACACGGTATATTTGCAAAAGGTGAAGAAAAAACTTAATGTAAATTCAATTTTTGGGGAAAACTGCATGATTTTAAAGAAATTTTCTTTGGGGAAGCAGCCCTATACCGGCCCCTGTTATAGAAGGAAAAAAGGCCCTGTAGGAGTACCAAAAATGCACAAGCCTTTGCTGTATTATCACCAAAGCCCAATTAATTACACCAAATACCCATGTACATTTTGTACTGTATGATTTGATTTGAAGAATATACTGTTTTCTTTTTGCCAAAATTTTACATCTTTAAACAATTCATGCAAATTTGGTGAAATTGGTCATGAACAACATTTATTTTTGGCGCCTTTCATGCATGGGGCCTTTCATTATTCTCTGGTATGAATAACTATTTATTTGGCTTTGGCTTGACCGGCTATAGACTACACGTGTATATTTAAAAGAAAATCAAATAAAAAACAATTCAAAAATATATAGAATTCTATACCTATCAATAAAATTTTCAGTGTCAGTTCTAGTCGGACGCCGCCATTTACAATGTAACTCAATGATCATAAGGCGGGGTATTCCGATAACGGAACAAATCTCAACTTTTCGGATAAATAATAAACGTCGAGTGTTCCGAGTGAAAACGGAAGCGGTGCATGTAATACCGAATGACACCTTTAAAACGGAAAGAATAAAAGGAATTTCTTAACGACGTCCCCGTTCATAGGCTTTGCCTTATTTCATATTATCAGGTATGGCAGCATTTATTTGTTGATGTCGTGTTAGAATCAAAATATTATATCCAAATCGGTGATTTTATCGCTTGATAACTGAACGTTTGTTGTTCGGAATCGGATGCGCATTATTATACGGGGAAGTCAAAGACCGGGCCCGCGAAGCGGGTCCGGGCTTTGGCTTGCCCGGCTATTGACTACACATGTATATTTTAAAAAAAATCAAATAAAAAAACAATTAAAAAATATATAGAATTCTATACCTATCAATGAAATTTTCAGTGTCAGTTCTAGTCGGACGCCGCCATTTACAATGTAACTCAAGGATAATAGGCGGGGTATTCCGATAACAGAACAAATCTCAACTTTTCGGATAAATAAGAATCGTCGAGTGTTCCGAGTGAAAACGGAAGCAGTGCATGTAATACCGAATGACACATTTAAAACGGAAATAATGAAAGGAATTTTTTAACGACTTCCCCGTTCATAGGCTTTGCCTAATTTCATATTATATATAATTTGTTGCATCCTTACTCCAAACAGTGGTGTTATTGAGCGGTAAAATCACAGTTTGGGATATATTATATTTCTTAAATATCATCTATCTTTGAAAAAAAAATTGATATATATAATAAATAATAAATAATCACTGAAATCATGAAAAATACGTACAACATTGTAAATATACAAGTATCATAGATTTATGAACTTTCCCACACTCTCTCATATCTGTTCTTCACACAGAGCTTTTTGAAAGCTCATTCATATTGACACTAACATAAGAAAATGGTAAATTCATCAGTTTGTTTACATTCGTGTCAACTTCATGGGCGCAGCCATCTTGGATTGAACATTTACGTGAAATGGATTAAACCCGAAATGAAAACGCGGAAAGTTACATTGCAATGGACAGTACAATGGAAAAGGAGGCTGTTCTATAAAGTTTATATAAACATCTTATGTGTTTAGTTGCATAATCATTTTAGAGTCTTTAAAAGTAGACAAAGGTTATTGATTGAGAAAAAAATAAGTAAAAATAAGAATGGATGCTTTTAGAGTACTTCCAATAGTACAAGCTTTTACCATTGATAACATTACAGGTTGTAACATGTATCATTTATATTTTCTATTTGGATGGCTTACTAGCACACAAACTAAACAAAACCCGCTCAAATGCATTGAGCGCAAGCCAAGATCGTTTAGTATGGCTGTGATACTATGCTTGGAATATTGACCCACCTCACCACTTTAAATGGACCATCAGAACACTTGCAAGATTTACCAAAACGCAACTCAATCTGTGACCGGACCAAGATTTTGTATGCGAGCTCTTTAGACTTTCATTGTTAGTGGTAATGTTTCAGTAGACCGCGCCTCCGTGGTCGAGGGGTTAGAGACGGTGACTTCTTATCCAGTTACCTCTCTGGCGTGAGTTCGATCCCCGGGAGATGCTTTGGTAGTTTAGCGCGGAGGAAGGGAGTCTAATACTGGTGTAACTCTCCAGGAACGATGGTTAGGAAACTACCCGCCTATATGACTGAAATACTGTTGGGAAAAGGCGTAAAATGAAACAAACAAACAAACACGCAAACAACAAAGTTAATGAAGCCTATACATGATCTGGTAATTCCTTAGATGTGTTTTTTAGTAGAAAGGCCAAGTCTGATGTTTATAAATTTTGCCGATAAAGGAATAGTGTCAAGCATTTGTCCAAATGTAATTTTACTGAAAGAGAAGCACTATTCATTAAGTCCCAGCTTATTTGCTAAAGTTTATCTGTTTGTTCGATATTTCTGAATTATCACTCATATATGTTTTATATAGAAGTATAAAACAAAAAGTTTTTGATAATGTCTATTCAACAAGTCATCAAATATGATAAATTCTAAAAATTGATATATTTTGCAAGAATCGGTTTGAAATGTTGTCCTTTGCTTAGATAAGCATATCATATGTAAAAGAGAACATTGAAATTTATTAGTGTACAATTTTGTCAATAAAATATGGGAGCTGATATATGAGGGCAAGAATATGCATGTAATTATGTCATTTAATAATTTCCGAGATTTTCTTAATGATTGTGGTTAATATATCTTCCAAAATCATTCTTGCAACTGAATTCCTGCTAACATACATGTAGTAATCAGATTTGGCCCCTATCAATAAGGTACATCAAGGGGTTGCCAGAAGGGCAGCCATCTGTTTAAGGGTTTTGAAGGTGGGCGGCAGCCCCCCCCCCCCCTCATTGTCAAAAAATTGCAGCACTTTGAAATCAGTTTTTTCTAAATTCAAAATTTCACCATTTTCGTGTTAAATGTTGAATTCTGCTTAAGCCGGTACCATTGGGCGTGAACGGTAACTTGCACTTTCTAGTATCGTCCATGAACAGGCTCAATCAAACCGAGCCTGCAACATTTTCAATTTTGTTGTGTTGGACTTTCTTTATGGATTCTGTTTTTCTCTATTTTGATGATCAAAAACAATGCAAAATAGTGATTGTTGGCAATTTTGAGACGTCCCACTGTTGCCATGGTAACAGGAAATTTAAGATTGAGCATGCTGTTACAGAAGCTATGGTCCATGCAGTTACCATTTTTCACAATATGCTCATATATAAGGTAAAGGATTAAACAGTTTGAGATTTTTTACAAAATTATGGCCTCTGTTTTACACATATACATGTAATACATAGAGAAATATACTTCTTGCAATGCAACTCTTACATTTAAAAATTGATTTCAATCTTAGTTTCACAATACTTTTGTCCCATAAAATATAAAGTGTCCCGATGCATATTATATAAAATTATACGGCAGTAGGTAGCAAATGTATGGCCCTTTGTTGTTTGTCAAGTAATAGATTTTTTTTTTTATAAAGAAGACCCTTCATATTTCGTATGATGATTCAACCACATTTCCCAAGAACAATAATGATTGTCACATTAATTAATTGTTGTCTTGTCTCGGGTGTTTGCGATTTATTTGGAAAATTATATTTTTTCATAAGTACAGTAAAGTCTGTGAACTTTATGGACATTATGGACGAATTTCACTATCATTATAGATGGAAAGCCTTATTTTGCCCTTGTTAATTGTAATAAAACATAAAACCACGTTCCCACATTTTGAACATTTCGCGAAAAGGTCTTACTTTCGCATAACAAAATATATTAATGGACGCGGACGGGTCCATTTTTGACGGACTACTTCATATATTTTGTCAACTTTACGTAACAGAATGAAATAAAGCAGAGTATGCTTAATTTTATTTAAAAGTATTATTGACAAAGGCATAGTCTGCATCAGATCATTTGTATGGTTGTTAAAAATCAGAGTGATCTAAAGTTTATGTACTATTTTATTGCACATTCATTTCCGGTAGATGTTGTTAGGCACGCCGGGGAGTTTCTTAAAATATTTTACATTTTTGCAAATATCTGCACCTAAAGGCAAGTGTCATCCAAATTTAACACCAATTTCATATTCTGCAGATTATGTGTTATAAATTGAAAGTGTTTTTATTGATGTAGCATTGTTTATTTTGTAATGATTCCTAAGTCAAAGTTGAGACCTTGTAACACTCGCAGACACTTGGAGTTTGGAGCTCAAAACGCCTTTAAAATCCAAATAAAATGCATATTTGTCAATCCCAGCACATGTACTGATCATATATATCAAAAAAACTTAATATAAGCCGCTTTGAAAAAAATTCATATTTCAACATCTTCTTCTTCTTCTTCTTCTCTTCTTCCAATATAGTACAGACACCTTCCGGCGTATACTCGTACTAGCGCAGCGCGGTGTGAGAAGTGTCTATGTACAAGAGTGATTTAAAAAAGTACTATGTATAGTGCTGGTAAAAATGTAAAAACACCGGACTGTCTATCGGAGATTGAGTGGGAGTACTTCCCTCTTGAAGCTGTCTATGGTTGTACAGCTTACAACTGTCTGGGGAAGACTGTTCCAGAGGCGGATGGTGTCTGGGAAGAAGGATCGCTGGTAGCACTGGGTCTTTGCAAATGGTACCAGGTAGTGAAGTCCATGTCCTCGAACAGAGATGACTGGGGTGAGGTTGGATGTAGGGACTTCTACTAGGCCATTTACTATACGGTACATCATGGTCACCTTGGCATGGGCTCTGCGTTCTCGGAGGGTAGGCCACTGTAGGTGTTGCAGCATCGATGTCACACTGCTGGTTCTTCTGTAGTCTGAGAAGACCATTCTTGCTGCTCGGCGCTGCACCATCTCCAGTTTCCAGATATTTGCCTCAGTGAAAGGGTCCCAGATGATAGAGGAGTATTCCACCAGAGGTCTCACGAGGGTCATATAGCAGAGCTCTTTGGTCCTTCTTGGGCATTGATTGATGTTTCTCTGTAGAAAGGATGTGGCATTGTTGGCTTTCTTTGTAGTTAGATCAATGTGATGGTTCCAGTTTAGTGACTTTTGGAAGTTGAGGCCTAAATATTTTGCTGTATCTACTTCTTCTAAGATGTGTCCATGGATGTTATATGGTTGTCTGATTGGTTTTCTCTTGTTTGTTATGTGGAGTATCTGGCATTTTTGAGGGTGGAATTCCATCAACCAATCCCTTTCCCATCTTTGTAGTCCATCTAGGTCTTTTTGTAGGGCTATAGCATCTTGGTCTGAGTGGATAGAGCGGTAAAGGGCACAGTCGTCAGCAAACATTCTAGTGGTGGATTCAGGTGATACATAGTTGGGTAGATCATTAATGAAGATGAGAAATAAGAGAGGTCCTAGAACACTGCCTTGTGGGACACCTGACTGGACAGGTGCTTCACCTGATTTGCTGCCGTCTAGTAACACTCTCTGGCTCCGATCCCCTAGGAAGCTGTTTATCCACTTTAGTAGGTTGTTTCGTATACCATAGAATTGAAGTTTTGTAAGTAATCGGTGGTGTGGGACCTTGTCGAAAGCTTTGGAAAAATCTAATAAAATGACATCAGTCTGACCAGCAGAGTCCATATTGCAAGCAAGGTCCTGGACTGTCAGTAAAAGTTGAGTCTCACAGGATCTGCGTTTACGAAATCCATGCTGGGCATCTGTAAGTATGTTGTAGGTGTCAAGGTGTTTCATCTATAATAATACACAAGATAAAAATGTTCGCCGGAAAAAATCTGCACCCCTACCGTCATAATCACCATGTATTTAATTCCATTTCCAATATTTTCACATAATCCTTTGGTCCATCGACACAGAAGATATAATTCTTCAGGATGATGGTCAATTTTTAACTTCAACGGTAGTATAAACAACGCAACAGCCGAAATAAACATCAATATTATCGCCGTTTTCCTTCAATGACATTATCTTTCGATAAATTCAAACGTGCCAGTCGGCTATGACCGAAGCCATCCGATAATGTGGCCCCAGCTTTGCCGTGTGCAAAATGCGCAGCGCTTTTAAGTTTGGGAACCACATAATCGGATGGCTTCGGTCATAGCCGACTGGCACGTTTGAATTTATCGAAAGATAATGTCATTGAAGGAAAACGGCGATTTTTTTCAAAACGGCTTATATTAAGTTTTTTTGATATACAGTCGACTCTCGTTATTTCGAAGTCATTGGGACCGTCCAAAAAATATCGAGATAACGAAATGTCGAGATAAACATTTTAGGGTTAAAACAAGGCGAAACTGATTTTTACAAAAGACAAGTGCATACCTTATGTCAAATAAACTATAGTATCCCTATGTCTTGTTTTCATAGGCCTAGTCAATATTTAACAAAGTAACATTAGCAGATGTTTGCCAGCGGAAATACGGGTGTCTGTGATAAAAACACATAGTGAGGTTTACTCAGTAATATACCAATATAGTGAATCGGATATCGGATATGGTTGATTCGGATATCCTCCCGGGTTATTTATCGAGTCTTTTTCGAGATTGTTCGACCGCTGATTGATTTGTTGGTGATGTTGTGAAACAGTATTGCAACGATAGCGTTTCTATACTTTCACTATTTCATTTACATTTAAAGTCATAATGAATTGATACAGTGTTCGAATATTTTTAAAAAATGTAAAATTCACTCATTTTGGACATAAGTCAATCAACACGCTAAATAGATTAACTTTTATAAAAACAGCTAAACGTGTTACAAACATAATCGTCATTATGACACGCGCTATAAATTGAGCAATTATCGTCTAGATTGTGTTTTTCACACGTCTGAAGGAAACAGACGAAAGAAAACTATTAGTCGAGATAAACAAAGGATAATCGTGTGAAAATAACTGTTGGGGCTGAAATTTTTCATCGAGATACTGAAAATATCGAAATAGAAATATCGAGATAAACAAATATTTCCAATATAGATAAAGAAGGAAGAAAATCGGGACTTTCAAAATTTCATCGAGATAACGAAATATCGAGAAAAGCGATGTCGAGATAACGATAGTTGACTGTATATGATCAGTACATGTGCTGGGATTGACAAATATGCATTTTATTTGGATTTTAAAGGCGTTTTGAGCTCCAAACCCCAAGTGTCTGTGGTAACACTCTATGGACACTTGGTGGAGGGGGGGGGGGCTTAATTCGTCCTTAAAGTTTTAACAGTTAAACACAGACGGCGCATTCATCTTAATCATAATACTTGTATTAAAACCATCCCTGGTCGCTTAAAAATACCAATTACTGTACAGTCTTCTCTTAAGCAAGGTTGTTTACATTGAAATTGTTCTCGGGTAGGTTGGGGGAGTAGTCTCAATATTTCGACGGCAAGACAGACCGATTTTATAATCTGATATTTCATAGATGTCTGCGAAGGGCGACCATCGTCTATATAAAAAAGCCCTAAAGCGCACAATTTGTTGGGCTAGTTGGGGGAGCTATACTCCTGGCCTGTCGATATTTTAGATGCGTACATTAAGAAATAGTGACTTATTTTAAACTTGTGTTGCAAGAGTTGCTCTCCTTTTCTATGGGAATGAAAACAATATAAAATCAATAAATAAAATTCCCCCCTCCTATCGTGTTTTTCCCCCTCCAAAGGGCAACGACCCCCTTCCCCCAAAAGTGAAAAAAACACTGATTAGCCATTAAAAGATACCGGGGATACTTGTTTACGTTTTTGAATCTTTTTTTCTCACTGAGACCAGGACTTTGTACACATGGAAATTGAATTTGAAACCAAGTTTATGACTGAAACAGAATTGTTACACTCTTGTTAAAGTACATTGTATTCACATTTGCTGAGAATTTTCAAAGTGGCAAGTAGGGGTAATGGTCTGACTCCGAGCATCTGTGCAATATATAAATGCTAGCTGTAATAACTCGTACTGCTTGCCAAAGATTCTAGCTGTATGAGAATACAGACAATAGATTCATTCTTGGATTTCTATAATAATGTTTCTGTAATTCTGGTTCATTTTAAAGCTACATGCCTCCAGGTGATGAAGTATTTAAGAAAAGTAAAAAAAAAATTCAAGGTACAAATACATGTATTAAGTAACATGTTTTCTGCGATTAATGACTGACTTTGCAGTATTTATCAACATATTTCTACTGCATGACTAAAGCAGTAAGGGCTATTTTGGCATATTTTGACCTCATTAATTTTTGGTAAATTAAGTGGATTGTAAACACTGCAATTAGAAAATCGCTTTCTTTGTTCATTTAACCATATTTTCCCTTTAACCCATTGCTTCATGAGCATTTTGTGAAAAATGGCTGTTTTCATTGAAAAGTCTCCCGTTACAAGTTCAAATTGCTATAATACTATAAAAACTGCTTCAACACTAATCAAACTTGGCACAAATGTTGACTGGACCATTGCCCTTGCAACAACATGCTCAGGCTTAAATTTTCTGTTACCATGGCAACGAGGGGACATCTCAAAATTGCCAAAAATCACTATTTTGCGTTGATTTTTTCCATCAAAATTGATTTCAAAGTGCTGCAACTTCTCAATGGATTGAGATAGAGTCAAATGCTTTTCAGCGTTGGTTACACGTTACCTTATGATCAATCTGGGGTCATTTACAGCCTCTCACAAGTCCAAAATTTTCTTGGCGATGAGGGGGACTCCGCCCCCCCTTCAAACCCCCCAAACAGAAGGGGGCACATCCCCCTTCTGGCAACCCCCTGATGTATCTTTTGGTTGGGGGGGCCGCGCCGAAAAAGAGGTCACTTTTTTTAACAACATTTCTCAAACAAAAACAAGTGTTTGGGGCCTAAATAAGGCATTTTTTCATCATTTGAGGCAACAAAAAGGGGGGGGGGGGTGAAAAAGGCGTTAAAAGGCGTGTATATGAAGTAATGGGTTAACAGAAAATGATGAAAATACTTGAAATTACCCTTAATCGCGTTTTTTCATGTTTAAACATGGTCTGTCATATAAATTTGAAGAAAAATTGTTGTTTTGTAGATTTTTTTATTTTATTCATTAACCCATTGCTTCATGAGCATTTTGTGAAAAATGGCTGTTTTCATTGAAAAGTCTCCCGTTACAAGTTCAAATTGCTATAATACTATAAAAACTGCTTCAACACTAATCAAACTTGGCACAAATGTTGACTGGACCATTGCCCTTGCAACAACATGCTCAGGCTTAAATTTTCTGTTACCATGGCAACGAGGGGACATCTCAAAATTGCCAAAAATCACTATTTTGCGTTGATTTTTTCCATCAAAATTGATTTCAAAGTGCTGCAACTTCTCAATGGATTGAGATAGAGTCAAATGCTTTTCAGCGTTGGTTACACGTTACCTTATGATCAATCTGGGGTCATTTACAGCCTCTCACAAGTCCAAAATTTTCTTGGCGATGAGGGGGACTCCGCCCCCCTTCAAACCCCCCCAAACAGAAGGGGGCACATCCCCCTTCTGGCAACCCCCTGATGTATCTTTTGGTTGGGGGGCCGCGCCGAAAAAGAGGTCACTTTTTTTAACAACATTTCTCAAACAAAAACAAGTGTTTGGGGCCTAAATAAGGCATTTTTTCATCATTTGAGGCAACAAAAAGGGGGGGGGGGGGAAAAAGGCGTTAAAAGGCGTGTATATGAAGTAATGGGTTAAATACATTTTCATAATTTTTATGAAAAATTAGTGTGAATCTAAGAGAGGCATGTTACTTTAAGGCATTTTCATGATTTACTTACAATCAGTTTTATGTGTAGTTTTTAAGCAAAAAATTAAACCTGAAATAACATATTTCAATTTTTCCAGTATTTATAGACTGTATTCCCAATCTAAAAATTGCAATTAATGTGTCCCTAATTTTGTCTGTTCATATTTCACAAAGAAGGAGAAATAGCCATCAGTAATCAAGCAATTAATTATATCTAGACACTCTTCACATGTTGTTTAAAGGCACATTATGCCTCAGAGAGAAAATAAGTTTTTCTTTCTTAAGAAAAGGCAGGCATGTTTGAATATAAATTGTTCTGGAGCAATTGTTACTTGTTTATCACCTGAAGAAAGAATTGCTAAATATAAAAGTATTTGTCATAAAAGTAACAAAATGTAAACAAAGAAGTATTGTGAATTCCATACAAAATGCTAAATCATATAAAAATTAATTGCTGTAAAGCCACAGCAGCAAAAAAATGGTTCAGATAATTGACCAATTACATGTAGTAACTTTTTTGAAAACTGTAACAGGACACCTAAGAAATAAAAAAAAGAATTTCTGAGGCCAGCTAATGGGCCTATAAAGGTTTAATATTACATTTTGCCCTTTTAAATTGATAACAAATTATGAAGTACTTTGATGGAGTAGGGTGCGTAAAGATTAGGGATAATATACATGTAAGCTGATAATATTACCACTGTAGAAGATCTGTAGAGGGTTGTTACAGATAAATGTGACATTCCTCTTAAACTGATAAATGATTTGATTTCTTGAAATGTTAATTTTAAAGTGTGTTTTAATTTATACAGTGGCCAGTATAACATAATTACATTTATTGCAATATGGTATACATCTGTTTCAATATTATTTTTAAGCTGCATGCCTCCAGATAAGCCAAAATATTGCAAGAACATCATGAAAATTAGCATGAATCTGGATGGTGGCATGCTGCTCTAATTTCTAAATTGCTTGAACTGTTATTGACACTACAACATTACATGCATATAAAAATCCTTAAGCAGGTATTGAAAATTGAAAGCTTGTTTAACCCATTACCCCATGAGCATTTTGTGAAAAATGGCTGTTTTCATTGAAAAGTCTCCCGTTACAAGTTCAAGTTGCTATAAAACTATAAAAACTGCTTCAATACTAATCAAACTTGGCACAAATGTTGACTGGACTATTTCCTTTCTAACAACATGCTCACTCTTAAATTTCCTGTTACCATGGCAACTAGGGGACATCTCAAAATTGCCAAAAATCACTATTTTGCATTGATTTTTTCCATCAAAATTGATTTCAAAGTGCTGCTACTTCTCAATGGATTGATATAGAGTCAAAGGCTTTCCAGCATTGGTTACACGTTACCTTATGATCGACCTGGGGTCATTTTTAGCCTCTCACAAGTCCAAAATTTTGTTGGCGATGAGGGGGACTCCGCCCCCCTTCAAACCCCCCAAACACATCCCCCTTCTGGCAACCCCCTGAGGTATCTTTTGGATGGGGACGGCGCCGAAAAAGTGGTCAATTTTTTAAACAACATTTCTCAAACAAAAACAAGTGTTTGGGGGCCTAAATAAGGCAATATTTCACCATTTGAGAAAGCAAAAAGGGGGGGGGGGTGAAAAAGGCGTAGAAAGGCGTATATATCAGGTAATGGGTTAAACCTTTTTGGACATAAGTAACTTAATTTATAACAGACTTACATCAGGAGTATTCCTAGATCCACTCACCAGCCTATAGTCCAAGCTGACTACTAAGACCCTTAACTTATGGCAGTTCAAGTTTAGCAAAGTTTTGATATAGAAATACTTTCATTTGCTAAAAATACTTTTAATACTTAAAATTAAGTTAAAAGGGAAACTAACATATTTTGCTTAATGTTTTTCTCCTTTTTTTTCTGAAAATTTGTTTGATCAGGAAAATTTGTTAAGATGCATCCCACTTTAACCTATATTGTACATGTATATTCAGGTATCTCACTTTATCACAAGATGGCAGCTATTACAGAAGTATCGTGTAATAAAATGTTTGGTGGATTCCAGAAAGTGTTTAGTCATGAAAGGTAATTGTACATGTATAATATTACTACATACAATGTAGTTCTAAAAATTTGGGTCATGTTCCCAAATTTTGATGGAGGGGTGGCCTTAAAGGGTTGAGGCATCAGAATTGCAACCTGGTTCAAGCCTTATTGTAAGAGACAACTAATAAATTTTTTTCTTTGTTTTATTATCTCCAAGGTGAGCTTTAGTGATTGCATAATGTCTTTGGTCCATGCATTAGCAGCATTTGTTTTTAAAAAATCATAAAATGCTTCGATTTATAATTGAAAGACTATTATCTGTCTTAATTGATTAACTATTTTGCAAAATGGCTATCTATTATCAAATGTACATTTCCCAAGTAATTTTTTACCATTCAACCAGACTAATGTTAAATTGCTGTTTAATTTTTGAATAAATGTTTTGCTGTCATAATCCCTATCATTGAATAATTAACAATATACAGTTCTGTCACAGCTGCAGATTACTGCAAAATCATTATTTATGGGGCACTAATTTCCATTGCTTTATACACAAACTTAAGAACCTATGTTATTTCATTTTGTCTGCTGTAAGATAATTTTCCATTGCATTATGTACATTTTACCTTTTGGAAAAATAGACAGTTCACGAAAATTAAGAAGTTTCAACACACAAAAAGTTCTTTGTAGCACAACCATGAAATTTCATGCCCACGAAATTAAGAGAATTCACAATGAGTCAATTTATGCAACTTTTCACCAGTTACAGCATTTAGATTGGACTTAATAAGTATTTTTAAATTGGAGTTATCTTCATGATTATTAATTAAGGTAAAATAATATCAAATCATGTTGATGATATTTTACAGCAAAGAATGTAAGTGTACAATGAAGTTTGGTGTGTATGTGCCTGCTAAAGCCGAGAAGGAGAAAGTTCCTGTGATATACTGGCTTTCAGGTAAGTTACTTGAAGTTATCTTTAATTAATTTTTCCCTCTACGCAATGTAGCCTAGGTCTGGATTCCATTGTGAACTAGCTACCTTGAAGCAGCATGTCTCATGATTCATTCCAATTTTAATGAAAAATTTTGAAAAATTTTAAGAAAGTAAAATATTGTTATGTGAACAAAGAAAATAATTTTCGCATTGCAAACAGCACTTGCAGTCCATGTTAATTACCTAAAAGAGGTCAAAATATGCAAAAATAGCCCTTAATGTGTTAGTAATACAGAAATATGATGAAAAAATACTGTAGAATTGGTTTTAAATCGCAAATAACATGAACAATTACTACTTATATCTTAAATCTTTTTACTTGTCTTATAATCGCAGTACTTTTTTCTCAAGTTTGATTCTCTTGAAATATTTTTGGTTCATCTTGAGGCTTGATATTTTTGGTTTATCTTGAGGCATGCAGCTTTAAAGTAGGTTGGTTTTTCTGCTCAGGTGCCTTGCACAAAAGGGCAAGCAAGGTCTTTCCCAACCAGTCAGTTTTGAATTAATTAGTCCCTTCAAAACTGGAGTTACCATATGACCATCAAAGTCTCGGATATGACTTAAAACCAAATAAAACAGACTTGTTTTGATGTATGAAGGAGGGAATGGGCCTATGACAAAAGGTCAATAACAGAGATTTTTGAAAATGATATAAACAGTGAGACAATGGTCAAAGAGTTCCATACCTTACAAGGCTAATTTTTCACAAAGAGGATATTTTTAAATTAAAACATAATTCTTTGCGCAGCCTACACAGAATGCATATAACAATAAAATTTTTATTTTATAGAATGGATAGATATTTGTAAACTGCTTTTTCTTTAATTTCTGTTGGCATGTTTGTCTAAAATTTAACAAGTTATTGATTGAATATTTTAGGACTAACATGTACAGAACAGAACTTTGTAACGAAGGCAGGTGCTCAGAGGGTGGCTGCAGAGAAAGGTGTGATCATTGTTGCCCCGGATACCAGCCCAAGTAAGTACCTTTGTTTCAAGAGAGAAAAGGCAGATCTCTGTGACCTAGTTGCTATGGTTGTCAACATTGAATCGCTTGAATCTTTGATGGGAAATATTTAAAGTTTGATATTCTGCAAGCATCATTTTCCCCGATTTACCAGTATGCAGTCAAGGTTATTAGGTCATTCTCCCATTTGAAAAAAAGATCTGAATTTATGGATACAAAGCATGTGATGAATCTGTCACTTTCCACAATTTTGAGCTATAATTCTTAGTTCTAATGATAGGGGGTCATGTTCCTAAATTGTGGTGGAGGGGTTGCCTTTACAATTTGAAGCATCAGAATTGTAGCCACCATTCAACCCTGTGTGATTGTAAGAGGTGACTCAATAAGCTAAAAAAAAACTTGAGTCTATGCATCTCTTAGCTCCAGCAAGTGAGGTAGTTTTGAATCAGTGTTGCTTTAAGATTGTAACACCTGAGGTTAGCCAAAATCATCTTCCCTGTTTTGGCACCATTTGACCTAAATTGTGCTGGTGTGCCATAAAACCAAACAAACAAACATTCTCGCTCTAACACTAGTCTGTTTATATGTGTTTTTTCAGGAGGAGTTAACATAGAGGGGGAAGATGAGAGTTATGATTTTGGCTCTGGTGCAGGTTTCTATGTAGACGCTACAGAAGAGAAATGGAAAAATAACTATAGAATGTATTCTTACATCACATCGGAGGTATTCATAAATTCTTATGTGTATACATCATATACATATTTATTCTTATGCTCCTTAGATACTTATCTGTATACATATATAGTAATACTTATTTATTTATATGCTCCTTAGAATTGTTTCATTGGGTATATTGATGGTGGTTATTCTACCTACCTGTCCTTTACTCACAATTACTAACATACTATGACATAATTATCTACTGTGTCTTTTAGCACCTTATTTTATTGACTGATATCAAAGATATTTTGATACCTGTATTTTTGTTTTGGTGGAGCTTCTGTGGCTGAGTGGTTCAGGTCATTGATTTCAAACCACTTGCCTCTCCCTGCTGTGGGTGGAAATCTTGCTGGGGACTTTGGATTCTTTCATGTGAGGAAGGTACCCAGCTGGCTCATGGAACATCGGTGGTTTTACTCTGGTGCCAGGGATCACGCTTGCCCTAAATTTTAGGGAGAAGTGACTTCTCCCTCCAAAGAGAATGGGGAGAATTTTTTGGGGACAGTGGGAGGTGCATACAAATTGCATTTTTTGAAAGTGTTGATGTACCATTTAAGATACTTATTACAAGTTTTAAGACTGACCAAGTAACTGTCTCCGTGGTCAAGGGCTTAGAGGCGATGACTTCTTATCCATTTATCTCTCTGGTGTGGGTTCGATCCCCGGGAGATGCTTTGGTAGTAAAACGCAGAGGAAGGTAGTCTAGTACTGGTGTAATTCTCCAGGAACGATGATTAGGAAACAACCCGCCTATATGACTGAAATACTGTTTGTAAAAGGTGTTAAATGAAACAAACAAACAAACAAAAGACTGACCAAACATTAGGTGGACTAAAACAATGCATGTACACAACAGTTTATTTAGTAACTTATATCAAATATTTGTAAACAGCAAAATTACAAATGTTGTGAAATGATGATTTTCAAATGGAAAAACTTCGAAGTTAGATGTATGATGTTCCCATTTTATAAAAGGGTAATGGTTTGTTGAGTAGGATTTCAGCTGTCTAGTAGTTGTTTTACTATTATACGCCCGTTTGAAAAACGGGACGTATTATGGGAACGCCCCTGGCGGGCGGGCGGGCGGGCGGCGTCCAATTTTGTCCGGAGCATATCTCCTACATGTATGGAGGGATTTTAATGAAACTTCATATAAATGTTCACCACTATGAGGAGCAGTGTCGCGCACATGAACCAGCTCTCTAGGTCAAAGGTCAAGGTCACACTTAGAGCTCATTGAAAAATGCTTGTCCGGAGCAAAACTTCATGTATAGAGGGATTTCAATATTACTTGGCACAAATGTTCACCATTGTGAGGCGTAGTGTCGCGTGCAAGATTCAGGTCCTTGCGGCCAAGGTCAAGGTCACACATAGAGGTCAAAGTTCAGATCAAAATATGAAGATGTGTATATGGACCATTTAGTCATCATTTATTGAGGGATTGTAACACAAATGGTCATTATCAAGACTATGGCTGTGATACATATAATTTAGGTCAATATATACAAGGTCAAGGTCACTAAAGATGATGAAATATCAAGATTTTGTAAATAGAATTTAATCAAAGGGAGACAACAAAGTTATTACTTTGTTCATAAATGACTTACACAATTACTCCCCTTGATCTATTTTCACTTTCAATTCTAAAAATAGAATTTAATCAAAGGGCATGAAATAATCCTCTTTCTTGGACTTGAGTATGTTCTAAAGAATGTAACATTTATTTACACATGTTTCATTCATTGGTCAAGATTCTTAACTGTGATAACTATGGTGTTCTGTAGACTTGGTATTTGTTCATAAAGATCATACAGTAATTACCTTATCAAATGTAAATACTTTCTCATAGAAATTTAATTATATTTTAATTTTCAAGTAAATATCAGTTCAGCTCATTCAAAGATTAAGAATTGTAATGAAATGTATTTCCCTATAATAAAATCTTAAATCAGAATTTTTTAGTTATTAAATTACATGTACTTTTTATACGCCCGTTTAAAAAAAGATAAAAATATGAAGATGTGTATAGGGACGATTTAATCATCATTTATTGAGGGATTGTAACACAAATGGTCATTATAATGACTACGGCTGTGACACATGTACTTTAGGTCAATATATGCAAGGTCAAGGTCACTAAAGATGGTGAAATATCCAGATTTTGTCTGGAGCATATCTCCTACATGTATGGAAGAATTTTTATAATACTTTATGGAAATGTTCACCACCATGATATGTATTGCTCCATGCATGATCCAGGTCTCCAGGTCAAAGGTCAAGGTCACACTTGGAGCTCATTGAAAAACGCTTGTCCGGAGCAAAACTTCTACATTCATAGGGGGTTTTCAATATAACTTGGCACAAATGTTCACCATTGTGAGGCTGAGTGTCGCATGCAAAATTCAGATCCCTGCGACCAAAAGTCAAGGTTACACATAGAGGTCAAAGTTCAGATAAAAAATTTGAAGATGGTTATAGGGACCATTTAGTCATCATTTATTGATGGATTGTAGCACAAATGGTAACTATCATGACTACAGGTGTTACACATTTAATTTAGGTTAATATTTGCAAGGTCAAGGTCACTGGAGATGATTAAATATCCAGATGTTGTCCGGAGCATATTTTCTACATGCATGGAGGAATTTTAATGTTACTTTTATAGAATTGTTCACCACCATGAGACGTAGTGCCCTGCACATAAACCAAGTCTATAGGTCAAAGGTGAAGGTCACAGTTAGAGCTCATAGAAAAACACTTGTCTGGAGCAAAACTTCTACATGCATAGAGGGATTTCAATATAATTTGGCACCAATGTTCATCATTGTGAGGCTGAGTGCCGTGCATAAAATTCAGGTCCCTGCGACCAAGGTCAAGGTCACACATTCTGTGCATATCTTCCCTATTGATTTGTTTTAAAGTTCATTTAACAACACAGTGCCAAGAATAAAAACTTGCTTGCTAGATAACACTTATCCATAATGCCCCCATCTCCATCTAAAGCTTTTTCGTAAACGGGCGTATTTTGTGACTATGGCACCCTTGTTTTTTACAGTGAAATATGTTTTGTTTAATATTTCAGTTACCACAAGTTATTAATAGCAACTTTAATGCTGACCCTGAGAAAATGTCCATATTTGGACACAGGTAAGTTAAAAACTCATATCAAATATGATACATTTGAAAATATCCAAGAATGTTGAAAAAAAACTTCCATGTTTTATATTTTTCTAGAAGTTTGTTTATTTCTCCATTACTTGTTAATTAATTTTTATAAACCTTTCTAAACATACCATAAAGATACTTTTAAACTATGAAAGCTTTCTGTAATCTTAACTCATGTATGATAGTTTGGACAAAGAATGAAATTTAAAGTCATATACTGTTGCTTTGACTGACTTTTAAACAGGTATTTGCAATGAAAGTTTGTAAAGGGTATATATAAAGCTTATGAACATTTACTGCATGCAGTATAAAAAATTATTTTTTGAATTTTGAAGAAATTGAATATCTGTATGAAAAAAAATTGATTGTATACATACAGAAAATGGTTAATGCAAGGAATTATTGCTATTGCTAAACAGTTGAAATTCGACATAAAATAGCAGCATTAATATTTTGTTCTGGAATATTTCATTCTGTTTCTGTACAATATCATTGTGTGTTGAATAACACAGACATTCTTTGAAACAGGCTTACATTTTATAGAATTTATAAAAAATATTTCATTTGATACAGCTTTATAACCTTGAACATCAGCCAAATTATAAAGATGATTAGAAATAAGAATAAGTTTGAGCAATGTTATTGTATAGGACCCCTGTGGTTTCACATAAGACTGTTATCCAGCTAGGTAATGAAAGGTGGTGGTTTACTCAGGTGCCTTAAAATATTAAGAGCTTTAGATTTTATGTTACAACAGCTGTATGATTTTTACAGTATCTGTGTAACTTAAAACTTAACCAAATTTATAATTACAGTATGGGAGGGCATGGAGCATTAATTTGTGCCTTAAAGAATCCAGGAAAGTACAAGTCAGCAAGTGCATTTGCTCCTATCTCCAATCCCATAAAAGCACCATGGGGTCAAAAGGCGTTTGCAGGGTACCTAGGAAAAGATCAATCAAAGTGGCAGGTATGTAAAGTCTTGAAACGTACCATGTTTTTAGTTTAATGCTTGACCAGTTGTCTTCACTAGTCAATAATGTGTTTTGCTGATTTTTGTTTTGTTCTGTGCCTGTTTAGGTACCTGTAATAGTCAAAAAAATTTATATGCCTGAAAAAAAATTGGCGTTTAATGTTATGCACCTGGTTGTCTGTCTGTTCGTCTGTTCGCAGGTTTTGTGTTCGGTCTCTATCTTTTGAACAGGTAGACAGAAATTGAAACTACCTGGCAGAAATGTTAACCATTATGACGTGATATGCTGAACGCAGGTTTGATCTTCCTCAGCTCAGGTCAAGGTCACACTTCATATTGTAACAATTTAAAAAAATTGTGTTTGTTCTGTATCTTTTGAACTGATAGAAAGAAATTGAAACTTTTAGGCATAAATATTACTTGTAATGAGATGATCATGAGTGCAGAACACAGATTTGGACTTCCTGAGATCAAAATTTGCCCTGCCCTGATGATAACTTGATTTATATAGACTTGTATAAGAAAAACACATCTAAGATGAATTATGTGAAACTATGATGTCCAGAGCTTAGATATATAACATGTAACATCAATTTGTGGGCCACAAAATAACTGGTATTGATTGTGCCCCTTGGGCCAATATTGATCCCGCCTTGGGGTCACATAGTTAATATACTACAATGCCTAGAGTTTAGAAATTTGACATGTGGCATTGCCTTGTTAGCCTGTACAAAACTGGTAAAAGTCATGCCTCATGGATTAATCCCACCAAGGCCCCCAATCCAGCCCCGTTCTGTCCTGTTGAAAAGTTAATCTTGATTATTCAAATAAATTATTTATGTTTTGGGCGTATATTGCCCCGCCTTTGCAGGGCTCTTGTTATTCTTTTCCAATTATATCATGTTCTCTCTGATTGCATTGTTTGAAAGAAGCTGTGTATGTCATATATAAGAACCTTCAGGAGAAGGAAGCTTACAGGCATCTTTTGTTTTCGTACTCGGCTTATTAAATCAACTACTGCATTGATATTTTTGGTCAGTTTGATTTAAAAACCATGAAAACAAAGAGAAAATTTATAAATTAGATGAAATTTTTTTAGGGTTTCCATGACCAAGAAGTAAAGTTTAGACATTGAATTACTTGCCCACTCTGCAGTTGTTTTAATTTCAAGTCCCAATAAAGGTTTTGAATTCTTTCATGTGAGTTAGGTATACAGTAAGGTCAGAGCAGGTCCATAGTAAGGCAAGTACTTGTGCATGAAAAAAATGTATGTTGGACCACCTAAAGACTGCCCCCATCAGTAAAACTGGAAAGTGGCCATACAGCCCGGTTATGACATAATTCAAACTAAGGTATCAACTGAGGTAATAAGTTACATTTGTTTGTGTTTCGTATACAGGAATATGATGCTACAGAACTTGCCAAGAAGTACAGTGGACCAGCGTTAAATCTGTTGATACACCAAGGAAAGTCAGATGAATTTTACATCAAGGGACAACTTTTACCTGACAATTTTGTTGCTGCTTGTGCTGCTAATAATATACCTGTTGACCTGAAAGTTGAGGAGGTATGGAAAAGTCAAGTATTTTCATATTTTACCATCCTGATAAATGTCTAAGTTTTTTGTACATGAATTTATAAGCACAACTAGTCAAAAGGGCCGGCCATGGCTGAGTGGTTAAGGTCATTGCTTTCAAACCACTTGCCCCTCACCTGTATCGAGTCCCAACTGGGACTTTGGATTCTTTCATGTGAGACGCTATCCAGCTAGCTTACAGAACGTCCGTGCTTCTACTTAGTTGTCTGTTTGTGCCTGAGATATTGCACGGAAGGGCACCTGAGGTCACCCTCCACCAGTAAAGCTGGAAATTCCCCCATATGACCTATACTGTGTTGTTGCAACAACCAAAACAACCAAGAGAACTACCATGAGCTATTGCAGTACTCCGTCCAATTCCTTTCTGCTTTAAATTGTAAATTATTAACATGTGTATATATCTTGAATATAAAAATATGTTTAAACCAAAAAAAAACAAGTCAATTTAAAATTATAACTTCTAGTCCTTCTCACTTTATTTGTTAAGTGTTGTTTCTTCTGTTTATTTTCCTGTGATTTATAAATCTGAGCACTAGATTACTTATTGACATTGTTGTGTTTAATAACAGTTCAACTTTTTTCCTTTGAGGAAAGAAATATTGATATAAAGAGCTTTCTTTTGAACACAGTCACACCAAGACTAAATATTTGTACACTTCAATATGACAAGGGCATTAATATGCTGACACTATTTTTTTATTTCAGGGATATGACCATAGTTATTATTTTATAGCAACATTTGTGGAAGAACATGTTAGTCATCATGCCAAGTTTCTCTGCCAATGACTAAATCCTACTGGACAAAACAAACTGTGAAACAGTGAATGTACAAAAGTCATTTTATCTACAGACATATACATGTATACAGTTACTATCACAGTAATGTCCCTTTAATAATTATAAATAAATTGTATTATACCCTGGCCCTGAGTTCACAAAGAATCAAGTATTTGAAGATCAAGATCAGGATCAAGAATTATATTTAAAAATTCAACCTTAGTTTATGCTTAAAGGGACTCAACTGATGTTTTTAAAATGAGGAGTCTGAAAATAATTTTCCGAGATAAATGCACAACCATATAGTCTGACCTGACTATACTGTTGCTGGCCCGGTTACATGTAGTGCATTATGATATTGAAGTCCCTTAAACTTTGAATTGACTATCAGGGAAAATCTGTTTAATTAATTCAGAAGGTTAAGGTTTAAAAAGCATGTCTTTTAAGAGTTTATCTAGATATTCATTGATCTTTTTTTTTTATCCAAATGTGTTTGAAGTTTATACTGACTTGTTATTATTATAACTCATAATGAGTTGCCCTTGTAGCAATTTTTTTTCTTTATCATTTATAATTTATATACCAAATGTTGTGTCTAGTATTTTGTCAGTATTAGCTGCATGTATACATCTATAGAACAGATTCAGATCAAATAAAGCCTGATCCTGGTTCAGATGATTTTATGTTCTTTGTGAACTCCTCGACCTGGTGCTTTTGTTATTTAAACAGTCATTAGTCCTATACATGGCAGCATTATTCACATACTTTACTTGATTTTTGTAATTAAAGATATACTATGCTCAAATTTAATATTAGAAAATATTGATAATTGTTACACAGTCTTTTTGTAAATATAAAATGTTTTGATATAAAACAACACAGATAAGTTATGTGTAAAATTCTGTACACAATAGGTGATCACAATTTGAATATATAGTGTCATTAAAAAAATGGTAGTTTTTTTAAAGAAAAAAGACTATCTTTACTTGACCAGTAATAAGGAAAACGGCTTCCCATACCTAGTTTATTCATTCTTTTATTCAAACTAGACATATTCAGTAAGAATTTCATAGATTTCAATAAATTTCTGTGATTAAAATACTTTAGGTTACTCAAGGATGAGCATAGTATATCTTTAATTAATCATTTTATCCCAGTAAATTATGCTATGTAATTTTCATAATGCAAAAAGTTAAAATCGAGTTTATTATAAAATGTTTTATTGTAATCTGAAATCACAGATCTATATATTTAAAAATATCTGTATTTATAAGTCTCTGCAATAATAATAAAAAACCCTAACAAACCGGATCTTCATGTAAAAAGCAGACAACCCTCACGAAAAGCAGACGATAAGATGCACTACAAATGTGGTAAACAACAATGACACGTTTGGTTCTTTGATACATGTCAATCAAATTTGCACTGGACTGAACATTTCACAGAAATTGATTTAAACCAAAATTATCAGAAATTGATTTTTACAAAATCATGAACATGTACACGTGCTTTTCCGACATGGCATGTGGTTTTGTTGTTGATTTCATTTGATTGAGTTTGATTTATTGTTTATACGTTTCTTATCTTTGTAAAAGATGAATAAAACAAAAGCATTTTTACAAAGACTGGAGATGTGTGGTTGTCAAGTGCACCTGATTTATGGGTTATGGTTGTATTTTTGATTGAATATTACATTTTTGATTTTATATGTAGACCATTTGTTATTGAAAAATTTTTACTAATCAAAAATTGTGCATGTATTAATTATGTTACCGATCCGGCTAGTGCACTTGCAATTAATTTATGAAAAAAAAATGTAGAAAAAATAAATCATTGAAAAATTATAATGTGTTATGTTATTTGTTGCTTATTTCTTCCAAATCGTCTTTAAATTTACTTAGTCTATAGTTCTGTTTAAAGCCCCCAGAAAATGTGAAGATAATCTTCCATACTGTGCAAAAATGTGACTATCTCAATTCACAGTCTTTGAATGTCACAATATTTCTTCATAGACCAAGCTTAAGTGTATAACATCACTTACCTACCTTGGTGTTGCAAGCAATGGAACGGATGAAAAAAACCCTGATTGTACATAACTTTAAATGAATTACTTCTAAGTTATTCACTTTTGGCGATCACAGGGTTCTACAGAGTGTAAAATGTAGAGTTATTTAGGGGCTAATTTTAATTGTCAGTTTAAACCTGAAATAACAAATTAACTTACCAAATCATATTCATGTAATCATAATGTTTTATCTTTAAACGTATATTTCCGTATACATATCTATTATATACATATGCACCTATGAATTGTCTGATGAAACTAGGGGCATGTGTAGATAAGTATTTCCGTATACATATCTATTATATACATATGCACCTATGAAATGTCTGATGAAACTAGGGGCATGTGTAGATAAGTTTATTTATACTGGCTGCAGGAATAAACCATATGCTCCAGATTATCTGCGCACTTGCTTGTCCGTCTGTAGAGCCCACAGCGGCGACTTTGACCTGGGTTCATTCGTTGGTGGTGAGCGGAGACGACAATACTTGCAAGGCCTCATCTATCATCTATTATAACAAAAATAGGCCATGTTAGCGCCACCCTCCCAGGTGAACCAATCGTTCCTGGTACTTTATGTGGCTTGATCTTGACTTGACCTTGACCTGTCGTGTGCCCTCTCCGTGTACGCCTTGAGAGGGGGGGGGGGGTCCAATATTTCCAACAGAGGAACCAACCCGGATCCCGTATCGCATGAAAAGCATTCAAAATAACTCATGAATTGTGCAAAAGTAAATGAGCCGATAAATCAGTTCCACAAAGCATGCAGGGGTCCAAAAGGCTACAAACACGGACTTTGAAAATCTAAATCTTACGTACATCAACCTTGGCACTTAAAACGGAAATATGTAACAGATAATAAAAAAGATTGACTCAGAATTAAATCGAAGATGTTTTCATTTTTATGTCTTTTTGCACTAAAATGATTATTCTGTAAAAAAAACGGAGTGAGCGAATGATCTGAAATTTTGCATAAAGACCAACATCAAATCGAGTAAAACTCTAAAAAAACTGTTTTAAGATTAATATTTTAGGCGCATGGAAATAATGTTAATGGTCATTAGTGATGTCATGACATGATTGATCATCCCGTAACGCAGCAATGTGGAAATGGCGTCTCACGCATAGTGATTATCTCCCTTGACTGTACTGATAAGGGGAGATCACTGCTTAGGAGATTACGAAGAATGGGCTAGCGCTAAGGACGCCGCTGTTGAGGTAACAAACAGCGGAACAGCATGGGCGCAGAATTCTGGCCAATATAGATACATGTACGTCCCGCTGGTCATCATAGATAACCTCGTCGAAAAAATAAACTGCAATAAATATCGAAAGTAGCGCCGTATAGCCGAGACGAGCAACACGGTAAGTTAACAGAGCAATGTAGTTTAAAACAAATAAAAAAAATGAATAAATTGACATTAAGTATTTTATTAAACTTATTGGACTTAAGGAAAAATAATAACATCGCCCATTTCCCGTATTTCACTATTTAACAGAGGGTATATATAATAAATGGAAAATTGCAATTGTGTTACCCTGGTGGGGTGCGTATCACTCACGTTCATTGCGAAAAGTTGGATTCAAACTCATGTTGCGCTGTTGCGGGTTCGCGGGCCCAAATACCTCATACATGTATGATTGCATATATTGTCACTCCTATCGCCTACATGTTGAACAATATTCTGAGTAAAAAAAACGAAAAAAACTTATAAATCTTTTTGACATTCTTAAACGTAACATAATTTGTCATAAACTACAAGAAAACATGAAATGTGTCCAAAGAAAATGAATTACATGTAATTACTAAATTCAGAAATGATCAAAGCATTATTTTGCAAATCATTCTATAATACATAAATGTGCATTTGTTTACGTATATTTTCTGCTTTTTTTTAACCAACTAACGTTTGTCCACATCACAATCGTTCAATCATCTACAGACGTGCCATGTTACATCATGTAATGTGCGTGAACTCCGTGCATGTCACGTGCTATCGAGTAGTATATATAGTCTGCCGAAAAGAAACGTTTACATATCTCCATCGTCTTTCAAAGTCGTCTGCTTCTCTAACAGAAGAAAACTTAGCCAAAATGAAATTCTTCGCCATTGCACTTTTATTGGTTGCACTCTGTGTTGCCAACAGTGAAGGTAAGAGTCTTTTCGAATTACATGTGTATTAAAAAAAATCACTTTTTGACTATATATTTTATAGGGTATAGAGCTGTGTTTAGGGTGTCTCAAATGTGCCGAATAATTTTTATTGTGATATTAAAATACTGTCCATTACAACTCTAAATATCTTAAATGGACTTGTATATCTTTTAATCTGGAGAAAACCATGCATTATTTTAGGGAATATTTCAAAACGTTACGGACGGAATAGTAAAAAGTGCAGACCATGATCAGATGTCACAGATATGTCGGTCGATCTTGGTCTGCACTGGTTGCAACGGTAGATTCAGATACTACCGATATGACAGGACTCGAAATTGATATACCATTTCATGAAGGTCTGGGTCACTAACTTGTGTGCAAAATTTTAGATCTTTCGCTTATTCGTTTTTTTTAAAAATTTCAGAATAGTTATTTTTATTATGAAAGATGTTTTCCAAATATGAAAAGCGTATCTAAACGCTTTAACATAATATTGAGCTTAGATACGAGCAAAAGTATGCTGTTGTTGTTTTTTTTAAATTTTATTCAGGGTATTTTTTTGTTATATTTTTGTAATATCTTTTCATTTTAAGTATCCCAGTTCATCATTGTAAGAAGTTCAAATTTTATGTCTTTAGGCTTATTAGTATACCTTTGTGGGGTTATTATAATTTGTATTTGTTAAAGTTTAATGAAAACTAAACTCACTTAAATTAGCAATGGAATATTTTTGATTTGGAACGTTTTATTCGGTTATTTACAATATTCTGGAAAGGTAAGGCAACAATACTGAACTTCAAAAGTGTATAAGTTGTACAGCTTTTGACAAAGAATAAATTTTCTTCGATTTTTCTTATTATTATTTGTTGTTGTTGTTGTTGTTTTATTTGGTAGTTTCAATTATAACTTTTTGTTGTTGTAAGGGTTATACTAAAGTAATTACTGATAATCTTACGCGTATTTTATGAAAAATAAACATACTTAAATTTGTACTACATGATCAAATATTAAATTGACACGTAAATATGTTGGCCACTGACCTTTAAACATGTAAAAACTTACCAAAACTATTTATGCATGATATTATATTATGTTTATTTAATTAAGTCAGTTGGACATAATATAAATTATATATTTGATAAAAATGTGTAATATCGGTTCACATAATGTTCCATGAAACCGATCAAAGTGTTATAACGGCAATTTTATTTAGACTTTATTCAACATGTTCAAGTCCCTTGTAGGCCCCTGGTAGATTTAAAATTAAGATGCCATAACATTATTCATACTATACGTAATGAAAATGAAAAAGTGAAAAGCATTGGAACGCTTTTCACTAAAATTGGGCTTTGAAAAGCACAAAATACGATTTTCTTATATATTTCATATTTCATATCAACTTTTGCATATCTGTCTGTTTTAAGTACCCCAGCTGATCTGTGTAAGAAAGTTGAAATGTAACGTCTTTATACTTTTGAACCTCAGTTGATTTCCTTTTTTCTTTATATGAAAAGACGATTTATATCAGCTCCTTTAAACACTTGATTATTTCATATTATACTACATTCATAGTGATTGACGTGACGTTTGGTTATCACATGACGTAAGTGACGTCCTTACGGTGTACGTCTTAATAACAGAATTCCAGTTTTGTGACACATAAGCCGCGTTTTTCTCTTTTGCTTGACTTAAAAAACAAATTATGATGAAGTTGTTTCTCTTTCTTTTTGTAAGCGTTCTGGAAAAAGAGATGCAAGCACTGTAAGTGGGGATACGGCGGTGGTTACGGCGGCGGATACGGAGGTGGATATGGCGGCGGATACGGCGGTGGTTACGGCGGAGGTTACGGTGGTGGATACGGTGCAGGTTACGGCGGCGGATACGGGGCTGGATACGGCGGCGGATACGGGGCTGGATACGGCGGCGGATACGGCGGCGGGTATGGCGGCGGTTACGGTGGCGGTTATGGCGGTGGTTACGGTGGCGGTTACGGCGGTAGACATGGCTGGAAAAAATACTAATCAAAGAAGGACTATTGAATTCCTTGCCTTAAGTCAATATGCTACCGGAATACAGACACGCTCGCCTCAACATGTTTGATTTGCTGTACACATCTCAAATTTTTTTGTAATAAAAACTTTTTTATTCAAGCATCAAATATGTTTCATTGTCGTTTTCTGTGGGCTCCATCCATTTTTTTAAAGTCTATTACCTTCTACGTAATCAGTATTCATAAAAACAAGTAGAAATGACCTCGTCATCATCACAATTATTTCTTATTCATAGAGTCACACATCATTATTTCTTTGTATGACGGGGTTGAAGCGTAGGGGAACACTGGCTTATCAATCTTAACGTCGAATAATTAGTGCAGTGTATATAAGCATAAATATGTAATATAGTAATAGCATAGCGACAAGACTTTTATTATTAAGAAATATCATAGCTTGGTCCCGAGAACATTTTCTGTAGAGAAAGCCCAAGTTGGATATACTATAACTGTTTTATCGCATGATAAACAGAATTAAGAATTTTGATTAGACATAAAACTTTGAGTATATTTTTTTCGCATAACAGTCTTGTTGCTATACTATGCTATAACAATTACTTTTTGCATCATGATGAGGTGAATATCCGAGTCTATGGACCTAGATAATACTGGAACCACCAAACTAGAAAACAAGTCAGAGTGCAAGGAACATAACAATAATGTCATTCACGATTGGTTTCTAATAATAGAAGGCTAAATTTAGTGTCACGCTAAATGATGTTGTTTGTTGATAATAATATTACCCAGAGTCGGGGGAAATATCACTTGCTGTTGTGCGCATCACCCTTTTTTCTTTCTTGAAACAAACAAGATATATATTATCATTTATGTTAGCGCTTTCCCCTTTTCAATGCCACTTTTTATATACTCGCAAAGCAATGCCATTTAAAACACTTAAGTGTGTCTTTCCAAATAAACATTAACTTTCCCAAGTTTCCTACAACAACTTACTGTTGTTTGCCATTGCCAAAGAGGTAAGCAATTATTACGCATTATTTTACTTGGGGATCATTTCATGGAATGCCATTGTGTCATATTGAAAGTTCCTTGATAACCGCCGTATAAACACATCTTCGGATGTGTCTAAATTCTAATTTATATCACCATTTTCATGTTTGAAAGTTGAATTCTGCTATTTAAGTCAGTGTTAAGGGTGCAGACTGTAGTTTGCACTTTCCAGTACCTTTCATGAATAGACACAATCAAACCGAGCCTGAAGCCCTTTCAATTTTGCCGTTTGGGGCGTTCTTTAGGGACTCATTTTTTATATTTTGTGGGTTCAAAAGTTGCGTTCTTTGAAGAAATTCAAAAATAGGCCTACTCCTTGTAATTTTCAGTGGGGATCACATATCATTTAGATACACACCATAAAGTCCATTCTTATTGACCCCATAGAAGTAAACATATTTGGGTACATAACTTGTCAGGGAAGATCATCCTTATCGACATGACTTTGAGTAAATTCCCTTAGAAGCATATACACCATTTTTTATCAAAGGAATTTACTCTTGTCGACAACATTATGCTTCAAAAATATTACTTACCTTAGAAACACATACGCCATTGATATTTATCAGGGACGATCGATAATTATTATCAACAAAAGGTAAGTTTCCTTATAGATGCATGCATGCATGCCTTTTGTAATTACCAGGGAGACCATTCTTATCCACTTGACTTTGCTCTTCTCAGGAGCATACACGCCATCTCTAATTTTATCCATTTTTTAATCCAAAATTAACTTCTTTTAGAATATGCACGCCATTTAAATAATAAAACCGTTTACCTTAGAATTATGCACGTTATTTGCAATTATTAGGGGAGACCATCTAACCCTAACCGTATCGAACTAATTTTGCTCTCAAGAGCTACTTTCCTTCGAATTATCAGGAACAATATTGCTTTCAAGAATTACTTATCTTTGAAGCTGTGACGTCATCCATTCCCTATATTGCATCGGACTCCTGGCAACATCATTTTTATCTTTACTTTAAAAAAATATTTCAACAGACTGTAAGGCATACAAAAAATATACAACAATAACGAAATTAAGGAGTCCCTCAGGGACATTGCAAACAACGAAAACTACTTAGTTACAAGTTGAGCGATTGCAATCTCATGAACTACAAAATAATAACACGAAAAAGAAGAGTAAACGGAATTATTGAATCAAGTATCATACATGAGACTTAGTCTTGTGTTAAAGCAATATATTGCCGATTATTTCCCGTAATACAGAACAATGCACCATGCGCACTGGCTTATACAAATGTACTTTTTTCAAATACGAGTGTCCTACCAGAAACATCATAAAAATCTAGTTTAACATCGAATATTTAATAACCAATTCAACAGTTAATATAACTGATTACATAAAATATAATGTCCGTGAACAATAAACTATCCATTGGTGTAGATTTTAATGTGCTACACCAATTACTGTTACACTATATAGACGAATTTAGTTTTTACACCATGTACACATTTATTTTAGTTCGATTGTGTTGGAAGCTATAAGCTTATTGAAACACTCTCGAATCCGTTCCTGGAACCAACCAGTACTAAGCAATGGAGGTGAAGTTTCTTACTCAAGAAACAACAGCTTGCCCCTGACAGGGTTTGAACCCACGCGGTCAGCAATCCTTAGATTTAGACGAATTACAATTTATTTAAAATTGGATTTGACCAAATGACGGTTTGATATGCCAAAACACACCTCCGGATAAAACCTGGAGCAGACGGATATAAAATTTGCACTAAGTCTTAATTTCCCACAATACGGTGCGTTACACCACACACGGAGCAAATGGTTTGGGTTATGGTCATAACTGATACATTGTCCGGCCGGAGGCCGGTCTGTTTTCAGTTTTATTTCCTGTAAAATATACAGGGAAGAACTGAATATAAGAAGAGTTTTCATTGGTCGTTTTAAAATTACAAAATAAAATCTGGGAATCTCATTGGCCATTCTAAAATTAAACGTAAAGGATAGTTCTTTTCATTCTAAGACAGTTCTAAACTAAAATGTAAAGGATATGTCTAAGATAAACTGTACATTTAAGTTCTGTTTAATAATACTTCTTGCATTCAGATCTCATTACATTTTCTACTGAACAGTTTATTTTACGTAAGAACTTACAGAGTTTATTTTACACAAGATCTGAGTGTGAAATTTTGTCATTAATAACGAGAATAATCAGAACTTATCAGGTAATGTTCAATAAGTGTTTAATTTATTATATGATTATTGATGTGTTCAATTGATGTAATGTTTATAAATTTTATATATGTTTGCATAGTAATCAAATATTTATAAAAAAATATTGCTTTACCGACTGCCTAGATGTTAGTGTTAGATTATGAGTTCACATTTCGAAACACGATATGTTTGTTTAGAAACACATACATCTTAAAGTGTTCCATGTGTCACGATTAATAACCCTATAAGAAATTATTATGCCATTGTTATGCAAGCTATGCTAACATTTCTATATGACTTTGCATGAAAAACTAAGAACTAGCACAATTGTGCAAGTTAACCAGTTTTACTCGGGCCGAGTTTCTTTTTTTTTTTTAAAGATACTTCTTGTTTCTATCAGTGATTCTTTTATAAACCCGGTATTCTTTAAAACTTGCAAGTATTTAAACACACTGAATAAACAAACATATTAAATTTGAATTAAATTGAAACAATATCAACAAGAAACAGTAGTAAATATCATTGAAATAAAAGCAGAAACTTTGTCTCTTGGACAGCATTGTTTAATGTTCATGGCTGGGCAAATACAAAATTTATTGCATTGTGCATGAAATGCAAATGTACTGAACCCTTACCCTGATGGAGCCGGAAGTTACTAGTATTTTCCACAAGTTTAGACCTAGGTCAATCTGCATGCCCGTACAGTCTTATCAGGTTCTATGTTGCTTCCTGACTAATTATAAGAAATTTTAACAATTTAAAAACAATATTTTTTATTTTAAGAATTATCAGTAGTTGCTCATTATAATAAGTTATGCATATATAAACATACGAATTTTTAATCTTTAATCTATAAACTCTTAAGATATAAATAAATAAATAAATAAATAAATAAATAAATAAATAAATAAATAAATAATACTAACTTCCATGATATATGTGATATCTGTACATCCAATTCAAACTGTTTTGAGATTTTTTTAAACAAACACTAAAAATATACTTCAGCAGTTTAGTATTTCCATGTCTTTCAAATATCCTAAGAAATAACGTATTTGATAATGAAAAGTAATTGTGTCTGTTTTATGAATAGTTTAAAGAAATTGTTTTAAAAAGGCAAACAACAACATAAACATTTAACATGAGAACATTAAAGAACACCTGCATTATCTCAATATGCACCAATTAACTTTAAAATATGAATTAAAAATATCTTTTTACTCAAAATTCAGATCCATGATCGATCTACAATATTGAATCTTTGTTATATATTTGAAAGAAAATGCCTATAAATCGTACTTCAAACGAAAAACGTACGGCGTTACGATACATTGTGCACGTGAATCAAGTGCGGGTTATGTTCAGTATTGTTTCTTTAACGGTATAAATACTCTGCCGAAAAAGAAAATTGTCAGATCACCACCATTGTCTTTCGAAGTCGTCAGCTGTTCTGATAGAAAATAGTTCGCCACAATGAAATTCTACGCCATTGCTCTTTTACTGGTTGTACTCTGTGTTGCCAACAGTGAAGGTAAGTGAAGTTTATTTAAACTAAAAATGAAAAGCTTGTTTTTACTTCATCTTAGATGGCTGATCAGATGACCTTTTATCTTCCTTTTCATTTTTTTGACAAGAAAATACTCATACATATGTAAACATTTTTTTTGTATTTTAATATTTAATGTATATTTCAAACAGATATTAATTTATCTTATCGTCCTTAAAACAGTAACAAAATTATTTCTAATAAATATAAATTATAACTATAATATAGAAAATATTTGTTTGTTTGTGTGTTAGATGAAATTTTATTTCATCGAGTGAGCTTCAAAAAAAAAAAAAAAAAAAAAAAAAAAAAAACAACAGTATTTTCACGGGTGGCGTAGCCACGAGTGAGAATACTGTTTTAAAGTTCACGAGATGAAATAAAATTACACATTACACAACAAACAAACAGATTTTCTTTTTATTCTATGCTTAAAACAAGTTTTTAAAAATGAAACTTCCTCAATATTAACTTTAACATTAAAATCTGTTTCCCCCACTGGTAGCCTCATTTTAGTCGACTTACATGGAAAATAAGTTCGACAATCAACGTTAAATGTCGATGATATTATTTATTTTATTGCCGAAACATGAACGATCCTTTATTTTAAAAATTGAAACAAACAATTTTAGTAGAAGAAAAAGTCACACCTATCGATGTTATTTCCGTTACTTACGGCAAATTTATATTACTATAGACAAGGCTACGAGTAATATAAGCGACCGCCATTTTTAAAAGTAAGGAAAATAATTGTGTTTGATTCAGAGGGATATCTTTTGGATTTGTTAATCATACATCTTTCATAACAAAGGAAACTTATTGGAGGATTGTGTATTTTTCAGACGGTAAAAATGAAACAAAAACTTTAGAGACGATAATTGGTGATTGGTAATTTGTATGAATTTAAGTTTGAAATTTAGGTAATTCATCTACTACAAATTTGCTTTTCTCTAAACAGCCCTGACAGTGTCAGAAATGTTGGTAAATAATTGAGGTGCCACATGGGGAAGATCTTAAAAAAGTAATCTCGTCTTTGAAAAGTGTGAAATTATATTTTGATAATTTTCACTGTGAAATTATCAAATACAATTTTCACGGATAAATCAGTAATCCACTCAAAGGCATAAAATATATATATATGACTAATAGAATGGTTACCTAGCAAACATATGGATATGCATATCTTTTATGTAAATTTACATAATAAAATGTTATTATCGTAGGTTTAGTGTTTAACAAATTATCGAAAATCTGGAGCTTTGATTTATTTTCATGAATTTGTCATTTGCGATTATTCATTATTTCTCTCTGAACACGATTTTTAATGAATTATTTTTCACTTATAATTTCAGCATTCTGGAAAAAGAAATGCAAAAAATGTAAGTGGGGATACGGCGGTGGTGGAGGCGGCGGAGGAGGATATGGGGGCGGCGGCGGTGGCGGCTATGGTGGTGGTTACGGCGGCGGCTATGGCGGCGGTTACGGAGGCGGTGCTGGGGGCGGCTACGGAGGCGGAGCAGGGGGCGGCTACGGCGCAGGATATGGAGGCGGCTATGGTGCCGGTTATGGTGGTGGCTACGGAGGCGGGGCTGGTGGCGGCTACGGAGGCGGAGCTGGAGGCGGCTACGGAGGTGGTCGTGGGCATGGCTGGAAAAAATACTAAATTTCCTGATGATTTCACTAAAGGAATATATTATTTTTTTCGACGACCTACCGATATAACATGACCGACAGTCAACACTTGTTTATATGTAGCACATTAATAAACACTGTTAGCATTTAAAATGTTATTTTGTATTTTTGTTTTATTTAATTTTTGTAATTTTGTTGGCCAAACGCTGATAATCGGAACACTTTTGAAAAGCCCAGTGTAGCCAAAGTATGGTGGAAAATGATAAAAAGTAGCCATTACTCTACATGCATCAAAACATCAAAAACATTTCCCTATGATGTTAATTCTTAATAGTTTGAATTGAAAAAGGAACAGAAATGAAATCTATAACTGAGCTAACAACCTCTTATTTTAGACTAACGCGTTTACATTAACATACTAGGACAGAGCAATAGGTAAAATTTCGAAATAATGCTTCCCTGAAAATAAGTGCACTTGTTTATAAAAAGGATAATAGAAAATCAAAGATCCTATTTTATTGATTGCGGCAGAACGTGTTTTTTGATAAAACAACGGAAGCATGCCGCGGTCTGTATAAGACCCTCCTCCGCGTATACAGTACATGTATATGCATACTAGACCTGACACCCCCTTTACAGCTCACTCAATAAACTCACCTTACTTCAGAAAGAAAGTAAGCGATAGTGAAACATTCGACCGATGCGCAGGAGAGTAACTAAACGTCTTTGGTACATTATTGTAAATTCTCATGTTTTTTTTATAAAACAAAAGAAGCTAAAAACTATCCTACGAGTCCTTGTTACCGTAAACAAATGCCACGTGACATGTAACTAGATTAAAAAATTACAAGTACAACAACCACAATTGCAAACATCAAAACGTAATTATAAGGTTGTTAGAATAAACTATAGAAATGAATGTTTCGAACCTTTTTAAATCTTATTGGCTAACCTGACAAAGCAAACAAATAGAAAATGTTGAAAAGATTGAAAATTAAAGCATTTCGGCTAGTGAAACATCGCAGAACATAAAAATGTAAGCATCAATACTTTAAGATGGATAATCACATGGCATTTGTTTACTACATGTAATATTACTGGGTTACCACTAATTGCTGCGCGGTATTTGTTTGTTTTATTTATATCAATTTCAACATCAATATTTGAATAGCAAACAGGCCCCAATGATACTATTGGTCTTGCATTTTTCCCGGCGTGTTTGCAGAAAATGTGTCATAATATCAACGTATATTTTCATCAAAATATTTCCGCATTGAAAAACAATTATGTACCATTGAAATCGACAGATATTTGCCTGTAACATTGAAATTTAAAAGAATATAACGAAAATTAGCAAATACATTTTAAATCATCGGAGCGGCCATGAGTGGCGGTAAGCAAATGCCACGTGATAAACCAGTCTGGTAAAAACATGTATACATGAACTACATCAATATGATTTCATCTTTTGCAAGGTCTTACTCACTGAATACATATTTGCCATAATTTAAAAACCTATAAGAATCCATGATAGCCGTAGACCACTCACACTCACCTTAAAATCATCGCTTATGCAGGCGTCACACTGTCCCGAATTTGGCATCAGATGGACACACGAATAAGGAAATGTTCAAATTCGGATCTGATCGTAATAACATCGTGCCATTCGTGAGGGCATCTTTTGCCATCGTATGATCCCCGGCTGAATATTACAAGCTCCGGCAGCAACTTCGTGAGCGGTTCCAAAATCTTTGGCATGCCAAAAAAATCGCCCGAAGACATTGCGGAGGTTCATTTTCGTGTTGAAATCGTATGTCAATTTTGCCCTTCGTAACGCCGTCGTGAAGACATCGTGTCAAATCGTGTAGTCTTCGTCTTTTCTTCGTGTGATCATCGGTGCAATCTGGCATTTTTAGCCTCAAGAAGACAATACGAAGGTAACACGAAGATTCCCGATTGTCTTTAGAAGGGTACACGACTACGTGAAGCCCCCGCAATACCGTCGTGTCGCCATCGTATTTTGGTACGATGTCATCGAGATGGGACCACGATGAGGACGAAGAAGGCAATTTTTAGTGGCTCAAGCGTTGTTTATGTTCATGTTTATCATGGTGGACATATAAACGGCTAGACCATCTTCCTCATCTGTCACTCTTGCATATTTCTACAGAGACATCAAAAGCTTCCATTATTTGCAATTAATTTACAATCATTTTCAGTTTATTTCCTGCAGAATTACATGCTTTGATGATGAGTCAACCGAGAAAAAGAAGGCAGCAGCATTACTACTTTAAAGACACCTTAGAAAACATGATGAGGCCCACAGGCCCACCTTGGGTGGCATGATAAAGTTTTATCAAATATGATAAACAAGATCAACAAGGAAAGGCAGCGTTCAATGAACGCAATTCCAACACGACCCAGCAACAAGAACCAAGTAACACAAGAGGACCCCATAAAAATCGGACAGGGCGCAAGGCAGAGCACGGATAGGCTTATCACTTAAATGATACATAAGACGAAATAATGGTAAACGACAAGAAAATCAAAGAAAACAAATAAATGATTGATTTATTAAATAAATAAAACTAGGGGTAAAAGGGAAAATACTTACCGTTGACGAGAAAACAACAAGGGACACCGACAAAAGTATCCTCAAAACAGTATGAAATAACAAAGACATACATCTGAGGAACAAAGAAGGGCGCCGCCTTGGACCGGTCAGCAGCATAAGTACTTCTTGGGAGTTTAAACCGGTTAATGGTGCACCAAGCCTCACGCTTAGCCCGCCATGTTCCTATAAACGAGACGGTGTAAAATAAAATGAATCCCCGCCAAGTAAATTTATAACAGTTGTTATGGTTTCAAAAGGTAAAATAAGTAAAACACCGAAATGATCATGAAGATACATATAGAGGAATACCCATATGACCATAACAAAAGTACTCAATATTTTAAAGGAAGACAGAGTAACAAAAAATCACCTAAAAGGGCCAGACGAAGCAAGACAGAAGATGAACATTAAGGCAATTCAGTCCCGTCAGATGTAATCAAAAGAGGAAAGGACCATCTGTAAAAGTGTTGAACACTAAGCATGCGGTATATCTAAAAAAGTAGGGTCAAAACCTCTTTTGGTTAAACGTTTAATAATTTTAGTAAAGGCAACAGAAAAATTACAATGACCAAAGATCTTGCGAAGTTTGTAAATAACATTTCCATTGAAATCATTTTTGAATTACTACTGAATTTTGAGATTAAATCAAAGTTACGATTGTAAAATATTTACGGAATTTATAATAGCGGTAGCCCTGTTTGAGAAGCTTGCTAGTAATGAAAATATTTTGCTTGTTAAAATCCTTCACGTTGCTAAAAGCTCTAGATAATCTAATTTTCTGAGATACATATACCCCGTCAGATGTTGCATGCGGTACGTGTCCATCAGAATGTGGATAGTTTACTATACCATAATCAAAGTCATCACTTTTATCATAGATTTTTGTTTGAATAGAAGCGTTTTTGATAGTAATATGAAGAGCCAAAATAAAGTTTAAACGTAGTTTAATTAGTTCCCAATACTATCTGCAACTGAAATTTGCCGTGGTTGGCCGTGGGTTGTATACCACTCGAAGGTGAAGGTCACTTGACGCCTTCGTAACCACGTACGAAGGCATCGTACTCAAAATACGACGTCGTGTACCTATCCTGTGACCTTCGCGTGTCCTGCTGGTAAACGTCTTGGTACAAAATTGCATCTTTGAGATGACATCGTGTGTGTATCGGATGCCATCGCGTGACCTTCGGTAGGAATCGTATGTGGCTCGGATGCGATCGCGTGACCTTCTGTAGGAATCGTACTTGTTTCGGCTGTTGAGAGACTGTCGACCAATTTCGGGGCTATCTTCGCACGAAATTAAAAATTCCATATTCGTATGACCATCTGGTGTCAATTTCGGGACAGTGTGACGCCTGCATTATCGAAATCATTATTTTTACATGTTCCTATTGTCATCCTGGACAAAAAATGGATTTAAACACTAAAGGGTACAAAGTTGAGAGTTTGAAGGCTGAAGCTTAAGATATAAAAGTTGCTCACTGGATCATTTTATAGATTACTCATATTTTGCCTCTTTTCACTTTGGCAATTGGAATACATGTAATTGTTATAATTAAGTATTTTATATGGAAGTTGATAAACAATTTGTAAACATTTTCCTACCTTTACAAAATATTAATGCACGTTTATTGCCATTATTGAACACATATCTAACTGTTTTTTTAAAGAATAACAAAATCTTGATCTCTGAGGTATTATGTGACACACAATGTGGTCATAGCCAAGCTCTTCATGTGATCAACGTCTAAAGACTATAGCATAACAATGTATGATACAAATGGAATATGATATTTTGAAGGCGTGGCTATCTTTAGTTGTCGATTGGACAATCACCGCAATATTTGCTTCATATTGAAAAACATTTCTAATTAAAAACTTAATAAAAAGAAAAAGACAATTTTTTTCTAAGCTTCACGCAAGCCATTATTTGATTTTGGTGTTGCTAAATAAATAAAGAAATAGTAATTATTTCGGTTTCTGTAATGTTCCAAAAAATTGTTGTTTAAATACCCAAAATAAGCACTAATTTAAGAAATTGCTTAATTGATTGCTTCTAAATAAGAACATAAAGTGTCACCATCAAATATATACGCTCTTTATTAATGGTCATGACAATTTTTTTTCTCAATAAAACGCTTTAATGAAACAATAAAAAGAAATCTTATTATTCTTCGCGAAATTAAAAGTGTCTCTTTTATTAAAAAAAAAAACAACTTCTTATATCCTTTTCATAAACAATTCAAATAAAACATTTTTTAAATAATAAATAAAATACCTTCTATAACAACTGTATACAGTATTTGATGAGAAATACATATGATAATAGATTGCAGAGAAATAGGAACATAAAAGTCGCAAAAATTGTGGAAACTTTTTTAGTGTCGGTTTGAATAAGCCATTAATTAATAGGAGCGGCGAAATTCTGAATTCATAATCAATTTGATAGCTTTTGACTTTTCTATAATAGTAAATTGACACTTGTGGTTCTAGTTCAGGGTGTGTGCGATCAAAAGTTCGATTCTTGGTCAAAGCAACACATTTAACATTGGGTTGTTTTAGAAATGACATGTTATTTTCTCAAAGGAATTAGGCAAAGTATTCCACCTTAATGAATAGTTGTGTTTAACAAATATAGAAATGATATTTTTATAAGCTAGTCAGAAACTCTGGCCCAGCAAAATTCGGCATTAATTTCAGACTGTTATAGTCTCATTCTTGACAGTGAAACTGTTATATATTGCACAACTTGTTTATATATCTTTAAAGATGTTATTTAGGTGCCCTATAAATGGACACCGGTTTTAGGTGCTTGAACGGATGTGTCATTCTTGAAACTGTGAAATATTTATCTTAGGCGCATGTGTTAATATGAGATGAAAATGTTTGTTAAAGTAATAAGCACTTTTTATTAAATTTTCAAGTCTCTTTGTGAATTTGTTCCAAAATGAAAATTTCATACTATAACAATTTTTTTCTATAAATATACTATTGTGACTGAAATCTTGACAAAAAGCAATGAATATAAAGGATGTGACACTAAAAAAAACAGATACAAACTGGGATGGCGAACTTTGCCTTTATTTGCATTATATTTGAAAACAAAAACCTTATATTATGTAAAAAGAATAAAGGTATTTAAAAATGACTCCTTTTGGTGCACATAAGGGTTTGTATTCCTTAAATACAAGATAAAGGTCGTGCCCCCAAGCACTAGCTTAAAAAGAAGTCAACACTTTATAATGATGATGGTGATTACCAGAAATGCTCAATAACAGTCTTGATTTTACATTGTCTTCTCAATAATAATATAGTGTTTTCATTGTTTGCTCAATAACAATCTTGTTTTTCAACTTTGATTTACAGAACACTAATGGAATATACGACTTAATATCTGGTGGTGATATATTATATCATTGTCGGTTAAATTGCAATAATACTCTTAAATAAAAGAGAAAAAAGTAAAAGCGTTTAAGCGGTAATGAAATGTGTCTCATTAATGAAAAAAAATAAAATGAAAAACATTCAAAATTGGTGCCAAATGTCCTTGAATTTCTAGAATTTAACAAGCTTTTTATTCCAACCATTTCTTTGTTTCATTGACTTGATTATTGGAGTTGGCCAACCTCATAAGTGAAACTGTCGTTTTATTGGTTTGACGTCATATGCGGTCAGAATATAAAGTTCACGACTGCCACCATTTTTCTATCACAGCGCTGTGACATTATCAAGCTTAACAACTGGTAAAAAAGTTTCGAGGTGTGAAAATGTTCATCAATACAACACCGATAACTAATATTACAACTGAAATAAATCCAGACAACCTGAGGACCTACATGAACACAACTGAGGATAATCCATTACAAGGGAACAATAGTAACTTCTATGGTGGAAACGACACGAAAACACCTTGTAAAGTTTTCAACTCAACATCATATGGAGACAGCAACGCTGGGACGTTCGAGGCAAAAATAATCGAAATACTCACATACTTTCCTATAACTATTTGGATAGGCTCATTGCCGAATATTCTTATCATTTGCATTTTGATGAAAAAAAGAAATCGTAAATTTTCAACAGCGGTTTTCTTGATGTCACTTGCTGCTGCAGATTTGGCAAACGGATGTGCCACATTGATGTACTGGCTGCAAGACAATCGCTTCATTGAGGAATCTTACTCTAAATTTGACTGTGTTTTAAGAAACTATATCGGGATAGTTTTTATAATGGTATCGAACTGGTTATTGGCTGTTATTTCAGTTGAAAGATGTATCTGTGTGGTATATCCGTTTGATGTGAAGAAAATATGTTCAGTCACTGTATCAAAGATTGCAGTTATAATGGTTTGGGCAGCAGCGTTTATCGTTGAGGCTATACTGTTCTGGTCAAATTTCAAAATCGAGTACAACACCGACATACAATACGATTATGAAGACTGCTTTGCAGAGGAATCTGACGATATGGCTCCCAAAGTGTGCAACGTTGACTTCATCAGTGAATGGCATGATCAATTTTACAGCATTATTCAACCAAGCGTAAACGTTTTTCTGCCATATTCTATAATAATGATTTTTTCATGTATCATTATCTATAACCTGAAGAAAGAAGAAATACAAAAAAGAAAAACGGCAACAGTTGTTAACGCGATTCTGACTTTGAATGTCATTTTCTTGGTAACAAACTTGCCAGAGATGGTGGTTGAATTTTTACGGCTTTCGGGTTATGCAGTCAATGAAGTTGTAGAAACGGTTGCTTTCAGGCTGCGAGAATTAAACTTTATTGCTAATTTCTTTGTTTATTTTCTTAGTGGCTCTAGGTATAAGACTGAAGTAAAAGATCTTTTTGCACGGGCATGGGATAAAACCAACAATTTTGACTAGATCTACAGATTTATTATATTTTTATTTTCATTTTGTTTCACAAAGGACAACAATTTATGGTTTAATTGTTAGTTATTTAAAAATTGTCATTTTGTTTTAACCATGTTTAAGATCTTAATTTTCTCTCTTTCTACAAAAGGCAATTACATCGTAATTTGACATTAGGCAATTCTAACAAGCAATCAAAATTTATTAAATCAATGTTTTAAACAAAAGCTTTTCGACTTTTGTTATATTTAAGACTTTATTTCATCTTAAAACTCTTTTTGCAAAAACTATGTTTTGCTGCCTTTTCATTATTGTAAGACATTTGGAAGATATTTGATATGTTTCTGTTCACCTGTGGCCGTGCTTGCGTTCGTGCTACTGTGTGTTGTGAGTGTGTGTATGTGTGGGCGAGAGATATTGTTGTTGTATTTGTTGTTAGTTTTCTTTTGGCATATATACGTTGTATTGTTGTGGTTGTTGTTGTTGGCTTGTTGCTTTTGTTTTATATATATGTATATCATAACTACACTGTACAAAGTCTTCTAGAATTAAGATAGTGTGAAGATGAACAAAAAGATATCATCAATGTTTAAACATACCGATTATAGAATCAACATGTTTATTTCATGGTACGAAATAAAACGTTTTGTTAAGAAATACATGTATTTCAATTGTGACCGTGACCCTTTAATATATTTCTCAAAATGTTATTTCGATTATGAATGTATTAAATCCTGAAAAAAAGTTAAATAATGCAAGGAGGATTTTTCAAACTGCCAAAGTATATAATTTGAACTTTTTAAACATATGACAGCAAGACAAGACAACGTTCACTTAACGCGAATCTTGACATAATCTAGCAACATCGGCGAGCCATCAACAGGGCATGGAACCAAAATTGGGACAGGGCATAAGGGCGGAGAAAAGACAAGAGGGACATACCAATAACATTTACATTTTTAAATATTTACATCATCAGTTTAAAAAACAGACTTATGTATTAACTGCCAATATTGCTTAAACTTAAATTGGTTAATTAGGGTTGTATTTATTTGTGGGTTCTATTTTTGTGTATTTTAATGTGTGATTTTTAATGTATGTTAGTAGTGAATTTTGTTTGAATACATTTTATGATGTTGTTCTAAGTTTAACGTAATCATATTGTTTAAACTAACATCTACACTGACTTTGTAAGCTTACGCATATGAAAGTGTATGTTTTGAGGTTCTGTCTCTAATATTAAAAGGATATATTTTCGTTTGAGTGAAATATGGAATATATTTTCACAAAACATGATTAAATGCCACAAATATTTTCACGAGCCCGGACGGCTTGTGAAAATATGTTTCAATTTATCATGTTGAGTGAAAATATAGACCATATTTCACGAAAACCGAAAAAATAACCTTAAGTTTTTATTTAATTTCATTATCAAAGAAAAATGTTTACGAACCCCCTTGCTTGTTGCAATTGTACAGCGCGCAGTAATATATTATTTATAGATGCGTCTTGTTGTGCACGCAATATTTGGCGCTACATTGTGACGTCACGAAAACAACTCTTTAACCTTCTGTACAGCATTAATAACTGAATTAAAGATATTGGTATTCGGATTTATTTTCTTAGTAAGACCATTTTCTATCATTCTAGATAGTTTTCAAAACAAAATTTAACAAAAAGTTGTTTTGTATTTATCAGATTTTTCAAACAAAATGGCGAAAGAAGTACCTTAACATAAATATGAGTTTTGACTCCGCCCACTTTCATATTTATATTTCATATTCATTTTTAAAAAATATGAAATATATTTGACTGATATAGCGCCATATTTTATGGATAAAATTAAATAATCTCTCACATTATTTAAGTATCAACTGAAGTGTATTTCAAAAGTACTTTTTTTCCTTTACGTTAACAAAATGTTTTATTCTTTATGCGTTTACCATTATAGATGTTGTCCATATTTTTATGAATAAATTTGAAAGTAAATAAATTCGTTTCCTTTAATAAATGTTTCTGATAGTTCACATTTCTACGACCATTTAAAGTAAAGGGTATCATTAAATGAACTCCTTTGAGGTCCTGAAAGCCTAAAATTAAAAATTTTCCATTTCTTTCATAGATCAGCTGTGGCAATAAAATAGACAAATGTGTTATAGATAATTGAGAAATATATATGGAATCAAATTGAAACTCGTATTTTAATTGAATTCTTAGTCCGATATGAGTCAAAAGCGTTGCAAGGCTTTTCTATTTCGGGATAATTCTCACAAAAATAATCATTCTGGAAGAGCGAAGTGAGCGGATGATCTGAAATTTTGCACACATGTAATTGGTCTTTACCAACATCAAATGAAAGATTTATTTAAAAAAGTTAATTCCCACCATGTCAAAAACCCTCAGCGGAATTCCTTTAAGTAAACAATTTCACTTTTTTCAATTACTTACTTTAACCACCAAATTACTTACAAGTATTTGTCATTAAAATTAATTATCTATAAGTCTATGAATATGGTGTAAAGATTATTAAACGAAATAGACATTTTAAAATCATTTAACATGGAAAGAACATAATAAATCTGTCGGACTCTTACCCGTATTAAACACAAATTTGAAAACAAAGTTATTTCGTGTTTAGCTCATTTTGTTACATCTAATATATATAATAGAGCTATATTTGAACTAAATGTTTATAGAATCTCCATCTTACAAGATATTGGTACTTTCATTTTTTCGTTCAAAATGACTACTTGTGTTTATGTCAAAGAACATTATTCTTCCATTTTTGTTTTTGCAAAAGTTTATTAATATTTGGAAAAAAAATATGTTTATACTGAGAATTTGATTTTACTTTTTCTTTTTATAAAAAATATCAGTTAAATTCCTTACCAGGATGTGAACGTTTACATGTATGATTGACTTTAGTTCCATTATTCAAAACAGCGTCATCATTTAAATCTTAAATCCGATCCATACCAGGATGGGAATGTTTACATTTATCATTGACTTAAGTTCTATTATTTAAAACAGCGTCATAAGTAATATCAGAAACCTGATTCTTAGCACGATAGGGTCGAATTATATCTAGTTCCATCATTCAGTAACATATGTTTTATCGCATACTTAATGATAAGATGTAGCTTTCTAATATAGACAAGGTGTACATTTTAAGAGTGTCCCCACATAGGCAAGATTAAAAGACCACAATGTCTATTTCGCGGTTTGGGACTGAATTTGGAGAATGTCGAACTCCATTGTTGATCATTCTTTTCATTTTTTTATTTGAACAATTGAGCAACTATAGCGTTCACGTCCAAATACACTTGATTTATTCAAAGTAGAATTTTTAAGCCGTTATCCGTTCGGCCACAACCGAATTTTCAAGTACATTTGGGACCGAAGTTGAACACCGACGATCTGTAATCTACATATCTTCCTCATATAAAAGAATCTAAATTCCCTTAAGAGATATAAACCATCGGGGGTGAAGGGCAAGTGGTGTGAAATCAAGGACTTTACCATTCGGTTATACTAGAAATAAGAGAAAGAGATGAGAAAAGAAGGTTTAGGAAAAGAATGATTATAAATAGTAAATCTTGACAAAGAGGGATGAATGATGCTTCAATTTAAAAGCAAAAACGAAGGGGATAGATAGTTGAAAATTAAACAGCAGAAAGTTATGGAACAGATATTTACGAATGAAGATTTTTTGTTTGCAAAATAGAGTATTATGAAGAAGCGAATGGGGAGTAGACGATAGAAGAATCAAGAAAGGATTAAAACTAAGGAAAGATTTGTGGAAAACTCGAGTCAGAAATAATAAATCTTCCAACAAGGATAGAGGAAAAGAAAATAGAGATGGCTTATCTTATTCCCAAGGAAAAACTGAAAAAATGTCAAGTTAAAGATGAAATTAAAGTCTGTCATCCATTACAGAACATCGATAATTGTAAAGACACAATGAAGTTATTTTTTTAGAGGAAATCGAACATTTAGTTAGAAAGAAAATAAATAGAAATAAAAAGAAACTGGTGCACATATAAATATACATTGTTCTAGATGGGTTAAGGAAAACAATATTGTAATCGCGTTCATCACTGATCACCAAACAAATTGTATTCCGACTTAGCTGAAGGCCATACATTTCAGGGACTCGGTGTTACATGCTCCATTGGTAACATCTAATTCTAATATGTGATTCATTTAAAGAAGAAATCGACTTGTTTGAAATCAGACCCCAACACATGCTTCTAGAAATTCTATAATGCCTTGCTTTATGACACTGTCTACCGGGCCCTGGATAGGAAAACGCCATTTGTACTTTTTGTATTGTGCAAATATGTTTCCAATAAGTCTTTCTGCCCAAATGGAAGCTATCTGCATCAGACTTCTCTTACTGAAGTTCAAATTGGATGCTTTGAATAGGGAAAACTGGAAGCTACAAAGAATGCCCATTAAAAACGACAAAATTGATGCAAGTTCAAGCCTGCATCGAGAACAGTTGAACTACACCATACCATGCCAAGGGATATGCTTCCATAGCAGCTTATTGAATACACAACCGTTACCTCAAACGTTAGTCGTTCATTCGACCAATGCGCAAGTGAGTGCCCATGGAATAACAGAACGTTTTAACACGACGTTGCTCAAGATGTTTGCGACCAGTGAGGTAGTCAAATAGCTAAATGGGAAGCTCGTGTACCTACTTTCATGTCTATAGTGACAACCATCACGAAAGTACAGGGCTCCCTCTTTACATACTGATATTCAACTGATATCCCAAACAATGCAGGCGTCATAAACTCTGATATCCTTTAGAAATTTCACTTCATTTAATTTCAACCGTTGTTCTCTCGTTAGTGGTACATACATTCTTTTACGTGAGGGAACATTAGCCGCTTTTATTGAATAACGCTAACATGTCACATAGAATGTTCCATGATAATCGCCATATGAACACAGCAGCGGATGCTTCAGAATTCCAAATTTTAATATTTTCGTGTTTAAATGTTGGTTTTTACTAAAACAGGCGCTAGGGGGCGTAGACAGGTGTTTGCAGTATTCAGTTACGTCCACAAACAGGCCCAATCACACCAAGCCTGTAATATTTTCAATTTTGTCGTTTTTGACGTTTTTAGAGATTCTCTGTTTACCCTATTTTGCCAATGACGCTTTC